TTTCGTTTCTTTTGTATGTCGTGTTGCACAAGGTGTAATGGTAAAATATATTATAATATTGTTTTGTGCTAAAGCCGTGTCTCAAGTGTCCTGTATTTGACCCTGATGTGCAAAGAGCAGCATGATACAAAATATTAGTTTGCAGCTGTGCCCTGAGAAGGGGGGGCGGTCGACTCAATCTCATAGAAGCTTCAAAACAAAGGACTTCTGTTCATGGCCTTGGTTCATATCTCATTCGGTACGAAAGTTCCGGATCCACATTTTTTACTTTATGTCAATTAATTATGATTTGCACCGGCCACTGAGGAGGATCTTGTGTGTGTGTGTGTGCTACCCTCAGCTTTACCTGGGTTCTTATCTCAACCTGCTTTGCAGCTTCTCGTAGCTGGCACGGAGAATGTCCTTCAGATGTTTATAAAAACTCAGCCTTTTTACTGCTCGGAGACGCCATTTACACAGAGCACCGTGATACGTGCCTGTGTATTTGACCTCCTGCTTGCAAGCAATAAATGGACTTTTTGCAACTTTGATCATTCATCAAGACTGTTTTATCAGACAAATGATTCTTTTATTGAAATATTCCACAACAAAGGCTCAGCTCTGCACCGACTATGTCTGTCAAGAAGGATCTGTAATGGAGAGCATTGGGTCGTGCCCTACTTAGATGAATTCACTGCCATGCGGAGCTGCCAACAAGCATAGTTGCCCAACGCAACGCTAAATAATAAAAGCTGCTTTTGGCTTCTTTTTTTTTTTTTTTTTTTTTCTGAAACCCTTCGCCCCCCCCAAAACTCCCCCAAAACTCCAGCCTTAACGCTGAGGGCTTCAGTGGCACAGCTGGACGGGCCGGCAGCCTCTCCCACACTGGTACCCAATTCACCACCAAGGACAGAGACAATGACCGCTGCACCTACAAGTGCGCCCAGCTCGCATCAGGAGGTACACAGCGTGTGGACACGTGTGTACTATCAAAAAAACTGGTTTCAATGAATTCTTGAATGAGAATTTCAACCAATATCTATTCACCGATGGTTTCCAGACTATTTCAAGGATCACTCAGACGATGGTATGAACGTTGCTACAGATGACAAACACAGACACCATCGCAAAATCAACCCAATTAAAAACCACTGCAGAGATGAGACGCTGAGCTTAAGAAATTGTAAGTCCCGTCACTCTTTTATCAAATGTCCTACTTATTCAAATCAATGCCGGGGACTCTAATAGAAATATATGCCTAGCAGAAACAAACAATTCATTGTTTTCCACCCCACAAACAAATAGCTTTGTGTGACACTGAATCTGTGTGTAGGGCTTACGCATACTCATAACTCCACTGTTACCGTACCTGACCATCGCTTGAATGTGTGTCTTTGTAAAAATAAATGATGCAATCTTGTGACAAAGTGGGTGACAACTCACCTTTGTCCCCATGATGGTATGTGGTTGAGTGCTTGCCATGCTCTGCAGGTGTGCTGGAGGCTGGAGGGGGCAGGCAGTGAGGCCTAGTGTTTGTGCAGGGGCTGATGTCAGCAGTGACATCATCGGGTGGATTGTCATAATGGGTGTCACCTGTGCACATTGATTGACGGCGCTATAAAGGTGGAGGACATTGACTGTTGGGGGGAGGAATGGTGGAACATGTGTAGCTGAGGGCTGATGTCAGATGAGGTGATGTTAAGTTTCTTCCGTTTGGTTGTTTACCTGTTTAATCAGACCTGTATAAGGAAACTTCCTTATTTTTTTTACAAATAAACATTTTTACCTGGACCAAGTCTCGCTTGCCTGCCTCCTAATTCCAGGATTCCCTCGGTTGTGACATCCTCACAAATCTTGCAACAGTCTGTAAGAAAGACACAAATATAATCACCAGTGGATCCAGTATAAGCAGCTAACCACTAAACCCGCAGGTGGGGACAAGCAGTAAAGCGCGCACACACACACACACACACACACACACACACACACACACACACACACACACACACACACACACACACACACACACACACACACACACACACACACTCATTGCTCTGCTTGCATGCAGTGACCCCTTCGCTAAACAAGTTTATCACGACCTCCAAGGGCTGAACGGGCAATAGATCACTGCGGGGGAGGCCAGGGGTGATGCCATTAAAGTGACTTTAGTAAAGACCACTTGATTTGGCCTGCTGGCTCAACAGATGAAATGGTTGTGCTCAGGTCCAGTGGAGCAGACCAGTCGGCATTGGCTTTTCCACTTTTCCCAGGCCTTGTTTATTGAATGGGTTATTGTTATTATGGGCACGAAGACGAGGAGATCGTAACTTTGGAACGGCGTTATTGTGAGGTCTTAACCCCAGCGTCGCAGGGCGGCAAGGGGGTGCCCAAGAATTCCTGTAGAACCAGTGAGCTCCCATGGATCGACCTTCCGCCTTCTCTCGACCACGAACTTGCCAATTCCATAGACCACATCCGTCTTTTGCCATCCCATGTCTCCGAACCACTGCCTGTCCCCGGATTCCCCGTATTGCCTTATCCCTTGAGACTACAGTTGCCTGTCGTCCCTAAATAAACATTGAGAGCTCTGTTCTTGGGTCCATTCATTACAGTTATGGTATTATCAATAAATGTGACAGGCTGTTATTGTCTAATGCTCATTCTCACGGTTGTAAACTTCAGACAAGAAAGGTGAGATGTCTGTTTTGTTTAGTCTGTGTTTTTATAAAGTGTTTGTGGGAAACTTATGCTGCCAACTTTACAAAGAACCCCGTAGCATTGTTTTGGGATCATCGTGGCTGAATAAAGGTTAACTAAAAAATACTTTTTCAACAGCTCCTAACTCACAGTTCTACAATATATTAATTAAACCTTTTAAGAAAGAAAAGACATTTTTCCTCACCTAGTTTGTTACAAAGGCGAGGAAGGCAGGACTTCCAAAAACAAAGACTTAAAAATCAAAATTCCAAGGGGGGCATAAACACAGACGAGAACCAGGAACACTTCGATATGGACTTCCGGACATTCAACAATGACGCGACAAGTGACGAGACACACATGGCTTAAAAACACTAGGGAGGTGCAGGTGACTGGACGCAGGTGGAAACAATCATGGCTCCGGCTGCTTGGCGCGGGGAGCCTCTGGAGTCGCCGGCTGCATGGATCCCAGACGGCCCTCAGATCACCAAGGGGAGGGTGGGAGATGACCACGGGATGGGGGGTCGGGGAGCGAGGCCCGCAGGTGTCGGGGTTAGGAGTTGTGGGGCCGGTACTGGGGTCGGGGGCTTGAGTCGTGGGGCCGGATCAGGAGGTTGCTGCGGGACGTGGTGCGCTGCGGCCCAGCGGGGTCGGGAGATTGCTGCGGCCGATTGCGGAACATGATGCGCTGCGGCCCAGCGGGGTCGAGGGGTCGCTGCGGCCCAGCATGGAACGTGGTGCGCTGCAGTCCAGCGCGGGACGTGGTGTGCTGCGGCCCAGCCTGAAGAGCGTAGGAGGCCTGGAGTTGGACCGCGAGGTCCATCACCCGCTCCCAGTGCGATCCGCCGCCTGAAGACCGGGAGATAGCCTCCACATCTGGAGGCAACGTGGTGACCGGAGGGCGGCGAAAACGGCACTGGTTCTGGGGAAAAAAACTCTGCTGAGTCCTTCTTAGGTCGCGTCATTCTGTCACGAAGGCGGAGAAGGCAGGACTCAAACGCAGAGTTTCAAAAATTAAGAGGCTTTAATAGTAAAAAAAAAACTCAAAAAATCCAAGGGGGACAAAAACACAGACGAGAACCAGAACACTTCGACATGGACATTAAATAATGACACGACATTTGACAAGAGACACACATGGCTTAAATACACTGGGAAGGTGCAGGTGATTGGACACAGGTGGAAACAATCAGGACACGACAATCACACGGGATGACAAGACAAGGCAGGAAGTGACGTTACCTAGGGAGACAAGAGGCAAGAAACAATGCAACAATACAAAATAAAATAGAACATGAACCCAAACCGTGACACAGTTAATGATATGAATGGATATATGTTACAAGCAGACGTGGAAACACAGCGTACCCAAAAGAACACTTTTGGATTATGAAGCTTCTTAAAGAAGCATGCTTATCTTTTTCTCCCGAAGAGGTACATTTTATATCCGGACAAGGAATGTATAAAGTAGAGAGAGCCAGTGGGCAACAGGGGGGTGATGGCAGGCCTGGCTGTGGCAGAAGCTAACAAATAACAAAATAACTTTCAATTTGCTATAGATGAGTGGCATTATAAGTACAATTTAAGTGCTACAATTTGTTAGTCCTTTAGTCGACGTAGAATCTGAAGAGGTGCGTCTTTAGTTTGCGCCGTAAGATGTAAAGGCTCTCTGTGGTCCTGGTGTCTTCAGAGAGCTCGTTCAACCATCTCGGAGCAGGACAGCAAGAGTTGTGATCTTGTCCAGTGTTTTGCTCTCACTGAGGGGGGGACGAGCAGTTTGGCAGATGCAGAGCAGAGAGTGCAGGTCGGGATGTAGGGTTGTGTAGAAAACCAAATAAAAAAATAAATATGAAAGTCAACAACATGTGTCCCATTAAAGCACCCAGTAATTACTCCATAACAGCCCGTATGGTTTTGGTAGCGCTACATGCTAATGAATAAACTGATAAAGAACTGTAATTAGTAGATTAACATGTCAAAATAATAAGATTATTGAAAGTTATTGTCTTTTCAGTACATTGTTATGTCTCCATACTGTATCTTCAAAAGATAGTGTAGATGTTTTGAGGAAAGTATTTTCTTTATTTTAGTTATTTAAAGTTTATTTTAAAATTATTTTCCCATTTAGGTTGTTTTAATTATATACATCTAATTATGTGAACCAGTTGCTCAAAACACTAACTTGAATCAAGTAGGTGGCAGTGAGCATGTGATGGTGTTTCCTGAGAAGGATGTACTGTCACTTTTTCTTGGCCAATCAAACACAGTCTTGTGAGTGAAAAATGTAGAAGGGATGAAGATTGTTCTCATTCAACACAATCATTTCAACATGATGACATCTGCAGAGTTTATCTTCTACCTGACATGTTTATTCTTGGGGAAAATGGGTGAGTTGTGTTCAGTTTGAATCTTTTAAAGTGTGTGGCCACTCCTGATGGCATTGCTTCAGATGAGTTGATTCATAGTATCATGAAGTGTAATCGCTTCTTCTCTTGTATCGCTTCAGTTCAGACGACCGACCTGGATTCCTCCTCATCTGTTTATCAAGGGAATAGTTTTCTATCAGTTCAAACTGGGGGGAACTTGACGTTGAAATGTTTTTATGAAGCCGTTTCAGCAGGAACCCTTTACTGGTTTAAACACACTCTGGGACAGAAACCGAGGCTCATCTCATCCTACAACAGGTTCACAATACCTACATTTTATGCTGAATTCAAGAAACCACGTTTCAGAGTGGATACTGAAAATGATCGGAATCACTTGATGATAACAGATCTGCAAATGAATGACTCAGCTACTTACTACTGTGTGAGCAGTAATACACACAAATTGGATTTCTTGGCTACAACTACTGTCAGTGTACAGGGTTCTAGTTCAAACATCCCAACATTAATCCATCAGTCACCATCAGAGACCATCCAGCCAGGAGGCTCTGTGACTCTGAACTGTACAGTACAAACTGGGACCTGTGATGGACAACACAGTGTTTACTGGTTCAAAGACTCTGAAGAATCTCATCCAGGACTCATTTACACTGATGGAGGCAGCACTGATCAGTGTGAGAGGAAAGCCAACACACAAACACACACCTGTGACTACAACCTGCCGATGGAGAGCCTGAATCTGTCTCATGCTGGAACCTACTACTGCGCTGTTGCCTCGTGTGGACACATTGTGTTTGGAAACGGGACTAAACTAGACATTAAAGGTAAGTAATTTTGATAGTTTTTTTTTAATTCATATAGTCAGCAATATACAATAAATGCAAAGCATTTTATGTTGTCTTATTGTAATAATCACCTCAGTAAGATTCCTTTTGAGTTATTTTTATTCAACTGTTCCCCTAAAAACTTAAGCTGTGTACTGTCTCCTGTTTTTGTTTCTTTACAGATGAGAAGGACTCTCGTATCTATTTCTTGAGTGGAGCTCTAACTTTTACCATCATCCTTAATGTCCTTCTGGTTTTCTTACTTTGCATGATGAACAAGAGAAACCGCTGTCAAGTTACAGGTATTGTAACAACTATTTTGTGTGTCTGAGAGTGTGCCCTCACTTCACACGTTTTTATAGTGTCAGAACTTTTCTTTCTGTTTCAGAGTTTCATGCAAGATGTTCAGCTCCCTCCACACCAAATGCAGAGGTAAGATAACTCTTGTTCTATTATTCAAACAATCAGGCACAGTAGTGATTCAGGACACTGTTTTATTGTCTATAATGTGTAATATTGTGGTTTCTCTTTTTTGTTAGGGTGAACAAAATGAATCAAACATCCACTATGCGGCGGTAAGAGAACAAAAGATTAGCAGATCTAGAAGACAAAGGAACAACCTTGAGACTGAATGCACATACTCAACTATAAAGCTGTAGGAGTGTACGTGCTTCAAAGGGGTACCAAGCAGACGCTGAGGTCATTTATCACTTTGTCTTTCTTGTGACTACGTGTTGAAGCAGCAACTGTTGCTCCTTTCTGAGAAGATGTGTTGATTCAACATGTTACTTTAGGGCTTTGCTATGGAATCGGCGCAGACTGATTTAACTGTATTTAACAGAAAAAAGTTGAATCTCCATCAAATCCAGACTGTTTTATGAAGGAAAGGAAAAAAACTGGACTAGAATCAGATATAAGACCCTCCACAGAACGATGAGTCAACATGCCTTTGGCTTTAAGATACACTGAGTCATTAAGTTAATTCATTGGATCTCTATTTGAAGGGCTTTTGTTTGTCAACTTGCTGCTGTGAGTTGTTTGCAAAAATTAAATCATGATGGTAGTTGTGGGCCGATGTGTTCAAAAACCACACACATACACAAACGCTGCAGATCAGCTGATGTTTTATTGTGATGTAAAAATCCTTTTGGACACAGTGTTATGAGTGAATGTGAAATGCTAACATTTCTTTCAAGTGTGAAACAATAACTTCATTGTATTTTGTGTATTGATAATAAATGTAAATGATGAATAGTCAGATATTCTGCTTTTGAGCCCACTATTTATGTTTTTTTATACACAAAACCCTCTGACTGTCACAAGATCCCCCTGATGGAATTAGAACGAATGCAAGTTCAAAGTTCTTCCGCATTGGCTCCACTTTTGAGAAACAAAGTTTGCCGCTTGGGTGCACCACTCAGCAATGCTTCAAAAACACAACACGCGTTCTCCACTGCCCGTGTGCCGTGTTCATCTGTTTTGCTGAACAAAATGTCACAAGCTTTTTCTGAACATTGAAGACTGATCAAATGCAGATCTCTTACCTGCTGGTACAGAGACTAGTTCAAAACACATCCAGGAACTCTGTGTACATGTATACATCTATGAATATGAACAAGTCAACTTAGCACTTCCTCATGTGTACTATGCAAGGTCAGTCAATGGACTATAATATAATTTGTTTTATTTTAAATTGTTGGCTTTTATTCCTGTGTCCAAATAAGACATTACTTTATTTGTGTATTATGAATATGCGATTCATGTTTATTTTATATTTCTTTAGTGTAAAGTCATGGAATGAAAAAGAAAAGTGACAGCATTGGATGCAGACAATGAGCTGGAAATGGTAAAAAATCCCATCTGGTCTATTAATACCTTCTTTTAACCAGAAATGTAAGTGCGGCATGCAACCTTCAAACTAGTTCAGCACTGTGCATGACCTCATTCTGACTGCTGATGTAAAAAAGGTGTGAACTGCTGTGACCAGGGCCCTGTTCCTCGTACGTGGCTAACAGAGTTAGCCGGATCATTTTCATGATAAGATGACATAGATCAGTTTGTCTAAAACACTATAGCAACACATCCAAAAACTTGAACCTGCTCCGGCGCAGGTTCATCTGAGCTCCTGGATTAGTTCGCCACTCCCCCGAAAAAAAGGGCAGCTCTCTTCCTCATTGATCACATTTCTGATAATGAGTAATAGATACACACTAATTCGCACATACACAGATTTACAAACACACAATAAACTTTCTAGTTCTATACGGTCAAACATATATACACTTTCATATGAGCCAAGGAGCAAAATTAATTTACGTCACTGTATAGATTTCTAAAACATTTGATCTAATGTAAAAGTACTGTAAAAAATAGATACACGTGGATAAAAAAAGGTGTTTTAATTAAATATGAATAATATTACAGTTCAATGGTTGCAGTTTATGCAAATTAGTATAGTTTGTTTTATATGTACACGATTCAGCACGTGTGTTATTCCTGACAGTCTAACTGGTAGCTGTAAAACATGGCAATCTTTGTTTTGTCTGTGTTTAATTGGTTTGTCCTGACACTAACAGCCAATCCAACTCCATTCTCAGGTAGAGGGGTGGGACTTAGGCATATGCGGTCAAGTTCAGTGGATTCAGAGAAATGCAAAAGCCGGTTTACACCGTCAAGTGAATAGGCAATACAGGGCTCTCAAGTGTCACTCATTGAGCGTGACAGTCACTAATTTCGGTCTTTAGTCACGCACTTCCGCCGTACATTCAATTTCTGAAAAAAAAAGCGGGGGCCCCCCCGTCGGCCGTATGGTCACCCTCGACAAAATGTCACTCCAAGGTTTTTAGAAAAGTTGAGCGCTCTGCATACACAGTGGAGGCAAAAAAACACAGAATATTCTTTGCACGCAGCTTATTGTGCACGCTGCCACAAAACCGAGTGTATGGAAGAAACAACTTGTGTGTTTGTTTCAGGGGTCACGAGCAGGACGTCTCTTTATCACTCTTCATCAAAACTACAGTTAAAGACAGTCAACAACTAAATGACTAAAAGCAGTCCAAGAGACTTCACACGGCCGTAAAGCACAATGACAGAGGCGCATCTCTCCTTAAAAAAAGTTAAAAAGGACACAAAATTGGGCCAGCACGGGCAAGAGGTAAGGTTGGTATTCCCACCACATGGACGCATCGCTTACTAATTTAAAATCCAAATGGCTGACGAACTTCTAAAACTCTTTAAAACGTCCGTTCACAATACTTTGTTACAAATCTGCCTATCCGCCTCCACTACTACCGAATGCCCCAGTACCACACCAGGCTCTCTAAAGGGGCGGATCAATCCCAGGACGCATTTGTTGACCATTATAAGATGCACCATGAGACAGTCCCTCGTTAAAAACATAAGACAGGCAACAAATAAAACCACATACTACGTTAACCACTCAAAGCTCACACAAATAATTAAAACATGCAAACAATTAAAATGAGTAATATAAAAGGAAGTAAAAGCATGCAGATATTAATATCTAAATATCACTGTATAACAGGCGTGTTGGGGGGGCGGGGGTTGGCTGCACGGATGGTCTGACAGGGGGAGACACAGTCATTTTCAAGCGGGCGCTGCTGCCTGCAGTAACGCCGTGGTTGAAGGTCTAACACAGGGGTCCCCACGCTTTTTCGGCTCGCAAGCTACTTTTTACTCAACTTTTCACACAAGGAACAGTGTGACATTTCAAGGGATCTATTGGCAGGAATGGAATACGATATTCATGATTATGTTGGTATTGTAATCACGTCAATATAATATTGTGTTTTAGAATGAGTCCTTCATATTTACAACTATGATTTAAGTTGTTTTAATAATATGTATCTAAATACGTGAACAAGTTGCTCAATAAACTAATTTGACTCAATAGGAGGCGGTGAGCATGTGATCGTGTTTCCTGAGTAGGATGTACTGTCACTTTCTGTTGGCCAATCAAACACAGTCTTGTGAGTGAAAAATGTAGAAGGGATGAAGATTGTTCTCATTCAACACAATAATTTCAACATGATGACATCTGCAAAGTTTATCTTCTACCTGACATGTTTGTTCTTGGGGAAAATGGGTGAGTTGTGTTCACTTTGAATCTTTTAAAGTGTGTGGCCACTCCTGATGGCATTGCTTCAGATGTGTTGATTCATAGTATGAAGTGTAATCGCTTCTTCTCTTGTATCGCTTCAGTTCAGACGACCGACCTGGATTCCTCCTCATCTGTTCATCAAGGGAATAGTTTTCTATCAGTTCAAACTAGGGGGAACTTGACGTTGAAATGTTTTTATGAAGCCGTTTCAGCAGGAAGGGTTCACTGGTTTAAACACACTCTGGGACAGAAACCGAGGCTCATCTCATCCTACAACAGGTTCACAAACCTTACATTTTATGCTGAATTCAAGAAACCACGTTTCAGAGTGGATACTGGAAATGATCGGAATCACTTGACGATAAAAGATCTGCAAATGAATGACTTAGCTACTTACAACTGTGTGAACAGTAATACACACAAATTGGATTTCTTGGTTACAACTACTGTCAGTGTACAGGGTTCTAGTTCAAACATCCCAACTTTAATCCATCAGTCACCATCAGAGACCATCCAGCCAGGAGGCTCTGTGACTCTGAACTGTACAGTACAAACTGGGACCTGTGATGGACAACACAGTGTTTACTGGTTCAAAGACTCTGAAGAATCTCATCCAGGACTCATTTACACTGATGGAGGCAGCACTGATCAGTGTAAGAGGAAACCCAACACACCATCACACACCTGTGACTACAACCTGCCGATGGAGAGCCTGAATCTGTCTCATGCTGGAACCTACTACTGTGCTGTTGTCTCGTGTGGACACATTCTGTTTGGAAACGGGACCAAGCTGGACTTTAAAGGTAAGTCATTTCAATCAAAGGTTTTGTAATTTATTCCTATTCATATAGTCAGTAAAATACTTCTAAAGGCAATATAAATCATATATAGATATATCATATATGTGATATAAATCATTTTGATTTATTTTTATTCAACTGTTGTGTCTCCCCTTAAGACTTAAGCTGTGTACTGTCTCCTGTTTTTGTTTCTCTACAGATGAGAAGGACTCTCGTGTCTTGGTTTATTTGTTGAGTGGAGCTCTAACTTTCACCATCATCCTTAATGTCCTTCTGGTTTTCTTACTTTGCATGATGAACAAGAGAAACCGCTGTGAAGTTACAGGTATTGTAACAACTATTTTGTGTGTCTGACAGTGTGCGCTCACTTCACACGTTCTTATAGTGTCAGAACTTTTCTTTCTCCTTCAGAGTCTCATGCAAGATGTTCAGCTCCCGTCACACCAAATGCAGAGGTAAGATTACTGTTGTTCTGTCATTCAAACAATCAGGCATAGTAGTGATTCAGGACACTGTTTTATTGTCTATAATGTGCAATATTGTGGTTTCTCTTTTTTGTTAGGGTGAACAAAATGAATCAAACATCCAATATGCGGCGGTACGAGAACAAAAGACCAGCAGATCTAGAAGACAAAGGAACAACCTTGAGACTGAATGCACATGCTCAACTATAAAGCTGTAGGAGTGTACGTGCTTCAAAGGGGTACCAAGCAGACCTATTAGACTCTGAGGTCATTTTATCACTTTCTCTTTCTTGTGACTACGTGTTGAAGCAGCAACTGTTGCTCCTTTCTGATAGATTCTCAAAAGATGTGATTGATTTACTTTAGGGCTTTGCTATGGAATCGCCTCAGACTGATTTAACTGTGTTCAAAGGGAAAAAGTTAAATTACATTACAGGTCATCTACATCAAACTGACCTTTTAGCTATATCGGTGTATGTTTATGCTTGCATGTGAGAGATCACTCTATATGAAGGAAATGAAGAAACTGGAAGGAAGGGATGACGTAGAGAACAGTTACAGAACTAAACTCAGATGTAAGACCCTCATCAGAACGATGAGTCAACATGCCTTTGGATTTAAGATACACTAAGTCATTAAGTTAGTTCATTGGATCTCTATTTGAAGGGCTTTTGTTTGTCAGCTTGCTGCTGTGAGTTGTTTGCAAAACTTTGAATTTTGAAAATTTGAAATGTGTGTTGAAAAACCACAGATATACACAAACATTTCAGATCAACTAGTTCCAAACACATCAAGGAAGTGTATATGCGTCCATCTATGAATATGATGTGAACTTAGTAATTTCTCATGTGTACTGTGTAAGATCGGGCAATGGACAATAGTACATTTTTTTTTTTAAAGAATAATAAAATGCTTTTACAAATGTATTGTTGGGTTTTATTCCTCCGGTTCCCCGAAGCAAGTTTGGCTAAATCACCATAGCGACACATCCAAAAACTTGAACCTGCTCTGGCGCAGGTTCATTGCTGGATTACTTTGCCACTCCCCCGGAAAAAAAGAGCACGCCCCTCCTAATTGATGAAGGAGCGATATCAGTTAGATAAACGTTTTATAGGGAGATAGATCTCCGAGATCACAGAGACCCGTTATGACATCACGATGACGTCCTGTACGATCATTTATTTACAAGAAGACCTTCTGGAGCCGTAACTCGCTGCAGCCGAGCATCGACTGTCTCTCATGCTGTCTCACTGACTGTTTCTCATACTGTCTCACTGACTGTCTCTCATACTATGTCACGGTGTGGTTTATTTCCTGTCTTATTTTGTAGTTTCCTGCCCCTTGTCTCCCTGGGAAACTTCACTTCCGCCTTGTCCTGTCATCCCCTGTAATTGTCTGATTGTTTCCACCTGTGTCCAATCACCTGCACCTCCCTAGTGTATTTAATCAGTGTGTGTATTTTGTCACTTTTTGCGTCATTGTCGAATGTCCTGGATGTTTCTAGTTTCTGCCTGCCTTTTTGCCCTGGTTCCTGTGTGCGTTTTTTGACCCTTGGCCTTTTGTTTTCTGCCTTTTGACAATTAAAGTCTTTTGTTTTCTAAAAGTCTGCGTGTGAGTCCTGCCTTCCCCGCATCCCTGAAACACTGTCCCTCATACTGTCCATGTCTGTACAGTGTTGCGATGCAGAGAACATCTGGGGAGCCGCTGCATGTCGTTTATTGCTTGAATTGATGGAATTTATTACATTACATTACATTACAGGTCATTTAGCAGACGCTTTTATCCAAAGCGACTTACATTACACTTTAAACCCATGGCTTTTTCACATTTTTGCCTGGGGAGCAATTAGGGGTTAGGTGTCTTGCTCAGGGACACTTCGACGTGGAACATGGGGCAGCCTGGAATCGAACCAACAACCTTGTGCTTCCCAGCACACAGTCAACCTGAAAATTTTGTAGTCGCACTCTGTCCGCTTGTGGGCTGAACTGCTGTGCGCAGCGAGAACTGGACAAGTGGAAAAAAAAAACACTTGGTGCGGTTTGGGAAATATGTTAATATGCACAGTTCTCCCCTGTATGTCGCACCTCTGTTCTACTTTAAATGCAAAAAGATCTCTCCACATAGATGTAACTGACTGCAGCCAGCGGCCATTTCGTTTCCACGGTCAACTTCCGGTCCCGGAATTTTGCCCTGCAATAAATATTGACATACCTGGGATCTATTTTTCCCAAATTCTATGTACAATACTAAGATACAGAGCCAGTGCTTCTACAGACACCTATCTCACCATGGGGGTCGACGTGGCGCATGGAGTACAGACGGTGAGCCGGGAACCGCAAAGTTGGTGGTTCGAGCCGCGGCTGCTCCATGTCAAAGTGTCCCTGAACAAGACACCTGAGCACTAATTGCTTCCCAGGCAAAATGTAAATATCCATTGGTTAAAAATGCAACGTAAGTCGCTTTGGATAAAAAGCGTCAGCTAAATGACCTGTAATATAATGTAAGTGTCATTATGTACAGTCTTTATACCCATACTAATCAGTAAACCAGGAAGTGGGAGGGGCCTGAACCTACAGCATTTCAGGAGGGCCATTTACTCACTGGCTACAAAAGTATTAAGATTCTCTTCATTCAACACAAGAGTTTGAACACGATGACATCTCCAAGGATTGCCCCCTATGTGACATGGTTGTTCTTGTGGAGAATGGGTGAGTTTCATGGAGATAATTATCTTTCTATACTGTACATACATATGTATATAATATGTGTAAATTAAAAACTAAATCTTAAAAAATATATATATATATAAAACCCTGAGAACAATGTTATGCCTCCATACAGAACTTGAAAAGAGAACTGTCTGTACTTGATTTCATTGTATCAAGAGAGGATGCTTAAAACACGTGTTTATATTTGATACAAACATTTTCCACTGATTTAAACCGTTAATTTTATCATATATATTGAAGTGTGTGAATCAGTTGTGCATTACACTAATTTTAATAGGAGGCAGTGAGCATGTGATCGTGTTTCCTGAGTAGGATGTACTGTCACTTTCTGTTGGCCAATCAAACACAGTCTTGTGAGTGAAAAATGTAGAAGGGATGAAGATTGTTCTCATTCAACACAATCATTTCAACACGATGACATCTGCAAAGTTTATCTTCTACCTGACATGTTTGTTCTTGGGGAAAATGGGTGAGTTGTGTTCAGTTTGAATCTTTTAAATTGTGTGGCCACTCCTGATGGCATTGCTTCAGATGAGTTGATTCATAGTATCATGAAGTGTAATCGCTTCTTCTCTTTTATCGCTTCAGTTCAGACGACCGACCTGGATTCCTCCTCATCTGTTCATCAAGGGAATAGTTTTCTATCAGTTCAAACTGGGGGGAACTTGACATTGAAATGTATTCGTGAAGCCGGTACAGCAGCCAAGCTTTACTGGTTTAAACACACTCTGGGACAGAAACCGAGGCTCATCTCATCCTCCTACAGGTTCACAAACCTTACATTTGATGCTGAATTCAAGAATCCACGTTTCACAGTGGATACTGAAAATGATCAGAATCACTTGAGGATAATAGATTTGCAAATTAATGACTCAGCTACTTACTACTGTGTGAGCAGTAATACACACAAAATCATTTTTTTAGCTACAACTACTGTCAGTGTACAGGGTTCTAGTTCAAACATCCCAACATTAATCAATCAGTCACCATCAGAGACCATCCAGCCAGGAGGCTCTGTGACTCTGAACTGTACAGTACAAACTGGGACCTGTGATGGACAACACAGTGTTTACTGGTTCAAAGACTCTGAAGAATCTCATCCAGGACTCATTTACACTGATGGAGGCAGCACTGATCAGTGTGAGAGGAAAGCCAACACACAAACACATACCTGTGACTACAACCTGCCGATGGAGAGCCTGAATCCGTCTCATGCTGGAACCTACTACTGTGCTGTTGCCTCGTGTGGACACATTCTGTTTGGAGACGGGACCAAGCTGGACATTAAACGTAAGTCATTTCAATCAGAGGTTTTGTAATTTATTTCTATTTATATAGTCAGTAAAATACTTTCAAATGCAATATAGATATATCATATATGTGATATAAATCAATTTGAATTCTTTTTATTCAACTGTTGTATCTTATTGTTATTCATATAGTCTGCAATATACAATACATGCAAAGCATTTTATGTTGTCTTATTGTAAAAATCACCTCAGTAAGATTCCTTTTGAGTTATTTTTATTCAACTGCTGTGTCTCCCCTAAAGACTTAAGCTGTGTACTGTCTCCTGTTTTTGTTTCTCTACAGATGAGAAGGACTCTCGTATCTATTTCTTGAGTGGAGCTCTAACTTTTACCATCATCCTTAATGTCCTTCTGGTTTTCTTACTTTGCATGATGAACAAGAGAAACCGCTGTGAAGTTACAGGTATTGTAACAACTATTTTGTGTGTCTGACAGTGTGCGCTCACTTCACACTTTCTTATAGTGTCATAACTTTTCTTTCTCCTCCAGAGTCTCATGCAAGATGTTCAGCTCCCTTCACACCAAATGCAGAGGTAAGATAACTCTTGTTCTATTATTCAAACAACCAGGCACAGTAGTGATTCAGGACACTGTTTTATTGTCTATAATGTGCAATATTGTGGTTTCTCTTTTTTGTTAGGGTGAACAAAACGAATCAAACATCCACTATGCGGCGGTAAAAGAACAAAAGATCAGCAGATCTAGAAGACAAAGGAACAACCTTGAGTTTGAATGCACATACTCAACTATAAAGCTGTAGGAATGTACGTGCTTCAAAGGGGTACCAAGCAGACGCTGAGGTCATTTATCACTTTGTCTTTCTTGTGACTACGTGTTGAAGCAGCAACTGTTGCTCCTTTCTGAGAAGATGTGTTGATTCGACATGTAACTTTAGGGCTTTGCTATGGAATCGGCGCAGACTGATTTAACTGTATTTAACAGAAAAAAAGTTGAATCTCCATCAAATCCAGACTGTTTTATGAAGGAAAGGAAAAAAACTGGACTAGAATCAGATATAAGACCCTCCACAGAACGATGAGTCAACATGCCTTTGGCTTTAAGATACACTGAGTCATTAAGTTAATTCATTGGATCTCTATTTGAAGGGCTTTTGTTTGTCAGCTTGCTGCTGTGAGTTGTTTGCAAAAATTAAATCATGATGGTAGTTGAGTAGACGATGTGTTCAAAAACCACACACATACACAAACACTCCAGATCAGCTGATGTTTTATTGTGATGTCAAAATCCTTTTGGACTCAGTGTTATGAGTGAATATGAAATACTAACAATTATTTCAACTGTGAAATAATAACTTCATTGTTTTTCATGTATTGATAATAAATGTAAATGATGAATAGTCAGATATTCTGCTTTTGAGCCCACTATTTATGTTTTTTTATACACAAAACCCTCTGTCTGTCACAAGATCCCCCTGATGGCATTAGAACGAATGCAAGTTCAAAGTTCTTCCGCATTGGCTCCACTTTTGAGAAACAAAGTTTGCTGCTTCGGTGCACCACTCAGAAATGCTTCAAAAACACAACACGCGTTCTCCACTGCTCGTGTGCCTGGTTCATCTGTTTTGCTGAACAAAATGTCACAAGCTTTTTCTGAACATTGAAGACTGATCAAATGCAGATCTCCTACCTTCTGGTACAGAGACTAGTTCAAAACGCATCCAGGAACTCTGTGTACATGTATACATCTATGAATATGAACAAGTCAACTTAGCACTTCCTCATGTGTACTATGCAAGGTCAGTCAATGGACAATATAATATGTTTTATTTTAAATTGTTGGCTTTTATTCCTGTGTCCAAATAAGACATTACTTTATTTGTGTATTATGAAAATGCGATTGATGTTTATTTTATATTTCTTTAGTGTAAAGACATGGAATGAAAAAAAAACGTGACAGCATTGGATGCAGACATGAGCTGGAAATGGTAAAAAATCCCATCTGGTCTATTAATACCTTCTTTTAACCAGAAATGTATGCGCGGCATGCAACCTTCAAACTAGTTCAGCACTGTGCATGACCTCATTCTGACTGCTGATGTAAAAAAGGTGTGAACTGCTGTGACCAGGGCCCTGTTCCTCGTACGTGGCTAACAGAGTTAGCCGGATCATTTTCATGATAAGATGACATAGATCAGTTTGTCTAAAACACTATAGCAACACATCCAAAAACTTGAACCTGCTCCGGCGCAGGTTTATCTGAGCTCCTGGATTAGTTCGCCACTCCCCCGAAAAAAAGGGCAGCTCTCTTCCTCATTGATCACATTTCTGATAATGAGTAATAGATACACACTAATTCGCACATACACAGATTCACAAACACACAATAAACCTTCTAGTTCTATACGGTCAAACATATATACACTTTCATATGAGCCAAGGCACAAAATTCATTTAGACATCACTGTATAGATTTCTAAAACATTTGATCTAATGTAAAAGTACTGTAAAAAATAGATACAGGTGGATAAAAAGGTATTTTAATTATAATGGTTGCAGTTTATGCAAATTAGTATAGTTTGTTTTATATGTACACGATTCAGCACGTGTGTTATTCCTGACAGTCTAACTTGTAGCTGTAAAACATGGCAATCTTTGTTTTGTCTGTGTTTAATTGGTTTGTCCTGACACTAACAGCCAATCCAACTCCATTCTCAGGTAGAGGGGTGGGACTTAGGCATATGCGGTCAAGTTCAGTGGATTCGGAGAAATGCAAAAGCCGGTTTACACCGTCAAGTGAATAGGCAATACAGGGCTCTCAAGTGTCACTCATTGAGCGTGACAGTCACTCATTTCGGTCTTTAGTCACGCACTTCCGCCGAACATCCAATTTCTGAAAAAAAAAAACGGGGGCCCCCCTCATCGGCCGTATGGTCACCCTCAACAAAATGTCACTCCAAGGTTTTTAGAAAAGTTGAGAGCTCTGCATACACAGTGGAGACAAAAAAACACAGAATATTCTTTGCACGCAGCTTATTGTGCACGCTGCCACAAAACCGAGTGTATGGAAGAAACAACTTGTGTGTTCGTTTCAGGGGTCAAGAGCAGGACGTCTCTTCATCACTCTTCATCAAAGCTACAGTTAAAGACAGTCAACTAAATGACTAAAAGCAGTCCAAGAGACTTCACACGGCCGTAAAGCACAATGAAAGAGGCGCATCTCTCCTTAAAAAAAGTAAAAAAGGACACGAAATTGGGCCAGCACGGGCAAGAGGTAAGGTTGGTATTCCCGCCACATGGACGCATCGCTTACTAATTTAAAATCCAAATGGCTGACGAACTTCTAAAAGTCTTTAAAACGGCCGTTCACAATACTTTGTTACAAATCTGCCTATCCGCCTCCACTCCGTACTACCGAATGCCCCAGTACCACACAAGGCTCTCTAAAGGGGCGGATCAATCCCAGGACGCATTTGTTGACCATTATAAGATGCACCATGAGACAGTCCCTCGTTAAAAACATAAGACAGGCAACAAATAAAACCACATACTATGTTAACCACTCAAAGCTCACACAAATAATTAAAACATGCAAACAATTAAAATGAGTAATATAAAAGGAAGTAAAAGCATGCAGATATTAATATCTAAATATCACTGTATAACAGGGGTGTTGGGGGGGGGGTCGGCTGCACGGATGGTCTGACAGGGGGAGACACAGTCATTTTCAAGCGGGCGCTGCTGCCTGCAGTAACGCCGTGGTTGAAGGTCTAACACAGGGGTCCCCACGCTTTTTCGGCTCGCAAGCTACTTTTCACTCAACTTTTCAATCCAAGTCATGGCAATCTACCCCCCCTCCTGCTCAGGCAGTTTTGCCCGAATAATAATAGCAATAGAACAACAGGTTCATTACAATAACCCCCATCAGAGTATCTCCACCCACGACCCTGTCTAATGTCCTCATGAGCCATTGAGAGCAGACAGGGCTTCTCAGAAGGACACAAGGAACAGGGTCACATTTCAGGGGATCTATTGGCAGGAATGGAATACAATATTCATGATTATGTTGGTATTAATGTAATCACCTCAATATAAGAATGTGTTTTAGAACGAGTCCTTCATATTTACAACTATGATTTAAGTTGTTTTAATCATATGTATCTAAATACGTGAACAAGTTGCTCAATAAACTAATTTGACTCAATAGGAGGCGGTGAGCATGTGATCGTGTTTCCTGAGTAGGATGTACTGTCACTTTCTGTTGGCCAATCAAACACAGTCTTGTGAGTGAAAAATGTAGAAGGGATGAAGATTGTTCTCATTCAACACAATCATTTCAACACGATGACATCTGCAAAGTTTATCTTCTACCTGACATGTTTGATCTTGGGGAAAATAGGTGAGTTGTGTTTTTGTGACTTCAGTTTGAATCTTTTAAAGTGTGTGGCCACTCCTGATGGCATTGCTTCAGATGAGTTGATTCATAGTATCATGAAGTGTAATCGCTTCTTCTCTTGTATCGCTTCAGTTCAGACGACCGACCTGGATTCCTCCTCATCTGTTCATCAAGGGAATAGTTTTCTATCAGTTCAAACTGGGGGAAACTTGACGTTGACATGTTTTCATAAAGCCAGTTCAGCAGCAAGGCTTCACTGGTTTAAACACACTCTGGGACAGAAACCGAGGCTCATCTCATCCTACTCCAGGTTCACAATACCTACATTTTATGCTGAATTCAAGAATCCACGTTTCACAGTGGATACTGAAAATGATCAGAATCACTTGAGGATAATAGATTTGCAAATTAATGACTCAGCTACTTACTACTGTGTGAGCAGTAAAACACACACATTTGATTTTACTGCTACAACTACTGTCAGTGTACAGGGTTCTAGTTCAAACATACCAACTTTAATCCATCAGTCACCATCAGAGACCATCCAGCCAGGAGGCTCTGTGACTCTGAACTGTACAGTACAAACTGGGACCTGTGATGGACAACACAGTGTTTACTGGTTCAAAGACTCTGAAGAATCTCATCCAGCACTCATTTACACTGATGGAGGCAGCACTGATCAGTGTGAGAGGAAACCCAACACACAAACACACACCTGTGACTACAACCTGCCGATGGAGAGCCTGAATCCGTCTCATGCTGGAACCTACTACTGTGCTGTTGCCTCGTGTGGACACATTCTGTTTGGAGACGGGACCAAGCTGGACTTTAAAGGTAAGTCATTTCAATCAGAGGTTTTGTAATTTATTTCTATTTATATAGTCAGTAAAATACTTTCAAATGCAATATAGATATATCATATATGTGATATAAATCAATTTGAATTCTTTTTATTCAACTGTTGTATCTTATTGTTATTCATATAGTCTGCAATATACAAAACATGCAAAGCATTTTATGTTGTCTTATTGTAATAATCACCTCAGTAAGATTCCTTTTGAGTATTTTTATTCAACTGCTGTGTCTCCCCTAAAGACTTAAGCTGTGTAATGTCTCCTGTTTTTGTTTCTCTACAGATGAGAAGGACTCTCGTATCTATTTCTTGAGTGGAGCTCTAACTTTTACCATCATCCTTAATGTCCTTCTGGTTTTCTTACTTTGCATGATGAACAAGAGAAACCGCTGTGAAGTTACAGGTATTGTAACAACTATTTTGTGTGTCTGACAGTGTGCGCTCACTTCACACGTTCTTATAGTGTCAGAACTTTTCTTTCTCCTTCAGAGTCTCATGCAAGATGTTCAGCTCCCTTCACACCAAATGCAGAGGTAAGATAACTCTTGTTCTATTATTCAAACAACCAGGCACAGTAGTGATTCAGGACACTGTTTTATTGTCTATAATGTGCAATATTGTGGTTTATCTTTTTTGTTAGGGTGAACAAAACGAATCAAACATCCACTATGCGGCGGTAAGAGAACAAAAGATCAGCAGATCTAGAAGACAAAGGAACAACCTTGAGTTTAAATGCACATACTCAACTATAAAGCAGTAGGAGTGTACGTGCTTCAAAGGGGTACCAAGCAGACGCTGAGGTCATTTTATCACTTTGTCTTTCTTGTGACTACGTGTTGAAGCAGCAACTGTTGCTCCTTTCTGAGAAGATGTGTTGATTCAACATGTAACTTTAGGGCTTTGCTATGGAATCGGCGCAGACTGATTTAACTGTATTTAACAGAAAAAAGTTGAATCTCCATCAAATCCAGACTGTTTTATGAAGGAAAGGAAAAAAACTGGACTAGAATCAGATATAAGACCCTCCACAGAACGATGAGTCAACATGCCTTTGGCTTTAAGATACACTGAGTCATTAAGTTAATTCATTGGATCTCTATTTAAAGGGCTTTTGTTTGTCAGCTTGCTGCTGTGAGTTGTTTGCAAAAATTAAATAATGATGGTAGTTGTGGGAAGATGTGTTCAAAATCTACACACATACACAAACACTCCAGATCAGCTGATGTTTTATTGTGATGTCAAAATCCATTTGGACACAGTGTTATGAGTGAATATGAAATACTAACAATTCTTTCAAGTGTGAAATAATAACTTCATTGTATTTCGTGTATTGATAATAAATGTAAATGATGAATAGTCAGATATTCTGCTTTTGAGCCCACTATTTATGTTTTTTTATACACAAAACCCTCTGTCTATCACAAGATCCCCTGATGGCATTAGAACGAATGCAAGTTCAAAGTCCTTCTGCATTGGCTCCACTTTTGAGAAACAAAGTCTGCTCCTTGGGTGCACCACTCAGCAATGCTTCAAAAACACAACACGCGTTCTCCACTGCTCGTGTGCCGTGTTCATCTGTTTTGCTGAACAAAATGTCACAAGCTTTTTCTGAACATTGAAGACTGATCAAATGCAGATCTCCTACCTGCTGGTACAGAGACTAGTTCAAAACACATCCAGGAACTCTGTGTACATGTATACATCTATGAATATGAACAAGTCAACTTAGCACTTCCTCATGTGTACTATGCAAGGTCAGTCAATGGACTATAATATAATGTGTTTTATTTTAAATTGTTGGCTTTTATTCTTGTGTCCAAATAAGACATTACTTTATTTGTGTATTATGAAAATGCGATTGATGTTTATTTTATATTTCTTTAGTGTAAAGTCATGGAATGAAAAAAAAATGTGACAGCATTGGATGCAGACATGAGCTGGAAATGGTAAAAAATCCCATCTGGTCTATTAATACCTTCTTTTAACCAGAAATGTAAGCGCGGCATGCAACCTTCAAACTAGTTCAGCACTGTGCATGACCTCATTCGGACTGCTAATGTAAAAAAGGTGTGAACTGCTGTGACCAGGGCCCTGTTCCTCGTACGTAGCTAACGGAGTTAGCCGGATCATTTTCATGATAAGATGACATAGATCAGTTTGTCTAAAACACTATAGCAACACATCCAAAAACTTGAACCTGCTCCTGCGCAGGTTCATCTGAGCTCCTGGTTTAGTTCGCCACTCCCCCGAAAAAAAGGGCAGCTCTCTTCCTCATTGATCACATTTCTGATAATGAGTAATAGATACACACTAATTCGCACATACACAGATTCACAAACACACAATAAACCTTCTAGTCCTATACGGTCAAACATATATACACTTTCATATGAGCCAAGGAGCAAAATTCATTTAGACGTCACTGTATAGATTTCTAAAACATTTGATCTAATGTAAAAGTACTGTAAAAAATAGATACAGGTGGATAAAAAGGTATTTTAATTATAATGGTTGCAGTTTATGCAAATTAGTATAGTTTGTTTTATATGTACACGATTCAGCACGTGTGTTATTCCTGACAGTCTAACTTGTAGCTGTAAAACATGGCAATCTTTGTTTTGTCTGTGTTTAATTGGTTTGTCCTGACACTAACAGCCAATCCAACTCCATTCTCAGGTAGAGGGGTGGGACTTAGGCATATGCGGTCAAGTTCAGTGGATTCGGAGAAATGCAAAAGCCGGTTTACACCGTCAAGTGAATAGGCAATACAGGGCTCTCAAGTGTCACTCATTGAGCGTGACAGTCACTCATTTCGGTCTTTAGTCACGCACTTCCGCCGAACATCCAATTTCTGAAAAAAAAAAACGGGGGCCCCCCTCATCGGCCGTATGGTCACCCTCAACAAAATGTCACTCCAAGGTTTTTAGAAAAGTTGAGAGCTCTGCATACACAGTGGAGACAAAAAAACACAGAATATTCTTTGCACGCAGCTTATTGTGCACGCTGCCACAAAACCGAGTGTATGGAAGAAACAACTTGTGTGTTCGTTTCAGGGGTCACGAGCAGGACGTCTCTTCATCACTCTTCATCAAAGCTACAGTTAAAGACAGTCAACTAAATGACTAAAAGCAGTCCAAGAGACTTCACACGGCCGTAAAGCACAATGAAAGAGGCGCATCTCTCCTTAAAAAAAGTAAAAAAGGACACGAAATTGGGCCAGCACGGGCAAGAGGTAAGGTTGGTATTCCCGCCACATGGACGCATCGCTTACTAATTTAAAATCCAAATGGCTGACGAACTTCTAAAAGTCTTTAAAACTGCCGTTCACAATACTTTGTTACAAATCTGCCTATCCGCCTCCACTCCGTACTACCGAATGCCCCAGTACCACACAAGGCTCTCTAAAGGGGCGGATCAATCCCAGGACGCATTTGTTGACCATTATAAGATGCACCATGAGACAGTCCCTCGTTAAAAACATAAGACAGGCAACAAATAAAACCACATACTATGTTAACCACTCAAAGCTCACACAAATAATTAAAACATGCAAACAATTAAAATGAGTAATATAAAAGGAAGTAAAAGCATGCAGATATTAATATCTAAATATCACTGTATAACAGGGGTGTTGGGGGGGGGGTCGGCTGCACGGATGGTCTGACAGGGGGAGACACAGTCATTTTCAAGCGGGCGCTGCTGCCTGCAGTAACGCCGTGGTTGAAGGTCTAACACAGGGGTCCCCACGCTTTTTCGGCTCGCAAGCTACTTTTCACTCAACTTTTCAATCCAAGTCATGGCAATCTACCCCCCCTCCTGCTCAGGCAGTTTTGCCCGAATAATAATAGCAATAGAACAACAGGTTCATTACAATAACCCCCATCAGAGTATCTCCACCCACGACCCTGTCTAATGTCCTCATGAGCCATTGAGAGCAGACAGGGCTTCTCAGAAGGACACAAGGAACAGGGTCACATTTCAGGGGATCTATTGGCAGGAATGGAATACAATATTCATGATTATGTTGGTATTAATGTAATCACCTCAATATAAGAATGTGTTTTAGAACGAGTCCTTCATATTTACAACTATGATTTAAGTTGTTTTAATCATATGTATCTAAATACGTGAACAAGTTGCTCAATAAACTAATTTGACTCAATAGGAGGCGGTGAGCATGTGATCGTGTTTCCTGAGTAGGATGTACTGTCACTTTCTGTTGGCCAATCAAACACAGTCTTGTGAGTGAAAAATGTAGAAGGGATGAAGATTGTTCTCATTCAACACAATCATTTCAACACGATGACATCTGCAAAGTTTATCTTCTACCTGACATGTTTGATCTTGGGGAAAATAGGTGAGTTGTGTTTTTGTGACTTCAGTTTGAATCTTTTAAAGTGTGTGGCCACTCCTGATGGCATTGCTTCAGATGAGTTGATTCATAGTATCATGAAGTGTAATCGCTTCTTCTCTTGTATCGCTTCAGTTCAGACGACCGACCTGGATTCCTCCTCATCTGTTCATCAAGGGAATAGTTTTCTATCAGTTCAAACTGGGGGAAACTTGACGTTGACATGTTTTCATAAAGCCAGTTCAGCAGCAAGGCTTCACTGGTTTAAACACACTCTGGGACAGAAACCGAGGCTCATCTCATCCTACTCCAGGTTCACAATACCTACATTTTATGCTGAATTCAAGAATCCACGAATCACAGTGGATAAAGAAAATGATCGGAATCACTTGACGATAAAAGATCTGCAAATGAATGACTCAGCTACTTACTACTGTGTGAGCAGTAATACACACAAAATCATTTTTTTAGCTACAACTACTGTCAGTGTACAGGGTTCTAGTTCAAACCTCCCAGCTTTGCTCCATCAGTCACCATCAGAGACCATCCAGCCAGGAGGCTCTGTGACTCTGAACTGCACAGTACAAACTGGGACCTGTGATGGACAACACAGTGTTTACTGGTTCAAAGACTCTGAAGAATCTCATCCAGGACTCATTTACACTGATGGAGGCAGCACTGATCAGTGTGAGAGGAAAGCCAACACACAAACACATACCTGTGACTACAACCTGCCGATGGAGAGCCTGAATCTGTCTCATGCTGGAACCTACTACTGTGCTGTTGCCTCGTGTGGACACATTCTGTTTGGAAACGGGACCAAACTGGATATTGAGGGTAAGTGGCTTGTTTGAGCCGAGTTTGTTGTATCTAATTGGTCCTTAATAGAGACATGTTTCTGCCCTCTAACTCTTTGCAGATGAGGTGGACTCTCCTTTCGTCGTCTATCTCTTAAGTGGCGCTTTGGTATTCAGCAACATCCTAGTTGTTTTACTGGCTCTTTCAGTGTGCATGATGAACAAGACAGACAGCTGCCAAAGCACAGGTAACTGTAGCTGTTTGTATCTGGCAGCTGGGTTTCACTTAATGCAGCTTTTTAATTCAAGAGCTTTTTTTTTGTTTTTAAGAATCTCAAGCAAGATATCCTGCTCCCTCCAGGGCAAATGCAAAGGTGAATAAAAACTATTCAACTGCTGCCTTAGTACCTTTTAGTTTAGTACCTTTTTTCATTTTGTCAATTCATTTTGTCCTGTATATTGTTTCATGTAATAATCAACTAACATCTGATTTGTTACCAGCGTTACCAAAACAAAGAAATCCTGTATTATGCAGCTTTAAGTGTCCACCTGCACAACGGATCAAGAAGACAGACGGATCAGACCTGGAGTGAATGTATTTACTACAGCGTGAAGCAGTAGAACTCCAAATATGGCAATGTTTTCTCTTTTGAACTGTAATGAAGGTTTGATACAAGTCAAAATAGAAGTCTATTTTTTGGTAATTTGCAAACATTATAATTATTTCTTCTGTTAGTTGTGAGAAGCAAACCATCTATCGTTTTTATCAATAAATGTTTTCTACGTCTTAACTAATATATTTAGAAGCTCAGATCTGCAGTTTCAGACCATCTGACACGGTTTGTGTTCAACCTCATTGTTGTTTTCTATAACCAAATCAAATTGGGGTATTTGTGTGTGAAATTAATGTAATCAATGATAATAAATAAACAGGAAAAGGAAGAAGCTTTTTTGTGACATAAAACCCTGCTGCTGTAGAAGATGATCAGTTAAAACTGTGACAATTACTGGACTATTGAAGTTTTCTTTTATCTCTTATAAAAGTGAATTCATTTAACAGAAAGAAAGCACTATAACATATTAATACAAACCCATTTTACACCCTCAACCTCTAGCCGGTGAAAGAGTCTGCTGGGTTCCTGTTTGAACCTTAAACACAATCAGAAGGGTCAGACTGTCTTGCTGTTGAACTCAAGTGTGATCCTATGGATCACTTGCTAATTTAAATCAAACTTTTTCAAATTGCACAAAAATATTTTTGTCCAACAACTGAGGGGGTTTAAATAAATTTTGCCTTTTTCCCAGAGGGTTCTCCACTGAAGTCTATATGGCTTTTTATCAACGTTTCTACTGGTTTTACTTAGAGATGTACAATACAGCGGTGTCCAATATATTCAACTTATTTGATATAAGTCAGATCATGTAGTCAGTTACATGGTTTTAAAGCTGGTGACTGATACTGAATTAAAGATGCCACACAGCCATTAGTCAGTTTACCATAAAAGACCTTCCTCTTTGAACGCTGGAGTCAGACAGCAGCTGAAAGACACCGTCAGAAGAAAGGTGCTTTTTCAGTGCTTGTGTGGATACACGTGTCGGTACCTGCAGCATTAAATTAAACTTCCAGTTGAATCTTTGTTGGCAGTATAGATCTGAAAAAAATGTTTTCCAACAAGTCATTCAGATTTGACTCCACTTCCACCTACAGGTTCATTACAATAATCCCCATCAGAGTATCTCCATCCACGACCCTGTCTATTGTCCTCATGAGCCATTCAGAGCAGACAGGGCTTCTCAGAAGGACACAAGGAACAGGGTCACATTTCAGGGGATCTATTTGCAGTAATGGAATACGATATTCACGATTATGTTGTCATTAGTTTAATCACCTGAATCTAAGAATGTGTTTTCATGAGCTTAGAATGAGTCCTTTATATCAACAAAGGGAGCTTGTCCTCTTCACAAAGTGTTACAAGTTTCACAGCCAAGTTTCTACAGTAGCACAGAGCAGATGAATTAAACATTGGCTCTCCGGAGATGCTTCCAATATTCCACATTACCTGGAGGCCACCGTAGTTTACCCTCAAACTTGTGGAACTGCTGTGAAGTGAGTCAGCGAGTGCAAAACCGTGGAAACACCAGACAACCACCAGAGCCCTGGAAAGGGAAGAATAAGGTGTATTGGGAATAAAACATTTTAAAGCGTTTTAGACGGACTGTAGTTGGATGAACAGTCAGGGGGAGATTAAATGTTTGTTTTGAACATTAAAATGTTCATGTATCAAACGAAATATAAGAACGAGAATGAAAGTAAACAACATGTGTCTCATTTAAGTTACCAGTAATAAGTCCATAACAGTCCATAAGGTTTGGTTAGCACTACATGCTAATGAATGAAATGATAAAGAACTGTCTACATGTCAAAATAATAAATTATGATTGTTGACAGTTATTGTTTATTTAGTACATTATTATGTCTCCATACTGCAGCTTCAAAAAAGAGCTTGATAGTGTACTTGATATCTTTATATCAAGTAAAAATGCTTTCGAGGAAACTGCTTGAAACGTGTTTATATTTCATAAAAAGGAGTAATTTTCCACTGATTTAAGTTGTTTTAAACATACACATCTAATTATGTGAACATGTTGCGCAATAAACTAATTTGAATCAAGTAGGAGGCAGTGAGCATGTGATGGTGTTTCCTGAGTAGGATGTACTGTCACTTTCTGTTGGCCAATCAAACACAGTCTTGTGAGTGAAAAATGTAGAAGGGATGAAGATTGTTCTCATTCAGCACAATAATTTCAACACGATGACATCTGCAAAGTTTATCTTCTACCTGACATGTTTGTTCTTGGGGAAAATGGGTGAGTTGTGTTTTAGTGACTTCAGTTTGAATCTTTTAAAGTGTGTGGCCACTCCTGATGGCATTGCTTCAGATGAGTTGATTCATAGTATCATGAAGTGTAATCGCTTCTTCTCTTGTATCGCTTCAGTTCAGACGACCGACCTGGATTCCTCCTCATCTGTTTATCAAGGGAATAGTTTTCTATCAGTTCAAACTGGGGGAAACTTGACGTTGAAATGTTTTCATGAAGCCAGTTCAGCAGCAAGGGTTCACTGGTTTAAACACACTCTGGGACAGAAACCGAGGCTCATCTCATCCTACTCCAGGTTCACAAACCTTACATTTTATGTTGAATTCAAGAATCCACGTTTCACAGTGGATACTGGAAATAATACGAATCACTTGACGATAAAAGATTTGCAAATTAATGACTCAGCTACTTACTACTGTGTGAGCAGTAATACACACAAAATCATTTTTTTAGCTACAACTACTGTCAGTGTACAGGGTTCTAGTTCAAACATCCCAACATTAATCCATCAGTCACCATCAGAGACCATCCAGCCAGGAGGCTCTGTGACTCTGAACTGTACAGTACAAACTGGGACCTGTGATGGACAACACAGTGTTTACTGGTTCAAAGACTCTGAAGAATCTCATCCAGCGCTCATTTACACTGATGGAGGCAGCACTGATCAGTGTGAGAGGAAACCCAACACACAAACACACACCTGTGACCACAACCTGCCGATGGAGAGCCTGAATCTGTCTCATGCTGGAACCTACTACTGTGCTGTTGCCTCGTGTGGACACATTCTGTTTGGAAACGGAACCAAGCTGGACTTTAAAGGTAAGTCATTTCGATAGGAGGTTTTGTAATTTATTCCTATTCATATAGTCAGTAAAATACTGCTAAAGGCAATATAAATCATATATAGATATATCATATATGTGATATAAATCATTTTGATTTCTTTTTATTCAACTGCTGTATCTCCCCTAAAGACTAAAGCTGTGTAATGTCTCCTGTTTTTGTTTCTCTACAGATGAGAAGGACTCTCGTATCTTGGTGTATTTCTTGAGTGGAGCTCTGACTTTTACCATCATCCTTAATGTCCTTCTGGTTTTCTTACTTTGCATGATGAACAAGAGAAACCGCTGTGAAGTTACAGGTATTGTAACAACTATTTTGTGTGTCTGACAGTGTGCGCTCACTTCACACGTTCTTATAGTGTCAGCACTTTTCTTTCTCCTTCAGAGTCTCATGCAAGATGTTCAGCTCCCTCCACACCAAATGCAGAGGTAAGATTACTGTTGTTCTATCATTCAAACAATCAGGCATAGTAGTGATTCAGGATTCAGGTTTTATTGTCAATAAAGTAAAATATTGTGGTTTATCTTTTTTGTTAGGGTGAACAAAACGAATCAAACATCCAATATGCGGCGGTGAGAGAACAAAAGATCAGCAGATCTAGAAGACAAAGGAACAACCTTGAGTTTGAATGCACATACTCAAATTTGAAGCAATAGGAGTGTACGTGCATCAAAGGGGTGACGGTGAGGTCATTTTATCACTTTGTCTTTCTTGTGACTACGTGTTGAAGCAGCAACTGTTGCTCCTTTCTGAAAAGATGTGTTGATTCAACATGTAACTTTAGGGCTTTGCTATGGAATTGGAAAGGGCTTTTGTTTGTCAGCTTGCTGCTGTTAGTTGTTTGCATAACTTAAATCACAAATGATAGTAGTTGTGGGAAAATGTGTTCAAAAACCACACGCATACTCACACATTCAAGATCAGCCGCGGTTTATGAATCTTAAATGCAATTATTCTGATGTAAAAATCATTTTGGACACAATGTTATATGTGAATATGAAATATCAATTGTTTGTGTGATCCATCCAGTGCTAATGAATACAGATTTTTATATATACAAAACCTTTTTGCCTGTCACAAGATGTCCCTGAAATTCAAGATCCTTCCGAATTGGCTCCACTTTTCAGAAACAAACTCTGCCGTGTGGATGCACAAAAACACAACACGCGTCCTCCAATGCTCGTTTGCCTGGTTCAATTGTTTTGCTGAACAACAATTTAAAACAAATTATAGATGAATGATAAGCTTTTTCTGTAATTCTTCTGTGTGCCAAAAAACATTCTTTAGGATGAGTTTAACACAAATCTATTAGATAGTTTGTGAAACCATCTGTCAATCAAACTCTAACTACTTCAGGAGCTGCCATTTTTGTTTTGAAAGGACAAAGAGTCGACTCAGTGTTGCATCACACTCAGCTAAACCACGCCCATAGTGTCAGTAGCAGTAGCAGTAACAGGAAACAGGAAACAGGAAACATTTATTGGCCAAAGTATGTCAAACATACAAGGAATTTGTCTTGGCGGTTAGTGCGCGACAGTAGACAGACAAGACAACAGTGCACAGGTAATAAAATAAAGTGGAATGAAATGCTAATGCAATGGGTTAGTAAGAATAAGGCTAAGGCTATGGGTTAGTAAAAAAACAAGGGAATAAAGTTAAACAAATTTTAAATATTAAGAAGTTAAAAAGAAAAGTATTAAGCATAAAGTGCACTAACAAACAAGTAACAGACAAGAGACAAAGTGACAAGTGACAAAGTGATGAATTGCAGTTAAAGTGGCATGTGCAGTATGAGGGGGAGTGACCGGTGGAGTGTTATAGTCAGGCAGTGGGGGACCGGGCTCTGTTGATGAGCCCGACTGCCGACGGGAAGAAACTGTTCGTGTGGCGGGAGGTCGTAGTCCTGATGGACCTCAGCCTCCTGCCAGATGGAAGGGGCACAAACAGTTTATGTCCGGGGTGGAAGGGGTCGGCCGCGATCTTTTTAGCTCGCTTCAGAGACCTGGAAGCGAACAAGTCCTCCAGGGACGGGAGATTGCAGCCAATCACCCTCTCTGCAGAGCGGATGACACGCTGCAGCCTGCCCTTGTCCTTGGCTGTGGCTGCAGCGTACCAGACGGTGATGGAGGAGCAGAGGATGGACTCGATGATGGCCGTGTAGAAGTGGACCATCATCGTCTTTGGCAGGTTGAGTTTCTTCAGCTGCCTCAGGAAGAACAACCTCTGCTGAGCCTTTTTGGTGATGGAGCTGATGTTCAGCTCCCACTTGAGGTCCTGGGTGATGATGGAGCCCAGGAAACGGAAGGAATCCACAATAGTGACGGGGGAGTCACACAGCGTGATGGGGGAGGTTGGGGCTCTGTTCCGCCGGAAATCCACAACCATCTCCACTGTCTTTAGAGCGTTGAGCTCCAGGTTGTTCTGGCTGCACCACGACACCAGATGGTCAGACTCCCACCTGTAGGCGGACTCGTCCCCACCAGAGATTAGTCCAATGAGGGTGGTGTCATCCGCAAACTTCAGGAGCTTGACGGACTGGTGGCTGGAGGTGCAGCTGTTGGTGTACAGGGAGAAGAGCAGAGGGGAAAGAACGCAGCCTTGGGGGGAACCGGTGCTGATGGTCCGAGAGGCTGAGACATGTTTCCCCAGCTTCACGTGCTGCTTCCTGTCAGACAGGAAGTCTGTGATCCACTTGCAGGTGGAGTCGGGCACGTGCAGCTGGGAGAGTTTGTCCTGCAGCAGAGACGGGATGATAGTGGTAAAAGCAGAGCTGAAGTCCACAAACAGGATCCTGGCGTAGGTTCCTGGGGAGTCCAGATGCTGGAGGATGTAGTGGAGGGCCATGTTGACAGCATCGTCCACAGACCTGTTGGCTCTGTAGGCGAACTGCAGGGGGTCAGGAGGGGTCAGTGAGGGACTTCAGGTGGGACAGGACTAGCCGTTCAAAAGACTTCATGACTACAGAGGTCAGGGCGACGGGCCTGTAGTCATTGAGTCCTGTGATCCTGGGCTTCTTGGGGACAGGGATGATGGTGGAGGCCTTGAAGCAGGCTGGTACGTGGCATGTCTCCAGGGAGGTGTTGAAGATGTCAGTGAACACCGGAGACAGCTGGTCAGCACAATGCTTCAGGGAGTGAGGGGAAACGGAGTCCGGACCGGCTGCCTTACGGGGATTTAGTCTTCTAAAGAGCCGGTTAACGTCTCTCTCCAGAATAGAGAGGGTCGTTGCTGGTGGGGGAGGGGGAAGGTGATAATGATGAAGAGGCGTGAGCACCTGATGGGCTGGGGGAGGGAGGGGAGGGGGGACTGCAGCAGGTTGGTGGAGCTGTGGGGGATGGGATCAGGACATTGTCTTTCAAATCTGCAGTAGAACTCATTGAGCTCGTCTGCCAGGCGGAGGTCATTCATGGAGTGGGGGGTTTTTGGCTTGTAGTTGGTGAGGTGTTTGAGGCCTCTCCAAACCGAAGCAGAGTCACTTGCTGAGAACTGTTGTTGGAGTTTCTCAGAGTACAGTCGTTTAACGTCTCTCACCGCCTTGCTAAACTTGTATTTTGCCTCTGTGTACAAGTCTTTGTCCCCACTCCTAAATGCCTGATCCTTCTGTAATGTCCTCACGGGATGCTGATTGGTCCACTTTTGTCACTAAGAACTCTGTCTGCACCCCAATACGAAGATCAAAGAGAAAGGATGTAAAAAATCAGCAAAAGCATTCATTTCACTAGAAAGGACAACGCCACCAACTAAAAATACCCATCTGAATTGCAGTTTACATATTTGCAAACCTGTTTATATTTAATCACCAACATGCATTCTGTTGTCAAAACAGGCCATGTTTTGTCTTGTTCTGTGCCTCAATGTCAGCCAACCATGTTCAGCAATATGAGGATGAAAAACCAATCAGACCAGAGTGATGTTGTGAGGATGTAGGACATGTGGTAAAATGTGTTTGCCACCAGAAGCAGCTCATACCCACAATATACTGTATGTAGTTTCCACAATGGACAGCAGAGAGAAAAGAGACACTACAACAAATGAATACAAGCTATAAAATGCCATACGGTGCTTGAATGACATCAGAAAGATATTAAAATGTAAAAAACATATTTAGTATTGTTAAGTTTTTGGATAGATTGCTGTTATGGCAAATTGTTTTCCTGTCGAACATCATTCTGGGATTGTGACACTCATCCTGATATGGACACAATGAAAGAGTTGGAGAAGATATTCCTCAGGTATTTGAAACCATATTGATCAGCTGTTTGTCTGGAGAACGATTCTTGTTCTGTTCCATGCTGATGTCACTGGAGTTAACTAAAGTTATCTCTTTGTTTCTCCAGAGGCTACTGATAGATCTTCTGAAGACCACCAGGTAGGAGTTTGTCTCAGCACCCACGGTACCAGCTGGATAGGACGTTTTCAGTTTGATGTCCTATGTCCATCTCCCACAACAACTTTTAATCAATTGAATTCCATTTCTTGCAGACAGGTGGTGAATGTATCTATGCACCAGTGTGTTTGGCCCCTAGAAGCCTCCCGCCCATCGAAGCTACAGTGAAATACATTCTGACATCAGACATTGTTAAAGGAGCTGCATAGTGTCATTTCTGCAATCCAGACAAACCAGGGAGATTGAAGACTGATCAAATGCAGATCTCCCACTTGCTGGTACAACAAGTCAATTTAGCACTTCCTCATATGTACTATTTAAAGTCAGTCAATGGACTATAGTACATTTTTAAGGGAAATAATAAAAAGCTTTTACACATTTATTGTTGGGGTCTGTTCCTCTTTACAAATAAGATGTTACTTAATTTGTCTAGCATGAATATGTGATATCTGTACTGGCCAGGGGGGAATAGAGGCCGTCATATGGCTGCTAGAGATTGTTAGGTTACAGGAGGCTGGATTTTGGCTTATTTAAGGAAATGGGTTCACTTATCAGCTGGTGGCTTGTTTCAGCCAGTGTAGAAATGTCAATGCACAGACTTGTCAGGAACTGTCTTATCTGTGTCCAGTGACTTCTGCATCAAGGCGCCTGCTGTGTTAAGTTGTCTAAACTGGTTGTAAAAGTAATATGAGCTCAATCATATGCACCAGAAAGAATTGCATTCTCCTCCCTTGTGCCACCAGCCCGATTTGGAGTGAGTAATGTATCGTTTATTCAAAAACGTTTATTTTGTTTTTCTTTAGTTTAATGATGGGCCATGAAAATAAACTGTGACATTCAGCATTGGATGCAGATATCAGCTGAACATGCTCAAAAAAATCCCCTCTGGTCTATTAATAACTTCTTCTAACCAGAGATGTAACGGGGCCTGCAACCTTCAAACTAGCCAGCTCTCTCTGCATTACCTCGTTCTGACTGCTGTGGTAAAAAAGGTGTGAACTGCTGTGAACAGGTTTCTGCTGGTGGAAACTTCACTCCTAGTTTGAACGGAGGAAGACTGGCCAAGTCACAAACCAAGAGCAAAGAGAAGCCATTTTGTGAGGGCAGCCCTATGAAAGGAGGGTCATGTATTAAATGCAAATAAAGGAAATGCTCGCTTTACAAACTGCAATAATGCAGCGGGTGTAGCGGAGCAAAGTATCATCAAAGCATCAGCTGTCATCTTTCAGCCAGTTAGCATCCATGTGATTTTAAATAACTCAGGAAACTACTGGAAACAACTTGGGATGAACGTCATGCGTTCTCCCAAAGGTTTGCGGTGCTGGTGGGGTTTGTATGCTAAATTTGCTATATTTATATGCTGTCCACAATTCTATCCAGCCCTTCGTGGCTGACATTATATACACACTGAGTTGTTTTGGAATTGTTTACTTCAATTTACCCGAAATGATTAAAGTAAGAGTACCGAACCCTCAATTTAACAAAACCTTTCACTTAAATAAACACATGAATAAAACAGCTAGGAGATATAACATTACAGCTACAAGCTCAATACTCAAAAACAATGCAAATCAATCAAAATGAGTAGTTGCTGTTTATAAAACCCAAAAGCGTCATTCACAGAAGGTTCATTAAATCAAAATAAAAAAATACAATTCAGACTCTGATATGAAATCTAAACTAGCCTAAATCCAATTAAGGAAATTAGGTCTTCAGATAAACCTTTAAGCTTGCTCTTCAGGAGATGGTGTGTGCGTGTGCATTAGTGCAAACACTGCTGCATCTGGCAAGACTGCATGTAATTAAAATAAAGTCTTTATAATATTGAGTATTTAGTTACTCATCATCTAAAGACAACCTGCAAAACAACTGAACATATGTTTATGTGTATGATTCCATAAATAAATAAAAGTGAGGAAATGCATTTGTTGGGTTCAATGACATTTCAGCTTTCAACAGGCCACTCCTTTCAGTTCATAACAACAGTGTGGTTTTCAGAGGAGACCTTTCGATAAAAAGTCTGGCGACTCTTAACGACCTTTTGCTTCCTTGTGTGTACGCCCCTCTGGTTTCAAGCAGGATGTCCTCATTTTGTTTAAACCTTGTGTAGCTTCACCACTAAAACTTTCAGTAGATCAGAACCTAACTTCATGATCAAACTCTTGAACACGAAGTTCAACTGCTGCTGTTGCACAACAGAATAATTCTCTGTGTTTAACCCCCAAAAGCTTGTGAAAAGACAGAGGTTATGTGGTTAAGATTAACCAGAACTACTTACGTTTAAGTCAATAGCGTTCTATTAGCTGTTAGACAAACACGCCGTATTCGTTAGCTGGGGCCTGCTGACACAGAGATGCACACACACACACACACACACACACACACACACACACACACACACACACACACACACACACACACACACAAACATACACACAACAAAAAGAATAATCTCGACCTACATACAGTAACTTTGCCTAAATTGTTTTATTGAGAAAAATGTAATACAGTTAGACAACAAAATGTCGTTAAAGAAATATTTTTTTGTTATTTATAAAAATTCTGAACTAAATATTTCAAGCCAAACATTTAAGACATCAGCAGCTCTTACTGAGCTCCACCAGGAGACAAATAGTTACCAAGAGAAAGAGAATCACACTTCTAATGATGGAGAGCCAGACTAATGTTTTCATCTGTGCCATTGGGTCGTCGTGGTTACCATCTTTGACGAGCAGCTCGCTTCCATTGCCGAACAGCAGCTCCCCGCAGGAGGCCACGGCACAGTAGTAGGTTCCAGCATCTGAGGAGCTCACGTTCACCTTCTGTAGATGGTAGACGCAGCTCTGAGAAGACGCTGGCGGTGAGGAAACGGGCTTACACTTATCCCCGCGTGCCTTCAGGACGCCTTGGCGAGATCCGTGTTGGAACCAGTAAACACTTTGATCTCCGTCACAAGTCCCGGAGTGCGTGGTACAGTTGAAAGTCACGGTGCCTCCTGGATGCAAGGTCTGAGAAACTGGCCACTGGACTATTTCTTTGAGGTTGACTCCTAGAATCCAGAGAAAATACGGCTTTATTTGTATTTCATCTTTGGATACATATTAACTATACGTAGGGCCTGAAAAAAAACTTTTTTCTTTTCTTTTCTCTTTTTTATCCAGTTATTTTTCTGTGATAATAAATAAAAACTTTCTAAAGAATGTTGATCGGAAAGTTCCTGCTACTGCACATATAAAATGTTCTATAATCTATGATGCATATTTCTACGTATAAAGACTGTGAGCAAATTCAAACCGACAATTTAGTATATATATATATATATATATATATATATATATATATATATATATATGAGGTCATTGAAAATAATTTACCACAGATAATTTCCTACCTCTGCATTTAATTAAAGTTATTTTTATCTAAGTAATGAAAGATATAAGGATGATACCTTTGACGCTTAGAAAGATCCCGTCTCCAAATTCCGCTATGTTGGAGTGTGAGCTCCCACAGAAGTATGTGGCTGAATCTGATAATTGGACTTCAGAGATGTTTAAATGATTCATCCCTTCCTCCCTTTGCACAGAGTAACGAGGGTTTTTCTCCAACCAGTGGAAGACTTTGGATGGTTCGTCATGCTTGTAAAAATTAGACAGGAGCTCCGGTCCTCCGCCTAAGGTTTGTCGGTACCAGGAGAAGTGCATTGCCACCTGGGTGTTGTAGAAGCAATGTAAAGTCACATTGTCCCCAACACTGGCAGATTTAACCCCAGTGTCCTGTCTCACTGCTGCCGACTGGATCCCTGCCAACAGGTGAACTAGGTGAAAAAGAGACAACGTTATAAAAGCATAGGCTCGCCTGAAATTGTTTGCCTGAACAGGACATGTATACGCTGCAAATGTTTAATACAAAGCCACTTACATACTCCACCGATGATCATATACAGGTGCATCTCAGAGGTCTCGAGAACGAAAAACCGTTTGATCGAAAGAGAACAAACCAGCGTTGAAATGGGGTTACGTTTGATTGGTTGGAAAGAGGGTCAAACTGTTTGACACGAATACATCCGCCTTGGTATCAGTCGAAAATAAATTGACATATTAGGATAAAAGATGTAGAATAAAGTTCCAAACTTCTCTTTAACGCAGGTTGGACCATTTACAAAAAGTGAGATTGCAAATTATAACTACACTATCTTTTATAATTCAAAGGTTTATCCCATGTTTGGGTTATCTTGTTATATTTTACTTTAAGCCCAAAAAACATAATTTGAGGACATTCCTCTCTTCTTATTGTTCCTGTTTTCATACAGTGGCAATGAGGTTTCATAAAACAGTAATTTTTCTCAGATTATTTCTTATCATTTCTTCCTTGTTGATATTTTGTACTTTTCAGATTTTCAGACCCTGCTGTGGTAAAATAAGCGTCTTTCTAAATGGATTTCGTGCTGGGAAAAATAATCACAGCAGCTTCAAAATGCTATTGAAGGTAAGGACAAATCTTCCCTATTTTCCCGAGGAAACCTCTGTAGTGTCAAAATCTGCTCTGGCATCTTTCTGCAAAGTGAACCCCAAACATCCAACTGAGGTAACACTCGTCACAATAGAGCTCAGCTTGTTTGATGCAATGGAAAGTAAGCGTTAAAGCAGAGATCTGTAGTGCCACCTCGAGGGAACAAGTTGGACTTGTGTGGTGAGCAGGAGTCAACTGTTACGCAGGAAGAGGAAGAATGGTAGTGTGCCCATGAGCAGGGGCTCCTCCAATCTGACGAGAGCAGCTGTTGGTACTTAATGTGCTGTCGTAGCTGTTCCTTCCTCCCATTTGGTCAGCACCTCCCTCGGCCACCTCTGGAATTTGACAGACTCAAACACATTGTGATGATTAGGTGGCTACATTTTGAGATGCTGACCCTCACCCTCATTTGCTGACCGTGACATACTAACAGCTTGGTAGGGGAACCTCTAGTGTCATTGCCACCATGACGGATTTTATTTTTTTCTAAATAAACATATATGTTTACTCACTTCTAGTTAAGTGTGCAAGTGGCATTAAAAAGTAGCATTAACTTGAGCTATGAGCAAATAAAGAGCGAGTGATTGAGAGTCCTGTGTTTGTTCAACCAAATATTCTCCCTGATTGGACTTTGTTCTTCTTATACTTTTTCAGTCATACTGAGCGTCTAATAATCACACAAAAGCGTACAAAACCTGTATCGTGTCAGGGAAAAGCCGACTCATACAGTCGCTAAAGGGCACTTCAGTGAGTTTCTATCAGACGTTGATGACAAATGTTTGTATACGATGAGTTGTGAGTGACAACGGTTTGACTGGTGGCCCTCAGGGATTCAGCCTGGTGCTATGCACACTTTTAGTAGCGAGCAGACATTTGGCCAGTTTCAATAAATGACACAGAAGCAGTGGACTGACTCTCATTATGAGACGGCCATAGGCAGCAGAATGGGTCCTATTGTTAACCTAATCGGATTGTCTGAGCCGCTTCTTTGCTTAAATTGCCTCTGGTAGAGATATCAGGTTGTGAAAGGTTGGAGCTTCCTTATTCAATACCCCGCCCCTTTTCAATAAAATACCCTTTACACTTTTATATTGTGCACTTGCTGTCACATGGTTATTCGCAATGGAGAGAGTGAACCTGGTTACAGCCTTGCTTCTGGGAAGCCTCAGTGAGTACTGATATTAAATGATCTTGATGGGCAAATACTATTTTAATCTCTATGTTATCCAGAAACCCAACTTCATTTTTTTGGTGATCTAATCTGGTGTTTTTTGATGTCTCACAGCTGAGGAGTAAATCTGTCTTACTGCTTTCTGTTTCAGGCTGGATGTCTGTCTCTGTATCCGAGGCTCAGAAGGTTGTCCAGCCTGGTGAAGAAGTCACACTGACATGCATCAACATTACCACCAATCCATCTCAGACAGAGTGGTTCAGAGTGACCAGCCAAAACAAGCCCAGCTGTATCGCCTCTATGTACGGGTCTGAAGGCAAAGTTTCGCCCTGTGTGGGATTTCAAGATGGATTTGAAATGAGCTCCAACAGCGTTATTGTCGTTCTTAAAATCAACCAAGTGGATTTGTCTCACTCTGGACTGTATTTCTGTGGATTCTACATTGACAAACATACAATCTTATCCAATGAAACTCTTTTGATCGTTCAAGGTAAGATTATACTATATTCATAAGCTCATCATTTAAAAATATATATCTCAATATATATATATCTCAACTGTATTGTGTGGGAAAGAGAAAAGAAAAAACAATACCGGTGATATTTATTATTTTATCGTATTTATATGTTATTTCATATTTCATTTTTTGTTAGATAACAATCAATCTGGTGATGGAGCGGGTTCTAATTCTGAGAGTAAGTCGCTTCTTTTTTAAGGTGCAAATGATCACACAGCCTCTCATACAAACGTTACCCATGTCTTTTTTTTCTTGTAGAAGGGACTGATGGAATGACAAACCTAACGAGTGTGATCCTGGCAGGTCTAACTCTTTTCTTCATCATAGTTGTTATTGTTCTGGCTGTTAAAAACAGGAAACTTCAGACAGGTGCAGTAGACTTATAACGTGTTGCACATTCTGGAGAAATTCAATGCAAGATATATGGTCAGTAATAATGAACTAATAAGACCATTGTCTTTTGCTGTTTAGCTGCGAATGAAGAACCAGGGCCAGAAAGAAACAAGGTGAACCAACTCATTAACTTAAACTGAACTACGTGTGGTTAAATCTTTTGTCCCAAGCTGCTGAAGATCGTTTTTATTCATAATGGAGACTCGTAACAGCTCAGTGGCAGGGGGCTTTTTTCTTCTGCGCCACATAAGCCGTAATATAAAAACAGTATTAAGTATATGGAAGCCAATGCAGAAGGGGGATTGAGATTTTATTCACAGAATGTGAATAAAATATTGCCCTAGGTATTACATGTTCACACAATGTAAATAACAAACCAATTATTCAACTTTTTTATTCAGTCTTTAGTGGTGTACTTAACAGTGTAAGGGATCTCGACTGAGATCCGCAGAGGAATTACTTTCCTGGTTTAGGATCTTTTACTGGAAAAAACTTTTACAAAACGTTTACAAAACAAATAAAAAGTAGCACAGGCACAAGCAGGAGAAAGAGAAGGCAAAATGCTATGGCAACAAAAAACAGGAACACCAAAAACAAACACTAACAACACTGCTGGCTTGATACATACAATGTCGGAGTAGGAATATAAATAACGTGACATGGTTTGAGTGACTATTTGGGTCTTAAATGTAGGCAGAGTGATGGCTAACTAAATTCAGCTGTCAGGGGGAAAGGGCAGGAACTAACACAAACAGGAAGTAAACGTCTCTTGAGGGATAAGTGTGGTCAACAGATTAATACAGAGTACTATGCAGCCTGTCTCGAGTCGTCGCGAGTACTCAGCCCACCCCGACATACAAGTACCCTCAAGTGTAACGGGACCTCTTTCTATTGATTTGGGGGGGCGGAGGGTTTCTGGAGGATTGGACCACCAGACTCTCCTTGACTGGCTTGACGCAGGAAACATGGAACGTGGGTTGAATCCTCGTGGTTCTGAGGAGGTGAAGACGGACAGCTGCCAGGTTGATCATCCTGATTATTGGAAATGGGCGAATGTACTTTGGGGCCAATTTGCGGGACTCCACCCAAAGAGGCAAGTCATTTTTAGACAGCCAGACCCTTTGTCCGGTTCGGTAACAGGGGGCAGACAGGGGGCAGACTCAGTCACCATCAGTCACCCTGATGTTGACTGAGAGGATGGCTGTACTACTTCAGAGGCTCTGAGACCAGTGACAAAAAAACGAGATATGGGACCGGGGCCGCTGAGGGATGGGGCCGGAGTGAGCCAGCTGGAAGGCGACAAAAGGGTTTGCTCTGGGAAAAGACGGGGCAGGCAGCAATTTACCTTCTCACCTCCTTGATCACGGCAGGCCACCCAAACTGTTTCTGTAAGAGGCCCAGGGTTCGCTTGCTCCTCGGGTGGCAGGTAAGTTGGGAGGTGTGTCCCCAGTGGATCACCTGAGAGCGAAGCGACGTGAGAACAAATAGGTGGTAAGGTGGACAACCCATGGGTACTCTTACCCTCTCGAGAACACGATTCCCCACATTAATGCCCTAACTGTGCAAGATGGAGTAAGATGGTGGAGTGCCGTCGATGGAGCGTCCGGGTCAAATAGTCGGTATAGGGCATCCGGTTTTGTGTTTCTGGAATCTGCGAAGTTGAAGTGGGTGATGAATAAGGCCCACCTGACATATTGGGAATTGAGCCTCCTTGCTAATAGGATGTACTGCAGGTTTCTGTGGTCAGTCCAGACCAAAAACGGCTGTTCTGTCCCCTCCGCTACAAGCTACTAGCTGGCTACCATATCTTCAAGCCCTGAAAGGCCTGTTCCGTGGCCGGGGTCCACTGAAAGCTGGTTGCCATGGATGATGAGAGCATAAAGAGGGGCGGCTATGGAGGTGTAATTACGGCTAAAACGCCTATAAAAGTTAGTAAACCACAGGAGCCTCGGCAACTCTGAGTACCGGGCTGAGGTCATTCTGCTACTGCACTAACCTTTGCAAGGTCCATTCTCACACTTCCTGAGGCCACAAAAAAGCTCAGGAATGGCACCTCTGGTACATGAAATACGTACTTTTATGCCTTGACGATTAGCTGAATCTCAAGCAGTCTTTGGAGAACCTGGCGGGCATGTTGAATGTGCTCCTGCTCAGATCTGGAAAAGATTAGTATGTCGTTCAGATGGACAAACAAAAATCTGTTGAGCACATCCCGGAGTACATTGTTCACAAATAGTTAATTACAAGATGGTAAAAATGTTAATACAACCATTGTAAGGTTTAGTCATTGTCTTTTGACCTTGTGTTGTTTGTACAACCTCTGATTCATATTTTTTTCAATCTCAATTGAGTAACACAGGTATGGTTGATTAAAAATCACGCCCCAGTATAGAAAACTCAAATTAGTTAAAATATTTCCTTCCGCTTGTTAACTCGGATTGCGTGACTGTGTGTTTGTGACACAGATTGTGACTCTTTTTTTTTACAGGATCTGCGCTCAGATGAACCGAATTACGCAGCTCTAAAATTCCAGATGAAACAAAAAGGGGGCCGAAGGCCTCCATGTGAGAGGGAGCTGGAGACACATGTTGTGTATTCTGCCCCCAGATAATAGACTGAGGGTGACAACTGGAATTGACGCTTTATCATATTCATCTGCTGGGGTGATTTGGTCTGGGCATTTAGTGGAAGGAGCCACTGGTAATAAATACATTTCAAATATTTATTCTGTCGCACTGGTGTTTTTTGTCCTAGCTTCGATGAGCGGAAAAAGGGTTTGTTTAATGTATGGTGGAGGACGATTCAGACAGGACTCTGACTTGGTTTTTGGAGGGAGGAACACAAACATCAAATAGACGAGTGTTGAAGACAGTGTTGGTTGATAACCACTGCGCCTCTAACCATATGCAGTCACAGCTCTGTGGAAACCATGGGAGGGGGAGCTGAGAACTGAAGACTTAACAGAAATCTGGCCAACTTGTTAAAAACAAAATGAAACTAGCAGCTGCATTCAAAACGTGTGAGAAATAGTGGAGAAAGAAACATAACAATGGAATAATTCAATCAACCGGCATTTGCCAAACACTGACTAGTGGAAATGTACAAACTATTTTAGTTTCTGCGAATATTCTGAAAACAAATGTGTTGTATCCATGTCTAAAGATATCAGCATGATCCACATCTTCATTTGAAAATCCTATATTCAAAATACAACCTAATTTGAAAAGTAGTATCTCCCCCAACACTGTTCACATGACCCACATCACATGTGTTGTGCATATACAGTAAAGTACTATAGTCTATATAGTATAGTATAGTAGTTTAAAAAGTCTTGTTTCCATTCAATTGTCAAACACATTTAAACATTTTTTTTAATATTTTCAAATATTTATGAGAGTAACATTTCCGTTAATTGGTTCAGAATGAATAGACTAGTTAGGTCAGAAGGCAACATGAGCTACGATTCATTCCTGTCTATAATTACAAGAGCTTACCAAATGGAAAAGCAGGTTTGCGAATGTCAGACTGAAGCAGATCCACGTTTAAGTTGAGGTTCAGAAAACTGCAGGCTCGACAGCCAGAGCACATGACAAAGCACTAATCAAATCTTTGAAAATGTAGAAAATGTGTTGGAACTACTGCTTAAATGTTTATTTATTAACTTGAAGTTCATTACATTTCTTCTCACGTCAACAAATCGCATCTTTTCATTTTTTGTCTTTTCAGAGACGAATATGCTTCATGTCCATCATGATTTATTAGCTAAGTTTGTTTCAATTGCACTACATTGCATCTTATTTTCAGGACTTTTCCAAACATGACAAATAGAAACAGTGTACGTCCCTCTCTGATAAAGTGTTGTCACATAGACAGGTAAAAACTGAATATCCACATTCAAAAAGTAAACAGCAAAGGAATTTAAACCAAATTCAAAGCAGAGTAACAAAGAGCTATTAACGTATCCGTTGCACTGTGCGCTCAGCGATACATCCTTTGTTGTCTGTGGTCGGTTTCAAGCTGCCTGTCTGTCACTGTATCTGAGCATTGGGCGGTTGAGGTCTCTATTTGATTGGACGCGCTGACTTTCAAACATTTTAGACTCCATTTTAAACTGACAAAGTCAATGTGTAAATGAAAAATACAAAATGGGTGGCTGGACTGGACGTGTTTGCGTGCACATGTGGGCACAACACTCTAGTGCCCCCCCCCCCCCTCCCCTTGTCATTTTCCACTGCGGTGAACACTTTGTGCACCAGCGAAAGCCACAGGAAGACTGGCCTTCAGCTCTCTGCAATAAAACCACACGCAAACAAAAGCCTCAGTATTGTCTCTAAAAATGTGACTCACCAGCATGTCAATCACTTTTCAAACTGTACCTTTCTTTGCCAATGCCACTGACCAATTTTCTCATACTCATTCCGTTACATATACATACATACATTTAACTTGTCCTCATTTAGCTGAGACGCCTAAAACTGTAGCTCACAGCACACAGTCGCGTGTGACCAGTTTGTAGTGATATGCACTTGTCACTTTAGTCCCTGGCGATCCAGCAGCTGTAAAGGATTAACTGGACACCATTAAAAACACAATCCTACACTGTGAGGGCCGTGAAATAACGGTCTACGATTCTTCCATCCTGCCTCCTTCTCTCTTCAGTTCATGATACTGTGACCAGTTCCCCTTCCTGTACTTTCACAGGCTTATGACTCAGTAAGTATACGAAGATCTATTTGTTAGTTTGGTGCCCTCCTGCCCCCTAATGGTTTGTAGCTTTAATTGTCATTACATGAATTGCATTATAATATATAAACTATAGAATATATATAAATGCGTTTACATTACCTCACTTTTCCACTTCAGTTTATTTTTATTTTACTGAAAATAAAATAGCAATAAATTAACTTAATTTCTGCAAACAACAAGTGCAAACAAAATATTTCCCCACATTCAACAGCAGGATCATCCCCTCTTTGGGCTTCAAACTGTCTGCCGCTGGTATTTTGAGACACTCAACACACTTTTCTTGGCCATCCATAGTGCTCGTAAGGCCCAGGGACAAGTATACATCGTAATATTTTCATACTATTTTCAATATCTTTTTTTGTGCCGTTGTGGTGGTGGTTGTGTTGCCTGTTAAAGCTGTAACTGACTTTCCATCTGATTTGCATTTCGTCCAGTTACACATCTGTACATATTGGCACATTGGGACCTTATATGTCTCGTATCGTTTTCTTTTATATCTTAATTAAAGTTTTTCAATTCGCCGTGTAAGTTCTTGCTCCCTTTGTGCGGTTGTCTCTCTGTCTCTCTCTCGAGTTTGTGTGCCTGTGTGTGTGGGTTGGTGATGAAGTTGTGAAGTAGTTTCACTGCCCCCCAGGGGGAACCATTGCCTTGGGCTCAAAGTCAAATCGCTGCTGGTGCTGACTTTTCACACGGTACTACAGAGTACCGTTTGAAATATTGATCATTCTTCAAGAAAATCTCATTGCATCATCTTTCTTGTTGAAGATCCTGGTGAAAGAACAAACGTCGTGGCTTTAATTGTGAGTGCTGTGACTGTTCTCATTAACGACATCATTTAATTATTGGCTTTTGCACATCAAGTTGTCAGTATCAGGTTTTCCATCCAAAAACTCAGCTCAACCTTTTTACTTCAACATTAAAGACCCAGAAGTAAACTGTGTTTACCTGATATGAAAGGACAAACGGCTGCTGTGAGACCGGCCTGTTTTACTCTAAATTAGAGCATCATTTACGAAATCAACATCGTGCTGTATTGAATTGATTGATTTTTAATGAGGACTTCAGACTTTATATTCATAAAATACTAAGAATACATCCCCAGTCTTCCCCTCAACTCTCCTAATATTGATGCTCAGCACTGTTTGGCTTTACAAGAGGTTTCAAGTTCATGTCCAAGTCAAAGTGAACGATCAGCAGGTCTTCTGACCTTAAGTAACCTTGGTTGGGTCATAGGTCAGATTTCCATGGAATGCGTGCTTCTGTGCGTTGTGTGTGTGTGGTGGAGCAAAACAGGAAGAGAGAAATATGAACTGTTTTCTCACATTTGTCAAGTTGGTCCTGGGTCATCTAGAGGATGTGCTGACCCCCTCCGATCCCCCTCTAACTGACCTAGATAGTTTTAGTGGTTGGTGATCTTATGCCAGATACTGGGGGCGCAGAGAGTTAAGACACTGACTGTACTGCAGTCTGTGGTACTGTGATGAACATACCGCCCACCAGAGAAACTCAGGACACAACTGGAACTGCAGGTCAGGGTGATGATGCTTCATCTCTGTTATCAGCAAATTACATTAATGTATCATATTTGGTCTATAAACATGCATACCATTATTCATACACTATGTGTCTGTACTGTATCAGCATATGAGAGAAGTCTTAACTGCAGTGACTGTATCCAGGAAAAATGATGAAGTCATTTTTTGTCAGCATTTCATGTCTATTTATGCCCATTTTCCCACATATGAAGGTCAACTTTCAGAATTTTGATTCATGTTGAAACATTTTTCCCCACATCAATACGGTCTACCTTTCTTTGTTTGGTCACTGAGCCTCACCGTGAAGATGAGAATAAGTTCAGTGATCCACTGCTGTGACAATATACATGTATGTAACAGTGACGCTGATCATCTGCACAGATGAACTGCTACTCTATTGTAAACGTAAAGCTACTGTAAGGAACTTCCATTTGGAGTGGTTTTAGCGCTGCCTGTGCAACTAGCAGGTATTTCAGAGAACCAGAATCCCTTTAGAAAAACTAATTTTACTGCAGAAGGGTTTGACAATCTGACCCTCTCAGTCCTGAGATTATTCATAACTTGCTTAACTAAGTTCACATAACATTTCCGAAAAACTTACTTACTGAAGTTCTGTGGTTGTATACAAGTTCTGACCCAGTTCTCCTGGGGTGTCTTTCCTCCGATGTCTGACAGTCTTCTCATTTCAGCTGGTTGTATCATTGTAATGGTTTGTGTGGCTGTTTCTCTTCCCTTCTAAACGGCGGGCATCAGTGAGGTCTGAGCACAGCGGTCATAGAGCAGCGAGGCCCTGCTTGTTTGTCTTTACAGTGAGTGACCGTTACATTTGGTGGAATAGAGCTGCCTCGGGTTTATTTCGGTGGACGCACTAAACAGGGAACGAGTCTAACACGGCTCATACTTACATTCTTCAATAAAGCAATAGTTGTAACTAAACTCACCAAATGGACATTTCCCTGTGATTCTCTGTGATACACGGACCACGCAACGCCACACCAGGCCTCCGTGGTTCCCCCAACAGCCTCTATAAACCGTGTAATACAGTTTAGGGTGGACTGTATAGTTCTTTCGAAATTAATATTCTCCCATTAATTCTCTTCTTGGGGAAGAATATAGTGCTGTGATTACGTTAACCATAACATTAAAAAATAATTAAATTTCATAAAGAATGAAAGTAAAATATTTTAAATGAAGACAAAGTTCCACCCGACTTGACCTTAAGTGTGAATAGTATTTTTCCCACAATTCAAATGGAACTGGTCCTGTAATATCTGTGCAGCTTGTTTCAGGCTCGGCGATAGAGGTGTGAGTTTAAGGGACTGGGACTACGAAAACAGAATTTAGCAGTGATCAAAATAAATCTTACCAAGTATCACCAATCCTCCATATTGAATATGACTATGAACAAAAAATATATTTCCACACAAATGAGAATGCACTCATGAACATGTTCTTGTAGGACCAACCAGGTCTGTTCTAAAGGGAATCACAAATAACGCAATGCATTAAAAGCAGAAACAAGATGCTACTCGGGAAAACACTGGAAACACTGGTTTAAGTGATTTACATTTTATTCATACAAGTCAACTTCCAAAAGATCAAACTCAAAGCACAGAATGGTAAATGTGTCATCAATTGTGTTCAAATTAGTTTATTTCATTGCCTTGTCAATGGATTTCATGTTTTATAACATTAACAGCTTAGAAATGTCTGCAAGACAGTGTTGAATTTACTTCAGCTCATGTCCCAGGTCAGACAAACTCTTAATGGGCAAACAAAGTATTCCTGACTGCTTCTCAATAAGTTAAACTAACTTAAGCATTCTGCATTCCACTTAACAGCGATGCCTACAAATGGACTATGCACTATAACTTAAGTCCTTCTCCAGAAAACACTGGCTCTAAAGAAAGGAACAGATGAGTGGACAGTTGTGTCTTAATAATTTATACTAACATAGAAAGGGTACATGCGTGTGTGCCGTCTGTGGTATGGTCTGCGTCAGTAGTCCTCAAGACTTACCTGTTCACTCTGAAGGTCTGCAGCAGCCTTTGATGTCCTCTCACCCCTGATTCAAGATAAACTAGTCCGCGTTATGCGACCTCACCTGGTGGGAGTACGGCAGGTGTTGCAGCCTCCTTCACTTTTAGACCTAGAGTGAACAAGGCTCACATGTTTTGCACTAAAAAAGGGGAAAGGTTAAGATGTACGCGGGGAATGAGGAAGGCTGCATTGTTCCAGACAAAGCCAGGAGACAATATTTGAATCAGCGGAAACGATTTCAGCAATTTTTTTTTAAACGTGTTATCACAAATAATGGTATTATTAAATATATGCGATTATCCTTCGGAGGTATTAGTGTTCGAACAAATTCAAGCGGTTACACTGATGAGGGTTTTTTTGAGCGCATGGTAGGAGTTTGGGCACATTTGTGAACAACATTACTGCACAAATCCGTTTATTAAAAACAAGTACGACAATGGACAGGTACATGTGAACGCTTTGCGGTAACTGTCCTAACGACAGGGGCTTTCTACATTTGTAAAACCCACACGTCTTGGCGGTTTGATTTTTTTTTTTTACAGCAACACCACATGGCGTTTTTTTTTATCGATGGGAAAGCGTAACATAAATAGAACCGACGTGCATATTAGAGCTCATTTCAAACATGATTTAGTCCATTTAAATCTACAGTCATAAGTATCGCCTAGTCTGCTGCGGAAATCAGCAGCTTTCTAAGGTCACACAACACATCAGAACACTAATTTTTTTTAACGTAAATAAACTAAATTAAAAAAACCGCCTAATTCAGACGTCAAGCATAAAAAAAATACTACAGCACAATGACAAACTAAAACAACCAGAGGAGGGAGGGCGGGAGGACGAGTAAAAACTGTCCCAAATTAATAAAAGAAAAATCAGACGTGGACGTCTGTAATTCGGTTCCTCCTGTGAGCATCGCAGTGGAACGCAACGCGCTCAGCCACAGACGAGAGGATAGTTTCACGAGCATCAGGAGGCGGCGAGCGGCGACGCAGTCGACGACGATCCTGAAAAAAGAGCAAATAACACAAATGAACCGCCTGCAACTGTTGGTAGGAAGCACGCTGTTCCGTCTCAGTGATCTGCATGTGGAGTTCGGTATCGAGACACGGTCACCCAGACCGACCACTTTGTTTGTCGGATTACGTCACAAATTTACTATTTTGATGTTGTTTTTATTTTAGCTGAACCCCAGGTGCACGGCCGTGCATTAGCAACGCATTTGCTACTTCGTACGCATGCTTTTCCAAACCTTGTTTTTCCTCACAGGGACTGGACCAAGCGAAAGGCTGCCTCTGCCTTTACAGGGACGCGTGGCAGATTCAGAGAAGATATGAACACCAGTCTACCAGGACCTATTCTCACCTTCACGTGCCTGGGCCTTGCTTAATAAGCATATCGGGCAGGTGGTGGCGGAGGCAGCCGCTCTGCGTAGGGGTCCCTGGCGCGTGGAACTCCGTATCCCGGGACTCGGGAAACCGGACTGAGTCGAGACCGCTCGTAGGGGTAGCCGTTATTAGCGGGGGGCATTGGCACGGCGGGCGGCCTCCTTAGAGGACTGCGATCTCGGGGGTAGTACGAAGCCGGGGGTGGTGGGAGGGGACGACGCTCATACGGGTCAAGCGGCGAGGGCATAAGACGGTCTCGGGCGACGGCTGAGGGGGGAGGGGGAGGAGGAGGGGCGCCGGCACGCTGGTCCTCGTAGGGAGCCATGCCGTACGGACGAGCTCTGTATTTTTCATAGTAATCTACAACGCCGTATCTTTCTCGGTCTCCCTCGTAGGGACGGTCAGGATAAACTGCTCGTCTAGGCGGTGGGGGCGGCAGAGGAGGAGCGGGGTAACCTGGGGGCATGTGGCCGAGGCGACCTCTCATATAGCTGGGTGGGGGAGGCTCGTGCCCCTCTCCTGGGTAGTGAGGAGGCCAATAGCCACCCCTGTCTGGGGGAGGAGGCGGGTAGTCCTCCCGTTCGTCGTGTCTGGGACGGCTCTTAGAAATCTGGACATGGATGCGTTTGCCTTAAAAAAAAAAAGAAAACACAATTATGTGGTTCACTCTGTTAAATGATCATGACCACAGCATTACTGTTTTTTCTTCACAACCCTTTCTGACCTTGAAATTCTGTGTTGTCCATTCCCTTGATGGCATCCATGGCCTCGTCAGAGTTGGACATGTGAACAAAAGCAAAATTCTTGACTACAGCACACTCTGTGACTGAGCCGTACTCTTCAAAGAGAGCGCGGAGCTCGTCGTCTGCGCCCTTTTCTACGTTTGCTACATGCAGTTTGACGGAGCCCTGGTTCTTCCCATGGCTGGCCTCCACATTGATCGGTGTGCCGTGAAGCTTGTGGAGGTGCAGGACCTTAATGGCTTTGGTGGCGGCCTTGCGGTCATCCATGTGGATGAAGGCGTAGTTCTTGATGATGGCACATTCTGTGACTGTGCCGTGCTCAGAAAAGAGTGTCTTGATTTCCTCCTGGTCTGCCTCTCTGGGAAGGTTTCCCACAAAAATCTTCACCATTGTTAGAGGTCTGATTCAGAGCAGAAGAGAGAAAATTCAATGTAGGACTGAGGGGCAAAAACAGATCAAAAATCGCAGATTTGTGAACAGTATGGTGTTAACACTATGAATAAACCGTTTATGTACAAACACATCTTTTCTCTGATACTAGAGCCCCTGGCAGTAAATCAAATTGGCCTGTAAATTTAAAAATGGCGGATGTCAGTTTTACGCTGCAGGTTACAGCCGAAATTCACAAAATGTTTGGTGTGAAAAAACGCCTATGTTGAGTTACTTGTTATTACTATAATACTGTATATACAGACTAAACACATTTACTGGTCCTGGTTAAAGAAAGGTTGGCAGTGCTAGCAGTTAGCTTGCCAGTCACGCTATGACACAAAGCGCCGCTGTCCATACCCGCACAAACGTAACGTTAAGTTATGGCGTTGACCTCAATTACAAATATTCAAGGATTAATACATATTTCGGGATTTGTGATTTATATAAGCAAATACATAGGCTAGTATGCTTAAGTTTACCTTTATATCATGCGCCCTCGACAAATGTATCAAACCGCTTTCGGGAGCTTTCCTTAAACCAAGTCGACTTCCGCTTAGCTTTTCTTCGCAATATCCTGCTCGCCTGCTATGAGCAATGACCCGCCCCCCTCTGCTTCTGATTGGCTAAAGCTCGTTACCTTCCTCCGTTGGATTGGTTAGGTTTAAGCTCAAAGATTGAGATTGGTCATGTTCGATGTAAATATGAAACGGCGAGCCAATCTCGAGGCAGAGGGGGGTGGGTTATTAATTCTTCTTCGCGTGCTTCACAACCAAAATCATCAGTCAACCCATAATATCACCGCCCACTGTGGTTTAACGGATAATGTCAACAAAAGTGTAACTATCGTATCCACCGTGTTTTATGCTGTGGATACCCGTGCTAGCGATTTAGTAATAAGTACCATGTGCGTATTGATTGACTTACATGTAACACATACGTCTCCTTAATTTAGTATGCTGTCGAGTTAAAAAACAAGCCGACAAAACAGGTCATCCTCTAGTTTACTGACCAGATCACCCCAAAATGTAATAATTTACTTCTAGTACAAGTTCGAGTACTTTTTACTTCTTCATTATGCCTGGCATGAACAGAAGTTAGCAATCGTCCTGTGTTAATATGTGACTAGTTAGTTTCCCGCAATTGTTGGTAATGTTTTTCTTTTCTCCAAATCTAGGTGGTGGAAAAAAGGATGACTGAGCACATGTATATATAGAAACTACAGCGTGTTTTTTCTTTCTGTTTCACATTGCATCAGCGAGGGACTTTCTGTTGTGAAATGGAACGTTCACGGGCTGATCTTAAAATTGTATGTTAGAGAACTGCCATGTTTATAATACTTGCACTCAGTCTTGTAATGCAAAATTACTAATTTAGATATAATATAATGATAAAATAAATGCCCAATGCATGTTTTCTCTCTTCGGAACCTGTATTCAGTTCCAATGATACAAACAGATATATCTGCCAATAACATTTCAGTAGCTTGAAAGGGTCACCAATTTGTCTTAATAAAATATGATTGACATCCAATTGTCTTAATTGAACTGATTTTTTTAAATATATTTTCTATTTCATGACCTATGCAATTAATTTGATTGTTCAATCAAGATGTGAATTGAACTGATGGTCTCCATACAGTTTCAGTTCAGTAGGTATTCAGTGGCAAATTTGTTACTAGAATGACTGACTGAGGAAACTTCCTATTTTGTCTCCAATAGCCTTATTTAGATGTTCGTCGTTCACATTTTTTAAAATAGTGTTTTTTCCATACTGGCACTTGAAAGCAGCATTGCGATGGGTCTTGTGAAGCTGGCGAAACTAGGAAGATAAGTCAGCAGCTTGAAAACAAAGCAGCGAGGGGAAGCCTCTCCCACAGCAGCACCGTTACTCCGACACGACACATGTTACCTCGCGACTGGGTCAAACGTCTCCTACGTTCAAGTAGAACCTCGACATTCCGGTAAGACACAGCAACTCAGTTTGGACTGGTAAAATACACCGTCTGACTGGATTCCTAAAATGTTCTTCTCCTGTCCCAACAGCCTCTCATCGCAGGAGGTCAACGGGTGAATCTGCCGTCGGCTGATTCCACCAGGAGCTATTCCTCTCCACGATGAATGTGTCCCAGACGATGGAGACGGAGGAGGACCTCCTGACTTGCCTCCACATTAAGCTTTACCACCCTCAGCAGAGTTCCAAGGGCCTTTACGGGCTGCTTCCTCTGGGGACCAAGAGCAGACACTCAGCCGATGAGCCTCTCAGGCTGGGACGTGACGGCCAGGTCTGCACCTTCGCCCTGGTCGACGTCCGGGTGTCCCGCAAACAGCTGGCCCTCCTCGCCTACCGCAGCCCGCAGAGCCCGGACACGCTCTTCTCCGTCCAGAACCTGAGCCAGAGGGGGCGGCTGTCGGTGAACAGCTCCACGCTGGACTACCTGGAAAGGATGGACCTGCCGGACAAGGCCCTGATCCGGTTCGGGGAGTATGAGATGCTGATCGTCCGGGAGTCCGGCGAGGCCAAGGGGAGCTTCGAGGTGGACTTTGAGGTGCTGGCAGTACCTCCGTCCAGGGAGACATGCACAAGTGCGCCCAGTATGACGGCCGTCATGGAGACGGGCGCCCGCATGGTGACCAGCTTCCCAGCAGAACTCAGGGTGGGGCTTCTTGGCCCCCTGGAGACTGATGAGACGATCTTGTGTGATGAGTGATGCCATGTTTTTTTTAAGTTGTTTGCTTTCATCTGCAGCGATACTTTTGTTACTGTGTGTCGTGTGCTATTAGAGCTACAGCAGGCTGGTATGATTCCCCCTTTGAAATCAAAGTATTTTACATATACTGTATATATATATATATATTTTACTCCATGTTTATAGATCAAAAAGCTGTCATCATAATAGCTACTTTCAAATAAACTAAATGCTGTGACTTATTGAAGTGGTTCATTTCAGCATTTTCAACTTGAGCACCTTAAATTGTCTTTTTGTTAAACGCTTAATGCTTATCAGTCACAGGTTTGACTTCTAATCCGGCATCTTAACTCTTTGGTTCGAGCGGTCCCACCTCTTTTCCTCCAAATGTGGCACTTTGTCTTAGTCAGCTGTTCAGTAAAACTACCCACTACCTCAATTTCTCATTTGAAACCAGTATCGTAACATTCATATTGGCGGTTTGTAACACACTATAGCTTTCAGATAAATATGTAGTGAAGTAATGTGTCAATTTAAGTAGTGGAATTGTGTAGGTTGTGTTGTAAGGACATAGTTCATCCGATGCAGCATGAAATGATGTACAGATGGGAGGGGACCTTCAGTTACGGGAAACCATTTGACTATTTTGAACAAAGTCCAGTTTTATTGGAGAATCTTCAAACATCTCGTTAATTTAACAAGCATGGCAGTAATGGGAGATCTTTATCTCCACCTGGAAGCAGATGAGCCTGGTTATTGGAGAACAACCGCACCCTTGAGGAAGCACAATAGTCACGATAGTTCAGAGAATGGTGGTCGGACCGGTCCAGCAAGTCCTATGAGATGACCTCCGGTCAACACCACGTGCGTTTTACCGAAAACAGAGCGCGGCAAAGGGAGGGCGCTCGAAAGGAGAAGCCGCATTTGGACTCCAATGACCAGTGAGCAAACAACCCCTTTCCCCCAACACTTATTCTCTAACAGATGAGGGAGGATTTCTTCCCCGCTTCCCCTTTGAGTCACACACAGACCACTTGGTCTTGGAAGTACAATATCTATGGAACCACGGCTGTTTATGTCGGGGGAGGATTGTTGAGCTGCACATTGAGTCTCTCAAGAACTCTGTGTGACACGATGGCATCCTGTTTGGAAGATAGGTGCCTTGACTGATCCATAAATAGTACCATTAAGGGAGGGGGACGGGTGTCTCCCCTACGTCGCCTGCTACTTTTCCATACATTCCTTTTGCGAGGGGGGGGGGGGGGGTTGATGCTTGAGTTGATTTCTGTATTATTTATTTCTCTATATTCTTGTTAGGAATAAAGAATCCCAAACGAGTTTATGATACTTTTGATTCCTCACAAGGGCTTAACCCACAAATTTCCACCACAGGTTACTTATCCAGTATTGAAGATATCCAATTTATTGGGGAAAAGGAATGAATCTGATAAATCAGATTGGTATAAAATATATAAAAACCCTTTGCTACTACTATTTAACACTTTACATCAAGGCAAAGTATTCTTAATAAAAAAGGCAAGGGAAGTTTGAATAAAGTCAAAGAAGTCAAACAATTTTATTTTACAAGTTTTTATACTGAATAATGTAATGTACGAACATCTATTAAAAAGTGTATACATTGATCAAAATAAATGCTACAAACATTTGTATGAAATTGTTTTCATACAGTCAGTTTATGAACATGAATATAAAAAATACCGTTTTTGTAGATCATGCCACAAATAACCAACATGGTTTAGCAATACATCAATTCAGCAGATTGGGGCGGTTTGAGGGCCCCGTCAGTTTGAGACGTCTCAAGTTCATAACAGTGAATCCAAATTGGGACCCGTAGGGCGGATCAAACCAGTTATTTTTGGTTTAGTTGGAGAGGGTTTTCCCAGGACTGGAAATTCCCTCTGGATTCCCCAGCCGATGGACAAAACCGTCACTGATGGAGCAAATCCACTTCCTGTAAACAAAAAAGATTCACTTAGAGCTCACCAAATTGATTAGTCTGTTGTGGACAGTGAACTTGTGCTGCTTTACCTTTAAGTGCAGCGACGTCTGGTCACATCTTTCTCCAGATCACGACGCTCAGGCAATTCACTCCAAGGTCGTTGCAGTTGGCCGAGCAGCCTGGAGACACAGTCAGAGATCCCACTCATCACACAATCGCTTTGCTACCTCATACGTAGGATCCATTATTAACAATGTGACTTTTTATCCGGTTCTGGTGCATTTGAATTTTCTGATCTTTAAAATAAATATTCAAACTGCAGCATGAATGCAAAAACACACATGAGGGAGTCAGGAGACAATTTGTCCCATTAGAAAGTATAAATGTAAAAGCTTAAACGATGCCTACCTTTGTTCTCCTTGAGGCTGCACATCTTCCTCCTCCGAGGACTTACCATGATCGATCTGGCATCTCCTGCAGTCTAACAGTCTAACAACCTACAAAGAGCAAAAACACTGAGAACACCAACACTGCACACAATTTGTGGTACAATTGTACAGCTGACAATAAAAGACGAGCTGCATGTGGGACTGTGTAGTGCGAACTCAATGACAGAGAAATAAAAGATTCAACTCAATGACTTGAGAGCAGTTGTCGCGAGACGACAGAAACGTGACCTGAACTGATGGGCTTGGCACAAGGCAGGCAACGGTTGCTAAGGACACACGCAGCTCCATGAGAGTCGGGGGCGACGCGCCGCAGCAGATGGACAGGCGTGGAAACGTCAGGATCTAAATCTACGCTTTCTACCGTCAAACACTGGGGCAAATAGTGATGAATTTAACCTTCGTCAACGTCCACGAACAGCTGCTCCGATTAATTATCCCCCGGCCTCCCTCTCGCGTTGCGGCACAAGCTCGGTTGCTCAGGTGAAGGTTACAATGAGAGCATTTGGGAGTCGCAAAACGCTGACCAAACACACCCCACCGTGTGAAAGAAGGACAACTGTGAAGGGTGTGGAGGGTTTAATGCCCAGGTATTACCAAGTACACATCTGGACGGGTGAATGGCGGCCGAGTCGGACGAAAGAGGCGTAGCCCAACGAGGAATGATTTGACAGTTAAAAACGGAGGGTATGGTTTGATTTTTTTATTAAAAACCCTTCAAATGAAAAGCAACGTGTAGAGTAAATAAAACCAAACATAATGGTGCTAGATTCTTTTTTCGCAAGAAAAGAACAAAGTTTAAAAAAAGGAACAAAACAAAACTTTTGATTCGTCATGCCACTACACTGAATAATTGAGGTTGACCAAAGACTAAATGTATATATTTTTTAATTTTGAATGACTTTCCTTATTATGGAAATGATGTCACAGTTTACCAGAGTCCATTTCGAATTAGAAAGATTAAGGAGCGGAGGGCTTTCTGCCATTAACAGTACTGCGTCTCACTGAAATACACCTCAGACAGCAACCTTTCCTGCTAAACAAATTAGTATCTCAATAGTAAAACAAGCAAGAGTAACAGAAGAAGCATAAACAGCTCAGAAAAATACGTGAACTGTAGACATGGAATCATAGGTTTTAAAGTATGGGGGCTGTCTGCAATACAGTATCTTCCAGTAAGTCTCAGGCGAACGCAACGCAATCCGCCAAAGACGAGGGGGATGTATAGCGCCACGCACATCAGCAGACGACGATCTTGTCATATTCTAAACCTGGAAAGAGAGCACACCACACATGTCAAGGAGCGGGTTTTAGTCAGGAGCCGCGCAAGACTGATCTCTGATGTTAAAGCAACAATATATAAGGATTCTATCAGCAATGTTAAAGTTGTTGATTATTGACCTCTTGGCTGGACTAGATCTACAGGAGTTAAGAGCTCTGGCAGATGGTGATGGGTGCAAACGTGGTTCTTTTTCAACTTACTAATCAAGCACATGGACTTTAATTTAGGTACGTAAGCCATCTAGTCAGGATCTGTCCGCTCACTGCTCTCACCTTGACACGCGCTCCTGCGGGCCTAGTAGCCCGCATATCGGGGGGGCGGCGGTGGCGGGGGTGGCTGCGTCCCGTCTGAGAAGGGGTCCCTGGGGCGGGGAGTTGCAAACATCGGCGCTGGATACATCGGAGGCCTGGCCAGCGGGGAGAGCCGGGACCTCTCGTAGGGGTACCCGTTCGTAGCAGACATCGCAGGCGGAGGCGGGGCTCGTCTGATGGGGCTCCGGTCTCTGGCCATGTAGGCGGATGGCGCAGGAGGGGGCCGGTCGTACGGGCTAGGGCCCCCCATTCCGAGGCGTTCCCTGACCAGGGCCGAGGGAGGAGGCGGAGGAGGAGGGTTGGAGCTGGGGCGCCGGTCATCAAAGCCCCCTACGCTGTAAGGACGGGCTCTGTATTTCTCGTAGTAGTCAACCATCCCATAGGGGTCTGCATCGCCGTAGCCACGGTCGGGGTACGGCGCTCGTCTCGGGGGAGGGGGCGGCGGAGGCAGAGGAGGGTATCCCGGCATGCGCTCTCCGTACGGCGGCTCGGGCCGGTCCCCCGGGAAATGAGGCGGATAGTAGCCCCCTCTGCCCGGCGGCGGTGGATATTCCTCGTCCTCGGGTCCCCCTCTGGGTCGGCTTTTTGATACCTGAACGTGTATGCGCTTTCCTAAAAAGAGAGAAAATAAACGTATGTCACCTCCCCCCCCCGAAAAACCTTCCACTCCTTTTCATTTACGGAGTACAATATGGAAATGACCTACCTTGAAAATCGGTGTTATCCAGGCCCTTTATGGCATCCATGGCTTCGTCAGAGTTGTCCATGTGTATGAAGGCAAAGTTCTTGACAATGGCGCACTCTTTGACCGTGCCGTACTCCTCAAACAGCGCGCGGAGCTCATCGTCGAAGCCCTTCTCCACATTGGCGACGTGGAGCTTCACGGGGCCCTGGTTCTTCCCTCGGCTGGGCTCCACGTTGATGGGTCTCCCGTCCAGCTTGAAGAGATGGAGCTCGCGGATGGCTTTGGTGGCGGACTTCCGGTCGTCCATGTGGACGAAGGCATAGTTTTTAAACTTGGCGCTTTCGGTCACTGTGCCATACGGGGTGAACAGAGCTTCAACGTCTTCCTTCCCGGTGTCCTGAGACAGGTTCCCAATGAAGATCTTGACCATGGTTGCTCCAGTTAAGTTCTCTAAATTGCAAAACAAAAACAAAACCGTGTGAGACCACCAGGAGCGAGCAACCGGTGAATTCGTAACGTCATCATCAGGAAATAGACCGCGGACAACCCGGGAAAAGCAACAACATGAACCCTTTTCCTTATTGAACTTTAAATGTAGCAGCTGAACGACTTTAACCACAGCTAACGTATTTAAAAAAGGCTCGAGTACAAGAGGTTTTCGTGTTTTCACTTCCTGGTCAGAGATTCTAGTCAGGCTGGTTGCATATGAATGGCTTTTATTAGCAAGCTAGCATTAGCTTAGTTAGCCATTTTGTCTCGTGTGACTAACCGATTTAAATTACGATCGGTCGTTGATATAGTAAGCGGTTACGGTTGAAACACGTTCAATTACTTGTTTGTCTAAGCCAAAGCAACGATTCGGCGGAGGCGTATATTACAAACTAACGCTACTCACCTCTTTCTTCTGTTCGCCGCCACAACGAAGTCGAAACTCCCCACGATAAGATTCAGCGGATTAGCAGCCGGCCATAAAGACACCAGTAGGAATCTGATTGGTGGATGGACGCGTCGCTCTAAAACTAAGGGCTGCGATTGGCTGAAGATTTGAAAAGGTGTTTCATCATGGCTGCTCGCTCAAAAGTTTGCTTTTTCCAACTGTAATCTATGTGTTTATACATTTATACATAAACTATCGTTCGCCACATTACATACGCTCATACATGATTAGCAAGGACTCGACTCGATTGAGTGTATTCCATTGTTCCTGTCAAGACATTTAATATTGCATCTTTAATTATATGTGCGTGTGTGTAACCTTATAGACTGGACCCAAGAGGAATCCTCTCTAACCCTAACTTAAATTATACAGTTAACATAAACATTGTTTATCCTGCCAGTCACTATGTGCTGCCCCTGAATGCCATGTGAGCAGAAAAGACAAAACCACCATATCAAGATATAGCTATTCACAGTAAATCCATGCATGTTAAATTTGAATAAATTACTGGCAACATGTGATATTGTGAAAATAAAGATACTAAAATTAGGTGAATATACAAATTTAACATTCCTACTTTTTTGTGGAGTCATCGAGCAAAGCAGGGGTTTTTTTGTCCAAAGCAAATCTGACTAGTTATTAATACTAATTGAATGATTCAAATGTAACGTATGCAGCCTCCTCAAAAAGTGCCTGCTGTTTTAAGCCTTCAGGAGGAATGAGGCCTCTGCGAGTCCTCAGTCCCGGTGGGCTTCTGCCGATTAACCCTAAAAGCAAAAAAAAAAGTATTCAAGACTGATACTTTCACGGTGATCCTCTACTTGTTTATTTATTGGAAAGGGGCGCATTTCTCACCTGTCGTTGAAGTGGAATTTTTCTGTTCTGTTGTGTGTCGAAAAATGTAATCACGTTTAAAAAAAAAGAAAAGTAAAATACTCCTGACAAATAGTTCACATGTGCCCGTTATTGCCCTTTTCAGGGTTTGGCATTGAAGACAGAGGGACAGATGACACGTCCAGGGTCTCTCTGGATCCAGAAACTGTCCCAACAGCCACGATCCAGTTAAAGCCTTTCTGATCCCTCTCCAACAGCTGGACATCACTCAAGCTTCCATTAACCCGAACGCACGGGTTAATGACTGCAGTAGAATTCATACGAGAGTCTCCAACTGCAAAGCGTTTCCATTAGCCGCGGCTCGGCTGCTTGGTCTGTTTGGGCCTAAATTAAGAATAAACTGTTCAGAAAAGATGTATACCAAACATTGAAAAGTCCTTTATTGCCATCAGAACATGAGTGAGAAAACCAGAGACAAAAATCTGACAAGAGTGAGGAGTCGACTGTACAACCAGCGCGCACACACGCACACACACACGCACGTCTTTCAATAGGACGCAAGGGGTACAGATACACAAGGATAGACCGTACTCACACTGAGGTATAAAGGTAAACACAAACACCAGATAGGGGCTTCGTCCTCCACTCACACACATGCGACTGAACCGGGGTACAAAGACTCAAGTGCTCGTTCATTCTTAATAAAATCACAATATACGGGCGAGCAGAAATGTACGACAGCAGCATCTGGGTCATCTCAACCACAATCCCTTTCACCTGTTTCTCTAAACCTTTGGTCATGTGGACGCCTGCTTGTCGAGCACAACGTTGCCCTCCTAAAAAAAAGGTAATACTTTGTGAGACTCCGACCACTTGAGAGCGAAGGGACAGTGTTCCTTCCTGAATCCTATCCACCGTTAAAAACGAGGGCCTTCTTGACGGATCGTGGGGGGCGTATGGGGCGGTCGCACTGTATTTGTCACAAGTCACAAATAGCGTCTCGCTTTTCAAGATTGAGTTTCTATGTTAGTTGGACATTCAATGTGTACATTAGCAGCAATTCTAGTGAATGGAACAATGGCTTGGTAAGTCAGATTAATAACACCCTTTCCTCATGCACAGGACAGGCACCACTTAATACTCGTTAACGAAATACCATGCACGATAGAAAAATAGACTGCAAACTCACAAGACATACAAATCAAAGTTCGTCTCCAGAGAAGAGGTTGATTTCACTTAAATCTTTTATTTCATGTTTTTTTTCTAAGATGTGGAAATAGCAACAAAAAAAACAACAACCTTGTGAGCGGTAACCAAGACAACAGTAACAACATGAGCAGAGAGCCGCCGAGTTTTCCGACATCCTCTCGTGCTCCCGCTTGTCAACCCAAAGCCGCCAGGTACAAGACCGACACCTCGCTCGTTTTGTTCGTTTTTTCCTGCCGCCGACCTCCACTTGGCGCCACGCAGGTGAACACGTCGACTTGCGCCCGCGCCGGGTGTGTGTGCATGAATGCATGTGTCCTGCCAGTGTGGGCCTGTGTGTCTTCGTGGCTCTCGTGTTATTTTAAGCTATCCCGATCCCCAGTCAAGAACCCCTAACCCCCCCGCCCTCCCCCGTCCACTAGCAGCACCCGTGCCCAGAAAGGTGGTCGCCCTTGTGTGCATCTGGAGCGGTGCGCTGCAGTGGTTTATCAAGACACTAGTGTGGCTGGAAGCTAGCACCGCCGCCACAGAGAAAGAGGCACGGTATAGTTCTCTTTAAGTCTAAATCTACAGTTCAAGTCTGCCCTCGGTCTGGTCTCAGCCTGTCCTGTCCCGTCCCGTCCCTTCCTGCCAGGGAGCCGCCCTGGACCCTCAAACGACCCCACCCCTGGCCCGTCAACAAGATCACCGTGCGACCCGCCGCGCTTAGTTACCTCATCCCTCTCAGTTTTGTTTTGCGGTTGCCAAATATCTCCACTGTGCACACACACACAAACACACATATGTACGCGTCCATGTACGAAGGCACGTTGACCCCTAAGCCGTCCACCCTACACGGAATGAGCGCCTTGAATTTCGTGTTTGGCACGGACTTCTTTTCGCCTTGCGTTGGCTAACCACCCTTTCGTTTTCCTCTATTCACTCATTTTACTCCTCTGTTCTCTTTTCAGACCCCCACCCACTACCTCTAAAAAACAACTAAACCTGGTACAACACCTCGCGCTTTTTTCTTCCTCTTGGGAAACAAAAACAAACTTAAATGAAAAAGCTCGAGTTTTTATTTTATTTTTATTTTTTTCAAATTCAAGGCACAATGTCTATCAATATCCCGATCGGTCTGTCTGCCTCCACCCAGGTTCAGTGTGCGGACATCGCGTCACATAAGCTATTGAACTGTCTGCTTGTACGCCGCTCCCTACAGCTTACATCCCTCTCAACTGCACTTTAAGAGACGCGACTGTTTTGGTTGAGAGAGCGACCCGCCGAGTCCAAACCAGTGATAAACAATGAACGAAAATACACAAATAAAGACAACCGTTTCAAAAACAAAAAAAAAAAAAGTCTCGTCCTGTTTCTCGTATTTCAGTATTTTAAAAATCAAGTCATATCCACCAGCTCTTTTTGGCAAGCTAGTTTTTTTTTTCTTTTCTTTTTTTTAAATAAGCACTAAGTACTGATAGATAGGATAGCATACACCGTTAACGTGTGTTTTTAAGTAGATGCGTTTGTCGTTTTTTTGTACTTTTTCCACTCATAGTATGAATTCAGGTATTTTGTCAGGTACTTTTCACTCATCAGTTTAAGGTTTAAGTTAATGCAAGCAGGGACAGAGTTTGCCATGGAGTCTTGCTCTAGACTTGGGTTCGCGAGGGGCACGGCCATCTCCTTACGAGACCCCGTTGACCAAGGCCAGGGTCTCGCTAGTTGAGCTCATGCCTTTGTTAGGGGAACCCTTTGAGGGTGTTGGCTCATCCTTAGTGGCACTGGTCCCGTTCTCCTGGGGAAGAAAAAGTTTGGGGATAACAGTGAGGGTCTGATTTATATGAATAAACTGAGGCGGGGTTCAATGTTTGTTCCAGCCTGTACCTTGGGCTCTGGGCCATTGTGGTTTTCCTTCTGCGGCAGGTTCTCTCTACTCTGGGACTCTGCACGGGATATGTAGTCAGCAACAGACACTGGAAACATGGGGATCTGTTAGCTAGAACACTCGCTGGGGGTGAGCACACAGCAGATGGGAGTCAAAATGCCTCGGTGCCGCTTTAAGAAAGGCCGTGGCCATCCAATAGAGGGCCATCACATCATGTTCATCCTGAAGAGGAAAATGGTAACCAGTGTAAGCTGGCGACTCACCACTTTCTGCTGTCTGTCTGTCACGGCTGGCTGAACCGCCATCTGGGCGGTTGCCACGGTTACGACGGCGACGGCTTCTGTTGCGGCGCTGAGGTCGGGCCTCGTCATCTAACAGTCAAATGAGAAAACAAGGAAATCAAATCGCCTGCTTCCATCAACAAGCGTTGGGCTTTTAATAGCAGAGATTTGAAGTGCGCATTTCTGTTTTTCAACGAATGACGAGTATACGGCACGACGGTACTGCTCACCCATTCCGTTCTCGCTGGGACCGGCCTGGTTGTCCGACTCTGTGGCGGCGTCCATCACGCTGGGCTCCTGGTCGTTGCGGCGACGGCGGGAGCGTCTGCGGCGTTCTCCTGCCACGCCGTCAGCAATGTCTGTATCGGCCAGCTCTCCCTCACCCTCCAGCAGGGAGTACGGGTTACTATCTGGGTCCTTTAGCACTGGATACAACACAACATTGTTATTGCAACCCATCCGCTCTCATGTGTATTTGTCTACATCAGATTTTTCACACAGACTGACTGACTGACTGACTGAATTTGGACCATATTGTGAATCTCCTTGGGCAACATTATACTTAGAGTTTATATCACATCCTAAGTGGACTACAGGTTAAACGATCATTAGTAATCTGAACAAAGGCTTTACATACCTGAGCTGATGGAGTTGGAGGGCTTGGATGCTGGCCCTCCACGGCCTCGTCCTGAGTTAGCGCCTCGGCCCCTGCCGCCGCGTCGGGAGCCTCTTTCATCACCACCAATGCCGCGGGGGCGCTGCTCTCGCTCGCCAACCTCCTCCGGCTCAGAAGCATTAGACAGTTCAGAGTTTGTGCCTGGATCGAGCAGGGACAAGGAATGTGATGGAAAAAAAAAAAAAAAAACATAAGCCCATGACAGACTCTTCTTCCATTTGGCACATCACTCTCAAACGTGTCACCCTCATCCTCACCATATCCGGAGTACTGGCCGTTGGAGGGCCTGCGCCCTCTCCCGCGGCCTCCATAGGTGCGTGAGGTGTGGAGTGAGTTCGTGCTGTCATCGGTCAGGTAGCCTTTCTCCCGCTCTACACCGGGGCCCCCGGTTCGAGTGGGAGGAGCCCGGTACCCAACCCCGATCTGGCGGAGCTGCTCGTCAATCTGGAGACGCTCCAGGCGCAGCTGCTCCACCTCCTGCAGGGACGGGGACATAAATGTAGACTGTGTCCATTTCTGAGCCGGTTGTACCATCCCCAACATCAAGTAAAACACACGATTCCTAAGCACCTTGCAGAACAGGTTGACTGAGACCAGTTTCAGTTTGACAAAAGTTGTGTGTAGAGCTTCCACGGTATGCAGATTCTCAGACCAACGAGCATCCACCACAATGGTGCCATGGTGTTAAATCATCTGCTGTGGACCCGGGCGTGCTCTGTGCTGGTTATTACGTCCCCATGCCACTAAGTGGCAGTAATGCGTAAACTTACTGACCAGGTAAAGGCTGGCTTCTGCTTCTGCGACGTTGCGTCAACGCACTCGTTTCAATTTATGGTTCTAAAGTCTTGCGTGTGGTGCAGTGCAATTCACCTCCAGAACAACAGGCGGAGTGACGTGTTTTTGTTGAAGACGACCTAGAGAGTCGCGTCTATTTATTTGTTTGTTTATTTATTTATCTATCATAGACCTTATTGCCCCGTGCATCGCCACTGCTGCTTTTCATCGCGGACACATTTGTCCTGTATTTTCCTCCACAACTTTGTGCACCTCTCGACCGGCGTTTGCGGAGATCTTCCTCCGTGAATCCAACACGCTTATACAAGCCGCCAATGGTCACATTTACGGATTTCTTCCGACAAAAGTTCATAAATCTGATCCGTTCTCTCGTAAACATTCTTCATTTTAATAATGGCGGTATCGGGCTATGAAAGCGGAAATGTGAGACTCCGTAAAGGATGTAGTTAGCGGACCAATCGCAGCCTGGTGCGCTGCGGGAGGCTTGCGTTGCTTGCGTCACTTTCGACGCAAGCCTAGAAAAATGGCTCGACCCACGCAAGGAGGTGTGAAAAGCGACACAAGGGACACGCAAGGGTCTGCGTCTGCGTCACTCTGAAAATGCAGAAGCATAAACTAGGCTTAAGACTTGACAAATTCAGCCCACTCGGAAAAAAAAAAAAAACATCAGTACGGAGCACCTGACAGATGCAGAGTGAAAACGATGTATGCTCACTTTTGAAACTTTTTGGACATTTTAAAACTGAATACAAAAGGTATACAAAAGGGGCCAGTTAGCTTTTTTTTTTTTTTTTTAAATGTCCAGCAAGGCTGCATATGCAATCTACATTAATGAGGCCGTCTTGGCTTCGTCCTCTAATGGCTAGTTTGGGTTTGGAATTTGGAGGAGGGGGTCTCCGTTCACGGTGTGACAGCTGCCTCCACCAACGACAGCTGAGCCTCAAGGAAGGCGTAAGCAAGTGACGCAAGCCGGGGGTCTGCTGTTATTTTTGGAAGCTGAGGGTCCAGATAGCTGGTAATCTAAACTCTCTGTACCCTTCACCCCATCCCAGAGAGAGAGGAGCTATTTATAAAAGTACATGAGGTAGGGGCAAAACGAGGTGCTCTCAGCAGCTTTCCTCATGTGGTGTTGAGCAGGGGAGAAACAGGTGAGTGACCAATATGTCCTCGCCGCACACATGTCATAAAGCACTAGTGTGTCTGAGGAACACGTTCCCTCACCTACTGTCGAGATATTCAGAGGACAAACGGAACCAAAGTCTGCGATGTACAGAAGACAAATTCTCTTTGCATGCAGTTCTATTTAATGTGACGTTTTCTGATTGACAGGAACAGAGGAAAGGCTAGTGCCGCCATCTGCTGGTGAATGTGAAAGATTTACTAACCTGGAGGTAGGACACATGGTACTCCAACAGAGCCTGCGCATTGCTGATGTTCTCTTTAGTTCCCACGAACACAAAGGGAACCAGGCCCTGTTAAAACACAAGGGCAGATGAAGAGCTGAGTTTCAAAAAACAGCCCAAAGGACTTCTGCACTTTGCTCCAGTGTTTACGCTTTGATCTCGGGAGGGGAATTGGGGAAGGAGACGGTCAAGTCACCTCCTTGCTGCTGGCAGTGTCGTCCCTGACCGGCGCCGGCCTGCCTCCCTCCTCCCGGGGAAGCTTCTTGTCGTTGTCTCCCTCAATCCGCACCCGGACCACACCCGACTTGTCCACAATCTCCTGGATGACTTTGCCACTTTTGCCGATGACTTTACCTGCGTAACAGAGAAAAGCGAAGAAATAGAATGTAAGGATAAGAGAGTGTATACGCATAGTGCTGTGGCGTGTGTCGAGCAGGACATAATGAGCTCACTCACCAACAAGGTTCCTGGGTACATGAAAGTAGTCTTCTTTGAATTCCAGAAACTCTCTAGCCTGCTTTACTGCCTCTGGTGACTGCAACACAACACAACTATTAGGCCAGACTCCATGACCGTATACAACATTGGGACAAAGAACTGAGACAAAATGGCACACAAGCTATTTTAGCGGCGTACCTCTCCGTAGATTCTGAATGTGCAGCTTTCCTCCTCCAATTCGATGGCTGTGACACCGGGCACCTTCCTTGCCTGCTGGATGTTGGCACCATGGGAACCGATGGCTAGGCCCATCAGGTCCTCCCTGACCTTCACCTCCTCCTGGTATGCTGATGCTAACTGCTTACTTGTCTGGGAGGGGAGGAAACACACAAGTGGTTTGTGTGAAAATGTACAAAGAACTAGGCCTAAATGGTTGACTTGGTTTTTTCAATGACAAACATCCACACGTATAGGCTAAATTAAATCGTCCAAAAGATGTGTGCATAAAAAAAAAAATACAGTGTAGGTTTACCTCCAAGTGTTTGGTGGCTTCTTCGTTGCGGGACATAAGCATTAGTTTGGTACGGATGCTTCGGAAATGCATGTCGCTCAGAAGAGATGCACGCTTTACTGTGGTTTCATTGGTAGACTGGGGAAAAGGGATAAAGTTAGAATACATGTTATTCATGTCATGTATAATTCAAGTTTTTAAATCCCAGTTTATGAATAGAAATGTATTCAGAACCATATGGAATCTTTAATAAGCCCAAAGTGGGCAAAAATAGGCTAAGAATTTTGTCAATGTATTTCTTTTGCCAAAAAAAGAGGAGAAGCCCGAAAGAAAGACAGGCTGGATTTAAACACACACATCTACAGTGGAGTTACGACGGGTCCATAGTACAATTTACAGTACAACATAGTACAATCAGTGGATGTGTCACAAGGCCATTCACTTGTTCATGAGGTGAGACCCAGCTGAAGTGTGTATTCTGACTACTAACCAGCACAATGAGTTCGTGTGTTTGGGCACTGTAGAAGATGCAGTTGGCTCCGATTGCTTTCCTGAACTCTTTGTGAATGTTGTCATTTTCACAGCTGTCAATAAAAAACAACCACAGGAGAATCAGCTATGTCACAGATGCTGATGTTAATTAAAAAAAGAATGGATCTTCAGGGTGTAAACTTGAAACTCACATGTCCCTCAGATCTTCTGGGATGGGGATGGGGACCTTGTGAAAGGAATTTCGAGAAGAAGGGCTGTTGGGGTTGAGGGGCCTGATGCGCTCCGCTGTGACAATCTCGTTATATGTGGCGTCGCATGCGGCGTATTCTATCACGTAGAACTGAAAACGGCCCACAAGAGAGATTTTTTTAACAATGTAGACAGAAATGTCAAGACAGATGAATGTTGGATAGACAAAATGATCAATGTGAATTGAAAAAAAGAAAGCCAAGATTTACAGAGGAGCACTGCTGAATTCAATCTAAATAAAAAAAGAAACTCAGCTGTCAATTTAAGGATTCATTGACGTCAGTTCTCAAATTAAAAATGAATTTATGTCCGCTGTCAAGTTAAGAAATTACATTTCACATCAAAATATATTCATTCATCTTGTGAATTGAGCTACACTCTTATCCTCATTTTTTCTTTTTTTTAATGGAAAAACAAAACAAAACAAGGTACCAGAGTGCGATGCAAGGACAGAAAAAGAGTAACCGAGGATAGAGTGAGGCAGCGAGATGAACATTGCACTCTCCATGCTCAACAGGACAGAATTAAAGCAATCAGTCAATGCTAGACATTCCTGCAGGCTCTTATCAGACTGCTCCAAATAACAGGACTACACCAGCAGCGTGTCCCCCTGGCACAATATCACTACAGCGCTGTCCTTTGCCGGATCCCGCTGACCCCGTTTAACCTGCAGCTCGGGCTGCTGGTGACGAAGAGCCAGTTCCGGGTTTCGCATATTACAAACGAAGAAATACGTCAACTGTGCCAGCTGCAAATCTATTTAGTCGCGAGAAGTCAGTGTGAAGAAAAAGCACTGTGTAATTGTAAATATAATTTCAAGGCACAACGTCAGACCACATGAGGACAAACGGGCTCTTTAAGCTCATTGCCGTGCGTTTCTACAGGCCTGTAGCCTGTCGATGCAGCAGTACTCAGCGCAATAAAACGTTACTGGCAATAGAACAAAACACTGACGGTAAAGCAAACAATATTGGCTACATAATAAATATTGAGAGCCAGAGGAAGCTTGTCTGTAAATATTAATAATTATAAAATAGCTCAAGGACTTATTAAGCGCCAGGAGCTAAAGCTCAGGATCGGACAGGTCCTTTAGCGCGTTGGTGTTTTCACAGCATTCAAGGCACTGTGAAGTCAAGAAGACCACATTAAAAAACAACTGCTTTGCAAGCATGCTGTTCTTTGTAATGTGCAAAGAAGAACACAATAAAAACACTGAGCGTTGTTTAAGTGAATGGAGCGTTGCAGAGGTGGAAAAGATATGAAATCCCCATCAAGACAAAAACGTGTATATAAAGTGGAGTTAGTTTTCCTCTGTCTCCATATATTTTGTTTAACAGTTGTGATCCGTGGTTCGTACTTACTTCTCCCTTCATCATACGGACTCTGGCCAGCCACCAGCCACATGGCTCCTGCTCGTTGGCCCTCGAGTAAACCTGCGAGGAGATACATAGTGAATTACACACCGTAACCGTACTTCAAAACTATTTGTAGTGGGAAGTAAGATGAGATGGCAGTGAATTTACATTGACTGCAAAGACACACAGGATAGTGTCTGCCTACTGTTGTACGCCACAGAGAATATGCAGGACATGAGTTAGAGGTAAATGGTAGAGGCAGAATTATTGAATAACACTAAGACTCAAGTGCACAACTTTTAAAAGTTACAGCTGATTGTACAAAATGAAAGTTATATATTCTTCAACTGTTTCATGTTCAATATCCATATAGCAAGGGATGATAATGATCAAACGCTCCAAATAAATGAAGATTTATTACAGGATATCAACAGCCAGATAAATACTTTTTTATTTTAGATTTTTACTAAATGAGCGGCATCATAACTGTACTGAAAAGGGGAGTTAAAAGTGAATTCAAGCAAATGATGGTGAGGTGTGAACCAAAGCCTCGAGTCAGGAGGTTAGTGAGAACTCAGGTGCGAACTCGGCCTTACCTCCACCTCCTCTCCTTCACCAATATCCTTGTTGTATTCGGCTGGAGGAGGCAACCGCACATCGCTGAAGGGCAACTGTCGCTCTGGCTGCCAGCTAAAGGAAGACAGAAAAAACAAAAACAAAACTTAACGTTACGTTGTTTAAGCGGTCTATTAACCAGCCGCCGCTGTTCAGAACACAAATGGACATGATGAAAACAAAAAGGTTTACTGTGTATTAAAATCTGTGTCTGCACAGTGATTTATTATGTACATTATATCATGACATTTACATTTCAACTAGAAACCTGCTCGACAAGCCCGGCTCAGTCAGTATTGAAATCTAAAAAAAGCAGATGCTAATTTTCATTGAGTATTCATTGTATAAAATATGCTATTCTGACAACTCCATGTGCTCAGAAAGTAAAAGGAGAAAGGGTGGGAGGGGGGGTGGGGTGGACACAGGCCACTAGACTGCCACCCCACCCACCCTGCATACCTTGGGGGACTATTTTTAGGGGCACCCTGCTCTACAAGCTGCGATAAAGACGGACCAGGGGGATGGGCGGGTAGTGCAAAAGGACAGTAGGTGGGGCTATGAGCGAATTCTGTCAACTGGCAAGGGCAAGAGGGATCCGAGCAGGAGGTAAAATAAAAATAAAAAAATAAAACAGTTAAGAGACGTGTATGGACAGCTGCAGGGTAAGTAAGGGTGCTGAAGAGGACCATTTTGAATGCGTGGGTGTAGCTGGGCGCACTCGTCGTAACTCAATTACTACCAGTCGAGATTCATTTTCCCCACGTAGGGTCTATTTATCATGAAGCAGGCGTACAGAAACTTACTTGTTTTCAAAAACAATTGATAGCGAGTCTTCGTGGACATCTTTGATGTAACCCTGGGGGAAAAGCAGAGACGCACATTTTTATTCCCATGAATACTTCAAAACAGACCATTTGATTCTACAAGTATACCATGCAGCACAGCTGACTTGTACGCCATGCTAGACCGATACTGTGACTGTTGCCAAAAATGAGCATCTGAGGGTTTTTTGGAAGCCGAGACGTTTCATCACAGACACAATTCTCTGGCTGCAAATTCTGTGCTGGATAAAACGTAACAATGAACGCTGACTCCTCCTGACAGCCTGGAAGTTTCTAACACACTCACAGTATTAAAATGCATGAGCTTTATTTATTGGTTCAGTGGGAATGATTACTGTAGTTTTTCCAAGAGGCATTTTCATGAGGGCAATCTCCACACCTAGCCTGCATGGATATCCTGTGCAAGACAGCGACAACTACTACTAGAGAGATCACTTAAGCATCTGTCCATCATGGCCCTCCGTAAATCGGTCACAGCACGCCCTAAACTTTGACCGACAAGCCCCCACCACCACGCAACGGCGAGCTGGGAGGAAATCGGTGGGTGTGGCACGTCTCTCAGTGTGACAGTACCTTATATGGGACAGAAACCCATGCAGCCATACATGCTTTTGGGATACTGCCGTCAGTAGTCCCAAATGCATGTATGGCTGTCGGAGTGGGGGTGTAGATTCACCTGCTGTGAAGGTGCTGCCTTTGCACTGACAGCGCTGGCTAGGGTTTCAGCCTGGGTCATGGGGGAAAAGTGAGAGTAGCCACATTGTGATTTTTCTTTCCATACCTTTTCAGCATTCCAATAGCCGTGCTGAGATGGTCCCAGTTATTGGCCTAGACAAGCATTTTTCCATAAAAACCCAGCAATGGCGACAGATCTGACTGAAAGTCAGCATTTTTCCATAAAAACCCAGCAATGGCGACAGATCTGACTGAAAGTGGGGTCTTCTTCTCCTTTGCAGGGGTCACATTAGAAGACCTCTGCATGTGCATGTTATGCCAGGTCAAAGGGCAGGCAAGACCTCGGTCTAACGGGACATGACTGGTAGAACGGTGGGGGCAGAGAGGGGTCCTATTAAGCTTTGTATTGATGTTGCCTCAACCACAGGCCAGCAGCCATATGCAGGTCCACGTGGTGAGCAAGACATTTTGGGAGCAGAGGAGACAGGTTTGCAACCTTCCTGTACCAAAAAAAAAAAAAAATGATTGCCACGCTTATAATAAAATCAAATTGACTGTGCCAAACCTAAGATTGTCATTCTTTGCAAGGTGCTTAGTCAAAAGATCAATGTGTACTTGCAATTAGCAGAACACACAACTGTAATCCTCGTGTTTGCTTCCACGTGCTTGCTAGTGCAAAGGATGGAGCTTTGGGCTATACGAGACCGAGTGCCAGTTTCCTCACAGGTGCTGTATCGCCCTGACAGGTTCAGAATTATGATCCATATCCATATTGTCTCTGTCAGTCTCACAATACCAGTAAGGTAAATGAAGTGCATTCAAACAGCACATTTGAATTTACTCAATTACAACAGGAAAAAGGAAACTCTACTTGGAATAGGATATTTCGAATGTCAAACATTTAAATGTCCATCTCATTGACACCCACAAAATGAGAGCTGTGAGATAATGGAGGTAGTAGGGAGGAGTGGGAGAGTTCATTCATGCCAGAGCTAAACTGTCACCCTGTAAAACAGAACGACAGGTGAAGCACCATGTGGGGAGTAAATATAGGCTCCTCTGTGAACCACCATGCGGTCGCTCGACTATCTGAACACCCAAAGACAGAGAAGAGTAGCACATAGAGAAAACTAAGCGCATTGTAATAAGATGAGTCAATATGGTTATGGCTAGAAAGCAGGGAGAGGATTTAAATTGAGATTATATATTTTATGAAATCCCAGAATCTATAATGTTCAAATCCATGTGACTGAGAAACAAACACTTATGCTTAAGAAGTCTTTTAAAAATATGAACATATAGATTTAGGACCACAGATTGGGCATCTTAATTTGATGTTTGAAAAGAAGCTGTGAGACAGCGGCAATAAAATCTTGAAGTCACGTGTCTAGACAGTTTCTTTTGAAAATGAGGCAGAATTGAAACAGAAACATACTCGTAATACTTCTTTGGCAGCGCAATACACAGAAGCCCTGAGATCCCGTCGTTAAGGGATAAAAAGGGTATGAGGTAGCCTGTGTGCGCTCTGACATATCATCTCACCATCCTTGCACAACAGCTGTCTGATTTGAAGCTGGCTTCATTAATAAATGCTTCAAGACAAAGCTACATGCAAAGAAAAACGCCATGACGAAACTGGGAATAATCGTCCTTTGTTGTGCGCTCTGTGAATATTGACTTGTTTAAAAAAACAACAGAATATAGGCCATACATGGGGATGTCAAGTGCACTAGCTTAACAGCTAGCTGGAGCTAGCTACCCACCCCACAATGGCCAACGGTAACGGAACGCAAAACCATCCCCTTTTGTCAAAACTGGACCTGAGCTGATATCCGTCAAACGGCTTGCGTTAAGCGGGATCCGGGCTCAGGAAAACGAAACCTAACAGCTCACACCGAAACAAAACTTTCAAATGGGACAACTAGTAACTACGACTGTAACCAGGTTACCTTGTAGAAGGCCCCATTCGAGCCGCGAACTTCCACGGCCAGCCCGTCCATACTTGTCGGTAGTTCCCCACAGCTGAGCTTGTCTGTAGCCGTTACGACTCCCGGCGAGTCGGGTACCGCAACCACCCCCAGCTTCGCTGGCCCTTCGCCGCTCACCGGCCGCTTGTGGATTTCCAGTGTTTCTGGTGGTGGGACAGGGGCAGAGGTGAAGGGTTGGGGAGATGGGTGTGATGGTGCCAACTAACGCAACGCAGACGGTGTCCCCGGCAGCAGCTAGTTCGGAGGCTCCGTGGTCCGTTGGTCGTCTGAAAATGGGATTTGGTGCTCGCGAGCTGAAAGGCACCGCCACGAGCAACGTTCGGCTTCGACTTGCGCGAGGTGGAGAAGCAAGCTAATAATGCTATGGCAGGACGATGCTAGCTGATGGGTAATTAGCTGGGAGGCTAACTATCAACACCTTGATCCCGTCCGTTTTCAGGGATGCTAGCTGGCTAGCATTTGATAGCCCGGTTGCGTTTGTTGGTTGTGCGTGTGGCGCAGTCGTTACGTTGAATAATTTCACAGAAGTCGTCTGCGGGGGTCGTTTCTTCAGTCTGTGGTGCAATTTTCATTCGCGTTTCTTTCCCGAAAGGCGTTTCAGATGCACAGCCGCCCGGCGACTCCTACTCCAACTACCCGTCCCCAAAAACACACGCCGATAGATTGAATCGGAGTGGTACTGAATGACCACAAACACCCCACCCCTCCGTGACAAAACCCCGCCCATTAGGGAAACCAGGATCATGATTGGTCAAAGACCTTCGCAATCAACACTAGCTTTTGTTAATTGGTTTAGAAAATAAGGGCTGGTCCATACCGGTGACCAATAAAATCCACGGATATGCATCCTGGCATACTCCATTGGTATGTCACCGTGTCAGTTATTATTTTATTGAAATCAACTGGCTCACATATCTAATTTTGCCCACTCATTGATGAGTGAGGACCAGCCATAGTGTAAACAGCATTACAGTGACGTTAATGCACATATGATGAACCAAGCATGAATTATATTATGCTTGCAACACACATTTTCCTTGAAAATGTAAAGCCCTACACTGCGCTGTGCTTTTTACAATTATACATTGTTATTCAATAATTAAGTTTGCACTTCTATTTTTAGTGTACACAAGTCTAATCCATTTACCTGCATCTTTCTATCTGCCCTACTCCCCAATTGTTATTTTCTATTCTTGTGTAAGACACTTTAAAAAAGTAAAATTCCTTGTCAGGGTCTGACCCAAAACTAAAAGTAAAGTATAAAACTGTGTGGGTAAGGCTGGATAGTACCAGGAGTGTAGCACCAAAAAGACGGACATGGCCAAAGACTGTTACAAAGAAACTGCTGAGAGAAGTACATGGAAGAAACCAGAGGTCACGATGGACGGGTCCCACTGTACAGGAATACTTACAGTTGGCGAAGCTCAATATGGATTGGCATAAATAGGAGAATTACCTTCTCTATTCATTCTTTAATATCTAACCTGCCTTATAGAAACTGCAGGTATGATTTTGCAGAGCAATGTAGCAAGGTGGCTGTTACCTTTTCAGGCACAGACCCAATAAATGGCAAGGCATATTGTGTCATCACTTCTCATCAACTTTCAGGTACTGATACTAAGTAATTATAAGACTCTTTTCATTGTGAGTGCCACTCCTCCGGCTACTTTACTAACCCTCTGGGTGGCTCTTGCCACAACTGTATTGTATTTTTCTTTGAAGAACTGCAAGGGCGGATAAAAAGTGCAACAACAAATATAAAGGGAGGAGTAAAAAAACATCAATGACCTGTATCAAAGAAAAATAAGAGGGAAATCTTGCAATATGGCCTCTGGCTGGAATTTCAACAAGTCTATCAAAGCAAGTTATTCTACTGCCAACACCACAGCAAGAATTATCCATGCGGTTTCCAGCTGATGACCAGAGTTAAGAGCAAAAATATCAGTTATGAAATAATATTGAGGACATAGAATATTATGAAAAGCATCAAAATAAAATGAGAGACACTAATACATGAAGGGTGTGATTCAGGGAACATGTGTGTTTCCTCAGAGCCCAACCTTTATTTTGTGCCATGTTATGCCAGGTTTTAGAACATTTCGTGGAAACTAGAATACAGAAAAACTTTTTTTGATTTGATTCTAATACAGACAGCATACATATTTTGTCATCATGAATTAAAACGAAGATAATGTTATTGTTAAATGATACTTAATTCAAAATAATTGAAATATCACATACGCATTTAGAACGCGGGCTCGCGCGAGTGGCATCCGGGTCTCGAAAGGAGGCAGAAGGGGCGGGACTCTGTAGAATTGACCACATGGCTCATTTAACCAATAGCAACCAATCCTTCCAGCGCGCGCAACTTAATTCAGGAAGTACGCATTTTGTTGCGTTTACGAGCTAGACAGAAAAGTCTTCATCAATTATAAAACGCATACGTCTCTTGTGTGATAACAAACACAGTTAAACTGAAAATGTCCGCTGCTTCCGACTCCACACATAACGTTATATCGTCTCTCGGGAAGGGGGACAGCTTGCATCATCAGGGTGAGAAAATATGTTTAGCTACTAAGTTAATTTAACGTTAGCTGCTGCTTAACCAACGTCAGACAAGTAACGTTTAACTAACGTCACCTCTGATAGAATGCGGATTGTTACTTGAAACTTGTAACAATATTAGAGAGGAATAACGCTGCACATTGCTCATTCATAGTCCAAAGTAACACGATTTTCTAAGCAGTTATAAGTATGTCGGTAGTCTCCATATGCTGTTTGAGAGAAGCTATCGTACGTTCATTGTAAACTGGAGTGTTGTCTGTATTTTTGGTGAATTTCCTGTCCGTGATAAGGTTTGGCCATCGATAACAGGTTTTCTGTATTCTCTCACATCCCACCCAGTTGTCGCCTCCCTGCCTCTGTGTGACGTCACCGAGGAGGATCTGACTCAGAACCCCCAGTTGTGTAAACTTCTGGCCACCCTGTCCCAACATGTGGACCAACATGGACTCACGGTCCCACTGAAAACAGAGCTGGAAAAGGTATCGCAAGGGACTGGGTCAAAAGAAACTCTTCATTCACAAACCCATCAAGCTTCTTGCTTTCCGATGGAGGTATCACATGGTGCTATTTAAACTAAACAGCTTTATGTTTGCCACAAGAAAATAATTTTTCGTCCTTAATTAACACAATTGTCTATGACTTACCGACCAGTGAGAATTGCGTTCACAGTGATGGAGCTTGTTTTCTCGTGCTCCGTGTCTGAGTGTGTTAGCGTTTGTGTTCTTGCGAGCGCTTACAAACGTTTTATTCCAGGCTGAGCAGAAGCTGCAGAGCCAGAGGCGTCACTGGCTGCGCTCCGAGAGTCTCCACAAAGCGCTGCAGGAGATGATCCAGGACCACTGTATCCGGAAGCACCACGCCACTGTGCCCCCCGACCAGAGCATGGTACATTTGTTTAAACCATCACCTGTCAGTGAAACATGGGTGACATATTTCTGGTCATTAAGACTCCTCTAGGCAACTCACTTTGCACACCGCATCTCCAAATTGCAGCAAAAGGTCGCACCTGAATCTGGAACTCTACCTTGTACTTTTATTACTTTACTATTATTGCTTGTGTATATGTGTGTGTAGTTTTATGAAACAATGGAGAAGTGTCTGCTGGTGGCGGAGTGTGTCAAACAGCTGGATCCCAGCAGCACCACCGAGCAGGACCAGCCCTCTGTTCTGGGTCTGAACCCCCAACAGATTCTGGAGCTCATGCCATCAGAGAAAGTGAGTCAGAAAAGCACATTATAATCACCTGCGTATGTAAATCATACTTCTCCATCAAAGTATAGATTCTTCACTGACAAATGTATCCTGTTTACCCTAATTTATGCATTTATTGTCACCAGAATGTTCAAAGAATGAAACAGAGTCTTCCCAGAGAGTTAGAGAAACATCTGAAGAAAAAGTGTCTGAGCCTCCTTTCTTACTATCAACCTGAATGGGGTGCGGTACCCACTTACCTACCTAAGTAAACATCCTCACGCCAACTATATGTGCTGTTTTTAATATGACTTTTCTGTTTTCCATTGCCATTGTAGAGAATGAGAGCGAAGGTCTGAAGAACAGCAAGTTGTCTCACCTGTCAGCCCAACTGGAGCGAGAGAAGAAAAGGGCAGAGAGTCTGAAGGAGACCTCTCGGGAGAACTCGGTCCTCCTGCAAAGACAGACACATCTCTATGTCTCTGTAAGTTTGCTCTGATTTAGGAAGTTTATCACATGTTTTTTTTTTCTCACAGTTCCCGTTCAGTTATTGGAAAATAGTATCAAGACTAAAATATTTTAAAAGTGACAATTATGATATTACATGTTAACATCATATTTAAATATTTATCTTTCATTTTTTCCGTCTTCTCGACTCGTGTCCAGGAACTGATCAAGTGCATCCAGCTTCTGCAGTCCCTCATCTTGGACCACAGGTTAAGGATCCAGACAGATTTGGACCGGAAGAAGTTAGAATATTTTGAGGGAAAATGTGAATTAGTCTTGCAGAAGATCAAGTAAGGAGTTTTCATTTCTTTGCATGCTTCCATATTTTGATATTCTTTTGTATTGTGCCTTTATCTAGAAATACATACCAGTACAATCAAATCCAATTCTGAGGTCTTCAGTTTCACATTAATTTGAGTTTTTTTCTCTTCTTCCTTCAAAGGACTGAGATGGTGGAGATTCAGCTGGACACGTACACAGTGGACTCAATATCTGCTCATAGAAAAATAAGGCAAGAAGCTTTGTGTTCAATATTCATATTACTCCATTCTGCCTTTTTAAAGGCAACACGGTGCTAGTAGTTTACATGTAATACGCTTTTATAATTGAAATACTCTTTGAATTTGAACTGTGAATTCCTGATATCAAGCCTGCTTCTTAGAAAAACTACTTTCTTGCTGAGACTTTTCCAAAACATGACAGCCTGTCGTGTCTTTATTTTCAGAGGGACGCTGGAGTCCGAGCTAAAGGCCTGTCAGGTGGAGAAGCAGTCAGTTGAGATGAAACTGGCCTCCTTTGAGATCTTGGGAAAAGAGTTTGAGGCCCTGGCCAAGGAGTACTGCAGATTGCGGCAGGAGATCGAAATGAATAACTGGGCTCTGAACGAGTTCAGCCAGTGCACGGGCAAGTGAGGATCATGTCTGATGCCGGGACAACAGCCAGCTGGTACCGTGGCACATTGTGCCATCGCTCACATTGATGCTGGCTTTCGGACACTTGACACACAAACGACTTTTGAACCTCAGGAACTATGCAGCATGTAAATTACTGAGTGGCTCCCGTTACAGGTCCTACAAATGGATTCAGTTTTTCTGATAGTAATCAGCATTTCTTCTGTCTTTATTTCTGCCACAACCCATTTAGAGGTTAAGGTGTTAAGGTTAAGCATTCATTACTCTTTTAATAAGATGCAGCTTTACATTATGAAATAACTATCTTCCACATGATTGGGGGATGCCTTTTGATTGTTTTCTGCATTTCTATATGAAATAATAAATATTATGTAATAATTTCATTACATCAATACATGGTAAAATGTCTGGTGTTCATAATGTGTTGTGCTGTAAACATGTGAATAAACTAAAAGTAGCAAATCTGCAAGATTATGATTAATGTTCATACAACTCGATTCTCTGATATTGCTTCTCTCTGACACAAATGTGCGTGACAGGCCAGGACATGTAAGCTGCATCCTCTCAGAAAACACTCATCCTTTATTCTCTGTGTAGGCACATTTTAAAGACTGTTGATAAGGTGATGTGAATGTGCTACAACTGTCCTTCATAAAGCTCATGTCTTGTCTTCTATATTGATGATCTGAGACTAGTACAACAATTTGTTCTGTCCATATTGCCACCAGTGTTCAGTGCCACCATCTACGATGGCTGTTTCAATGTTTCAAATAACCTGTGAGGAAATGAGAAAACATGTTCGGTAAAACACTTGAGGAAAGTATGCAGTTTGCAGCTGAAGCCACACGATGGCGGCATAATTTAATTTATGACAGAGGTCGTGTTTCCTTCCTGGAACTCATAAGTCGTCCTTGTTGGTTTTATAGACTGAAGACTATAAAGCAAATACAAAACCATAGTACATGAAGATATTTAAAGATACACTTTAAAATGAGCAGATGTCCTTCACTGGAGACCATCCAGATAACCAGCTAACTCAAATCTATCAGAAAATAGATCTGCCTACAGTCACGATACGTTGTTTATTATTATAATCTATCCATGCAGTTTATAGCAGATATTTATCGACTCTTGTTTAATATTTCCATGTGTGTGTATAACGTCCGGTTAACGCGGACTCCGCTGTCTTGTCTAAAATTGACGATCTTTGGTTGCGTGTGCCTCTCTGAGGACAAACGGAAGTGGGTGGGAGTGAAACCTCCTCCTCTGATAACCCCTCTCTGCTCTCTCATCAGCAGCAGCCGCCCCGCCTCGCGACGCGAACCGCTGGCTGGTTCGCCTCCGACAGACTCACTCACAACATCTGGCTGTCACACACGAGCGGCGCTACCGCGGCATGCTCGTATTCCCGCCGGGACTCACGAGGTGGATTCCGACCAGCCGGGCGCCATGTCCGAGGTGCGAAAATTCACAAAGAGGCTGAGCAAACCCGGGACGGCCGCGGAAGTCAGACAGAGCGTGTCGGAGGCGGTGAAGAGCTCCGTGGACCTTGTGGTGAGCGGCGCTTTAACGCCAAAGCCGGCGGCGGTCGTTTTTTTTTTTTTTTGGAGTCAACACGGATGAAGCGGCCCCGTTCTCCCGTATTCCCCAACTCATCCTCCGCGCCATGTGTCGCGCTTTTTGTATTCGTCCTCCCCCGTTTTCCGTTCGACGCGCGCGTCCCGCCGGCCCTTCACGTGGAGCCGCAGCTCCGGTAACGTCAGCAGGCTGTCGAACGGTTCTTTCCGCGTTTACTGTCACGCGTTGCGCCAAATTCCTGCGTGAAAGACGCAGCTCTGCTTTCTAGACTGCGGGCGTCACAACGCGGCGTGACATTGTGCGAAGCAGCACATGTTTCAGTGAAGGAAAAAGGAGCAGGGTTTGGGTCACGCGTGGCTCCTTTTGTGTGCTGGCGGACGAGGAGCAGTGACAGCGGGACAGCTGCAGCACGGCCTCCCTGTCCTCCTTGAGAGGGAGAGAGAGAGAGAGAGAAAGAGCGAGAGAGAGCGAGAGAGAGAGCCTCTGTATGTCCTCTGGGAAGACGTACAGAGACACGCATATAATTGATGCATATGGCTGAATGAGATTTCCCCGCATCCCTTTTTAACCAGCAGCCGTGCCCGTGCCTTGGAAAAGACGGCGATAATGAGGGAGCACACTGAGCATCATCTCCACTTTTGTCACTGATCGACTCTGGAGCTGGTTTGTACGAGAGAGGACCTCTGGTTCCTTTGGGATTAGTCTGTAGTCTTATGATGATGATGATGATGAGGAGGAGTGTGACGCAAAGAGGCCACTAATCATGTGATATTGGTTTGATTTCCGCAACATAGGTGGGAGTGTGTGTTGTTTGTGTTTTCCCCCCGGGGGAATAAAATTGGCTGTTTTTCATACCCGTGTTGTAGACATCCGGCTTGCGTGCCGGAGATTGAGGAAAAAAAGACGACATAGATTGAAAAAAAGAGAGAGAATTATTTGTCCCAAATAGGTTCTCAGCATGGGGGGGGGGGGGGGGGGGGGGGGTGTCTGGGGAGATTCCCTCTGGCATGCTGTGATGATGCTTCCTGTGTGACTGTCTTCGGTTGTTCATTCTGTCGTTGTGAACAAGGCTAAAGTCCAACTTTAGAAAAGGAAGCAGCAGATTGAGCGCTGGACTCGAGGGAGAAATGACATTTTGATTAGTCAAACACATTTGTGACCAATAACGTCCTGTCTTAGTTGGTGCAATACACTGCTCGAAGAATGTCTTTAGTTATGTGATTTTTTCTTATGTTAAAATATCTAATGTGAATCTGCTTATTTGGGATGAAAAAAGAGGAGGGTGCGCTGAACTATGACGTCGCTCTGCCTCCAATCCTAAAGAGGAAATGACGGAAACATGGAGTTCGGGAACCTTTTTTAGGGGGAATGCACTGTTTCCATATAGGGTGTAGAGGACACATCCTCCATGGGATTGAACGCCGGACCGCACTCAGTAGGACGTGTCTGTGTTCAGTAGAAAAGTCCTCCTATGGGGATTACTGTGTCAAAGTATTCCACCGAGTCTGCTGCATGTACACATGTATGTGGATGGAGGAACGGAAGGACAAAGGCCTTCTTTATTTAGGCTTGAACATCCATAACAAAAGAGAACCTATGCTGTTTTTTGTTTTTGTGGGGAATTCAAGGTTTTGACTCTTTACTAATCATATATCAAAACTACCTCATGTGAACGTAAAGTTAAGCAAGCGAACCACAGACCTAATAGAAAAGCCTCAGTGTGTTCAGCTGCTGTACATGTGTTGGATGACTGAAACCAGCTTTGAATCAAGTGTTTGAATCCATCCGGGCATCAAGTGGGAGTGCAACGAGAAGCCCCCCGAACCGACAGGGAGTCATTTAACAATATAAGTGTCTCTCTTCTTCCCCGTAGTGAGCTGCTCTGTCTCGTTACTGCAGCACTCAGTGGGGTCCGCTGGAGAGCTGCTTCCCATTGTGTGGGACTTTCCGGTGCCGGTGTGTTTAAGTGTAAACGTGATAAACTCCACGTTGGAGTGGCCAGTGCTTCACATCTGCTGAACTGTAGCGAGGCGCAGACATCTGGAAAGGCGCCATTACTTTCAAACATCATCATCATCATCGTGTTCTTCCCCGGAGACGACACCTGGAGTCGGCTTCGCTCTCGCTGATCGGTGTTTGAGTTTGGTCATGCCTGCTTGCGTCACGCGGTTACGCCCAAATGTTGGGCCACGTCCTTTCATGATGATTTTACCGTCCGTCCGTGTTTCTCAAGCAGCGGGACTGTGGCCGCGCGGCTTGTGATCACTCCGCTTCTTTCCTCTTCTATGAAAGGAGAACTCCACCTATCTCGCTGCGTCCTTCCTCCTCTCTCTTCTCTCTCTCAGCTCCCCTCGCCCCTCCCCTCCTGGTGCCCGAGCCCTCTCTGTAACACGATCAGCGTTGCAGTGTGCTCTGACTTGCAGCGCTGCGGTTCAGCGTGTTGCACATGACAGGAAGCGGAGCCGCTGCTCCTTTGGGCCCGGAACAGGCATGTGTAATGCTCTCAGCAGGCAGGCAGCTCTCTGCTCCGGCCGCCGCTTGTCCATTCAGCAGTTGAACCCCGTGGAAAAAGATCAAAGTGACGTAAAGTCGAGGAGAGGAATCTGCAAGTGCTAAATTTCCCTGTTTGAGGTTGTGGAAGTTATTTTTATATACGTGGTCAAAGAAAAAACAAAACAACCTAATGGCAGGTTTCATGCGCCAGAAGGCCGAGGAAGTCGGGGTCTGGTGGAATAATTTGCAGGGAACACGTACTTGTAACCGACTTAGTTAACGGACAAATTATTGGTTAGAGAACATTGAAAGGGAGAACTTTGCTTTCCTTTTGCATACCAGGGTACTAAAGGAGATGTTATCCCCTTCAAACCCCACTGGACTGATACTCAACAGCCAGACAGCGTTCAAAACCACACAGCTTCATTTCCCGAATCCTCAGGAAATGTGGAGTCTAGGGTTGGAGGATTTGAGGCGGTGTAAACATCAGTTTCACTGAGTTGGAACCAGCTGATACATAACATTTAATACTATCAGAAAGTGTGGCCTTGCTGCTTACAGCCTCCGAATTAAACCCAAATAGACTCAGCTCCTGCTGTTCACATTTGAAAGGGGCGACTGTGGCTCAGTGGAGAGCAGGGTCCTTCAATCAAAGGGTCAAAGGGTCAGTGGTTCGATCTCCGGCCCCCCTATTGTCCATGTAAATGTGTCCATGGGAATAACCCAATTGGCTCCCATAGCTGTGACTACTGTGTGTACGTTTTATTTACAGGTGGCACTGTGTTTGGCAGCTCCTGTCATCTCTGTATTTATATTCCATCATTTTTGTAGTTTCACAAATTTCCCCCTGGGGATCAATAAACTATATATGTATCTATAAATTGGGGTGGATGGGTGAATGGTGACATTCGTTGAGGACTTCATCCAAGTTGCTTCCCGTCCCGTCATAGCAGTGCATTGAAAGCAGAGGTGGAGGATAAAAAACAGCGGCCCAGCTACTGCATTGACTTTATTGGCCACTCCAGCAGCGGTACAGTAGGAAAACAACGCGCTGCATCCCAGCTGCACGGCTCCTCGATGGAAATATGAAAAAGTGGAACATGACCCAGTCATCCCTCTCCATTTATCAGGGTTTCCCTCTCCCCACTCCACCACGTCCACACATTTCCTCTGCCTGGTGTCGCTCAGCCGAGGCTTACTGGCTAAGCTATTCGGCGCTGTGGTCGCTGCTTAGCTCAGGCTTAAAGGGGCACCTTCTTGGAATTAATTGTGAATCTTTCCAAGTGGTTTACGTTGTACTTGTGATCACATTCTGACCTAGTTGTGGAATGCTGGGTTTTGGCCGGACGGCCCCTTTAAGACAAAATGTTGATTTCATATCCACTTCTCTCTGAAACTCATAACAGGAAGTTGATGTTCTGCAATGACATGTGATTCATTTATTTCATTATTGCAAAAGCCTCGATCAAGTACACATGCTGCATGTGACAGCTGATAACTAGCAAGTCAAATATCATAATTCTTGCTCCCTTCCGTCTTTGCAGATGTTGTTTTTCTCCTTTTCGCCATATTTATCCCCTGCTAACACTGTTCATCTGTTTCCCCGTCACGGTGACGCTCCACTGAACTTGTGTGGTTGTTCCCCTGATTTCTCATGGCCCTGCTTTTGCTTTGGCAGTGAAAGGTCCTGGGGGCGAGCCCTTGTTAACTTCTTTCAGTAAAACCAGGTCAGGAGCACAAAGTCACATGTGTTTGTGTTGTGTTCGTCTCCCCCGTTTTCAGGAGCAGCCAAAGATCATTGAGCCTCTGGACTATGAAGCTGTGGTGTTTCAGAGAAAGGCCCAGATCCACAGTGACCCCCACCGAGACCTGCTGCTCTGCCCTGTGGACGATGTCTCGGTGAGTCCTCTCTCCTCCCTCTTCAAGACTGTCTGAGCCCAGCGGGAACAAAGGGCTGTAAAACATCACTTTCCAAATAAAGGCTTCCCATCATCAATCACTGTTCATCCTCAACGTTCAAAAATGTACAATCCAGATCCAGCCAGGTACCTTTGCTCTGCACGCCCATGTGGTTTCGTTTAGAGGCACCTCTCGCTCTGTGTTTTTTTTTTTTTTTTCCCATCTGTCCCATTGTATCTGCGCCTTTTGTTTCCTCTCATTCAATGTATCTTTTCCCTTTTGTCTGTGGCTCCCTGCTGTCTTAACATCTAATGGGAACATACAAAACTGTCACCATAACGCTGTTTGCTTTTGGTCCCGTGTGCACGCAGGAGTCCCAGATCTTGCGGCAGAGGAGGACCGTCGTTCCCTCGGTGCCTCAGAACGCCGAGCGGGAGGCCCGGAGTCTGTTCGCCAAAGAGGTACTGCAACCAGCCGTCCTCTGTGTATGACGCACGCATTCTCATACGGAAACTGTAGAAGCTTTTGAAGGAAAAAAGAAAATAGTCATTTGAAGCTCATAAAGAAACGCAGACTGGACAGGCCAGTAGTAAACAGCCTCTCTACGGATGATCAATGGTTCTAGCAATGAGAAACAGACTCTTCTGGCTTGATGTGTGAATAAACTGCTGCTCAGCCAGGCCCTGAATGTGTGTGCATGCTCCAGCTCTCATGACTGTGACCTAGCATGGAAACAGCTGTCATATGGATCAGGAACACCGACGCAGCCTCTTCTCAACAAAGGTCCTTTCAGCTGACTGGATTGGGAATTTCTGCTTGCGGCTTTACACTGATTAAAAAGAAATATGCACATCGAAAACCATCTTGAGTAATATCGAGCCAAAGTCAGTCCTTGTGCCACTTTACTTGTTTTAAGTTGATGAATGTCTTGGAGCCGGACGAAGGAAAATGCTCGGTTAGGTCCCTTTGCTGTTGTAGCATTATTCTTGTTTATGAGTGGATCTGCTGCTCCTAATCCGGCGCTCTGTGTTTGGCAGTGCATCAAGATGTACAACACCGACTGGCACGTAATCAACTACAAGTACGAGGCGTACTCCGGTGACTTCCGCATGTTGCCGAGGTAAGGAAGCTAAGGAGGGGAGGGGACACGGTTGGGGTAAAACAACATTTATTTTTATTTTTTTTGCTGCCAAATCTGTAACCTCTATAACATCTGTACAAGAGATTTACTCATCACTCTCATGTGGGTCTGCCGGGTGCCGGGTGTGCCCGTATGTTAATGCAGCTCTGACGCTTCGGAGGAAATCCAGCTTACAAATGGAAATAGTTGCCGTAAAGCCTTCTATATATATATATTCTCTGCCACAAAACAGTTGCCTCCCAGATGTTTTGAAGTCTAATTGAAATGGCGATGAAGCTTCACTGCAGCATCACTGCGACCTGCACAAATAAGCTTTAAAATTCAAAGGGAAAATAAATAAAGACGATATCAGACGAGGTGAAACAAGATTTACTGCCCAACCCAGGACACCCACAGCAGAGCATGTTGCATGCTTTACAAAGACGTAGTAGGCGTCACTGCGGGGACTGTGCAGTGGGTAGAAGGCTGATTTATTGAGGACTGCTGACCCTCACTCACTGTTTTTTTTTTAATCAATAGCAAAGGCCTGAAGACGGACAAGCTGCCAGCTCATGTGTTCGAGATCGACGAAGACGCCAAAGACGAGGTGAGCAGCAGGACCTGAGCGGCGTTCGACCGCAGACGTTGATCACTGCAGCGCAGACGAGTGGTCTGTTATTGTATCACCGCCCTGATTGGCCCAACGCACACATGCACAGCTTTCAGGGATGTGCTATAACACATGCACAGCTTTCAGGGATGTGCTATAACCCCCGGCTCAGCAATATTGAAATGATTCCCTTTAATCTTTTTAAATCGCGGAAATGTGACACATACTTGGCTGGGTAGCCAGAAAACACAAGCAGCCGTTCCCGGGACTCTGTGACTTATGGCCACTCCGTCCTTTAGTCCATCCAGCAGTGTGATCCCTCAGAGACAGAGTGCCCGGCAGTGAAGCCACTAGCATTACGTGTCCTATAAATAGCCTCCCATCGATTGCCCCCGCCTCCCTCTCCAAACCCTGTGCTGGATGAGGATGAATTTGAGGAAGACAGAGAACGGGTTTAATTGAAGGTAAATAAATGCTGCTAGGACGGTGGCGGGGGGGTTGGCTGGCTGGAGGAGATGGCTCCATTACTTCTGGAAACAGACCATTCTACTATTACAGTCTCTCTGCATCTCCCTTTCCGGCTGTGATTTTGTGATTTGCAGGCTGGCAGCAAGACCAGTTAAGAACCAAAAGAAGAGAAAACGCCTAATACACTTTTGATACGCTTCTTTTCATAACCTTTTGCATCCACCCACGGGCCCCACAATACATTTGTGTTAATGCAGTCATGGGCATGAGCTGATTTAGTTAAGTACAGGGTGCGGCGCGTATGTGTGCTGGTCTGATATAAGTACGGGGAGGATGACAACCAGCCAATCAGATTGCAGGACAAGGCTGGGGAGAAAGACACTTCAGTGTGAGTCATCACAGTCGTGCGCGCACACACACCTGCACACCTCAACCCTTTTCATGATGTGTGTGCCTGTGTGTAGGTTAATTAGCCCCGCTTGTAATGTGAATTCCCCCGAGTGGGAATCAACAGGCCCGTGGCAGTTGTGACAGGACTGAGGCTGAGTGATGATGGAACCGTTATGGGAAGCCAAAGAAATACTGATGAATTGATTGGACTAGAGAGCGCCCAATTAGAATTGATGGTGGTTTGTCACAGACTGAAAAATGTTATCATACTAAAGCGTTAAGTGAGCATCTCTCAACACCAGAAAAGAGGGGGAAAAAAGTGTCACAGATAATATTAGAAACAATGTAAGAATTAAGCTGCAGAGAGAACGGGCACTATTGTGACGCTTAAAGGGACAGCAGGGTTCAGGCAGTGTGTCTCCTGCAGCAGGCAGAGTTTGGAGAAACACACACAAGTAATGTTCCTTTTTTACACTTAAACAAATCAAAAAAAGTCTACGCTTTATCTAGAATATTCTCACTGCTTTCTGTTGCTGTCAGCTATACCTATATTTAGTATATTTAAGACGCACAGTGACGCAACAGCACTTGCTGATCGGGGAAGCGTTACACCAGCAGTAAGTGGCTTTGCTCCAGTGCTGGTACTCATATCCCGTCTGTTTCTCCAAATGAAGGGCGTGTCGACCGCAGTCTCCTTTAGCCGGCTGCACGGGCCCTTCACACAGCTCCGCTTAAAACAAACCCAGCTATTTAATATGTGAGAACCGTTAACCCAATCGACTTCCGGTGTTTGTGTTTGTGTCGGTCAGGACACGTCGTCGCTGTGCTCCCAGAGGGGAGGCATCATGAAGCAGGGCTGGCTTCAGAAAGCCAACATCAACAGCAGCCTGTCTGTCTCCATGAGGGTGAGTCACCACCAGGCTGTTATTCATACACAACAGCAACAAATAAAACCACAGCGGTCAAACGTGGCATTCCCCACAGAGACATGACACGTTCTGAACATTTCTCCGTCATCTTCTGCTTTGTGCGCTATATATTGTATTCAAGATTTAACATGAGCTACACCAATGTATTTAAATCGCAACTGAGAATCCGTTCCTCTGACTTATTATCTGCTACTCTGAATTATAGGTCTTCAAAAGGAGGTACTTCTACTTGTCCCAGCTCCCTGATGGCTCCTACATCCTCAACTCCTACAAGGATGAGAAGAACTGCAAGGAGACCAAAGGGTCCATCTACCTGGACTCCTGCATAGACGTTGTTCAGGTACTTCATAAAAAATCAAAGAAAAATCTAATGCACAGTGGAGATTAAGGCACAAAAGCTGGAGCCCCAACACTTTTTTTCACCTTGTCAAACTCTTAAAGGGAGGGTTGGATGTTTAGAAGTGAACTTATTCATAGTCTGGTAGAAAAGTAATGTAGTGCTGTAGATGGGTAGAACAGCAAAATGTAATTCATCCCCTTTAAAAAGTATAAAATCTACTTATAATTGTATACTATTTTAGAATAATATATATTTTAATATAAGAACGTTGCTGGTACTGCTGATTGGTTCTCCAAACGTGACCTGCAGACATCTTCAACCCAAATCCAAAAAACTCCAAACTATCCCTTTAAGCTGTTGTTATACCACACTCCTTGTTTAATTGAACCCTCCCCCTCCGCCCGCGGTGAGAGTTTAGTTTCTGGCGCTGGCTCTCATCCTTGTGAAAGTAAGTGTGTTCCCTCGTCTCGTGGTGCTTGAGGTTCTTTCAGAGACGCTCCAATCGGTTGGGTTTACAGCATTCCATGGACTCGGGCAGAAAAGTCCTGTCCAAGCACATAACGAGCGGCTGCTGTTGAGTCATGGTGCAGACCGGTAACCTCATTCAGGTCTGCGCCAAGCAGGGAGGCTGCCAGGAAGCTTTCAGCTTGATGAACACATTCAGAAGTCGATGAAGGGGAAGCGTGAGGAGACTCAATCCTGTTGCGTTACTATATACTGTAATATATTTGTGTATTGTATGTTAATCTACAAAATCATATCAAATCCAATGATCCCTCCCCACTCAGAGCCCTAAAATGCGCCGCAATGGCTTCGAGCTGAAGATGCAAGACCGCTACAGCCACTTCCTGGCCGCCGACAGCGAAGCGGAGATGGAGGAGTGGGTGATCACGCTGAGACAGGCTCTGCAGAGCACCACCGAGGCCAGCCAGGACCGGAGGAACGGTGCAGAGATGCTGGACTGTTCCCTGGGTGAGTTATCCCGTATCTCCATCTGAAAACTAACATACAATACCACAATATACTGTACTGTACGTCCAGATCATCTTTCCGTCCAGCTCGCTACGATAATAACAGCATGTATTTGCCTAACCGCTGATTCTGTTTTGGTGACCAGCCAGGGTTAAAATAATCCCTCTCCTTGGAGGGAATCCAAAACTCCCCCGAGAGCCAAGGTGTTCTAACATTTTAAAAGGCTTCCAGATTACAATGATACAGAGGCAAAAAATATGCAAGGCTGATAACCTAATCAGATAACCTTCTCTCCCAAATCCTGCGTGTTGTGTTTCTTTAGAGGGCTTTTGGGGTGGATGGTTGAACTCTGCTTGTCCTGAGCCGTGGAAGAATACCAGCAGCTTCATGGACTTTGTCTTTGTCTTTCCATCATCCACTGGCTGTTTTTTCGCATGCAATGATATAGTCTTTGTGCAGAATGCTCTAGTGAAACGCAATTGGCCCAGCATTGTCAGCGAGGCTGAAAAAGGACCAGGATGCCTTCCAGACAGATGAGGGGGAGGAGGAGGGGGAGGCACGCACTTTGGGTTCACTCAGTCCATCATGTGTCACCTGGGAGTCGGCAGAATAGTGAATAGCCTCGTCCTCATCTGGCCAGGAGACTGAAAGATATTAGTTTGCAGAAAGCCACATAGGAAGCCGGCAGGGATCAATGTGTGAGCACAGAGTTCACAGAGTTCACAGAGTTCACAGGTTCCTGCCTCCTGACGACCTTCACTCACGTGTGCTCACTGTCCCGTTCAATCAGATGACGACGCTGTCAGCCAAGGTAAAGGTGAGAGCCTGCTGGAGAGCCTGGGGAGGAGCTTACAACCTGAGCTGATGAAGGTAGGGACAAAGGATGGATGAATGCTTGATAAATAAATAAAGGCACTGATTTGCTGGGTTCGTGATAAATAGAAATACAGAAAAGGTTTATTTGTTTTTTAATTGCATCAGAGGAGTGCCGGACAGTTTGAAGGTTCAAAGCTTAATTCATAACATTGACGTTCAAATTCTAAATCAACATGCAAATTCTGCGCAGCTTTGCATTTTATTTTTGTAAACATGTTCAAAAACTCAAATAGATATAGACATAATGGACGTATTGTTGTTGGGCAGTCGAGCTGCTACATCAATTTAATTTAAATAGCCACAATAACAAAAAGCAATTATTTCTGCGCATATTGTTTAGAGTGATGGGATCAGAAAAGGAGGACAGATTATTTTTCTTGCCTTCCTTTGTCTCAGTCTTTTATTTAAGCTTGAAAACAGCAGCGTTTATTCTACGGAGACCGGCCTGTTTTAATATGTCTATAAAGCTGCATCTACACACAGACAACAAAGCCCTCTGTGCTGGTGTTTCACCGCCGTTTGCTCCGGGCCGCTCCAGCTGAGTCTGTGTGCAGGCCGGGCACAGTGAGAACAGGGAGGAGGAGGTGGAGGAGGGTGGGGGAGATGTGGATCAGGGCTCTTAACGTGACCTGAGGGGTTTGATATGTTAGTTTTCATTAGATGCCCTTTTTATCACTTACTCTGGGTCCGTTGAGGCTCCTCTTCCCCCCGTGTCTGTTTTCCTGTTGGTTTACCAGCAGAGAACACAGAGAGGCGACTCTGCCCGCAGCGCAGCCCCCAATATTGGACACAATGGATGAGAGCAACCGAAATTGGCAAATAATAGTTACACATATTTCTCCAAGCCAGCTAGCGTGTTCAATAAAGCATCAGCAAACATGACCACCTAATACATTTATATTCCGTTTATATTCCTTCTCTGTGTGTCTGCAGTACGCCAGGGAAACGGACCAGCTCAATAAGATGAACAGGAGTGAAGGCAGACCGAAGCTGTTCACTCTGGACCCTGAGACGCAGGTACGCAACACCTGCTTATCCTATTATTTATTTATTTTACTATTGGTTCAGACAATTTGATCTGTCTTGATCCGCCCCTTTCCACCATGTTTCCTTCTCCTTTGTCCTCCTCTCCTCTCCTCTGGATCAATCTTTCTGTCTCTCTCATGTTGATTTGTCTCCTGCCTTCACGCCTCCCTCCTCTCTGCTGTGCGATATCCAGAGGCTGGACTTCTCCGGCATCGAGCCAGATGTGAAGCCATTTGAGGAGCGCTTTGGCCGTCGCATCGTGGTCAGCTGCCACGACCTGACTTTCAGTCTCCAGGGCTGCGTCAGTGAGAAAGGAGACGGCGTCCTCACGAATGTATGTTGTGTTTGTTTGTTTGTTTTGCCATGTACCTCTACCAATGATATTTTATTTTAAATATTGGGGTTGTATGAGTTTCTCAAGTATTTTTACACATTACACATTTGGAATATTTATAAATCCAAAGCGAGAGGTTTTTACAGTCAAATAGATGATCAGACCTTATGCTTGTTTAATGAATATAAACAGGGTTAGAATATACAGATAAATAAATAAATGGTCATGTTGGGAGACTGAAAATATATATATTTGCTTAAAAAGTGATTGCAGAAAAAGGAAAATAAATGTGTGAATATTCATACTTGTGGTATTGTCAGTATGCGCTTAAGCATTATTTATTCCGATGCACAATCCTCTTTCGCTGCCCCAGAAAACACACCTTCATATTTCATGTTGGTCTGTCTGGAAGCAACGCCAGCGTCTAGCCCGAAAGAGAACCCAACTAGATATTGTTGTGATACATTTAGTCTGTGAATAAAAGTCAGTTTGCATCAAACAATTACGCACACTGATGTTGATGTTGCTGCATTGTTTTTTTTCTTCTTTTCGTTAGAAAGATTAAGTCGGTCTTCTTGTGATTTCGATAAATAGCGTGTGTGCATGAGACAGCAGTTTTAGAGCGTGTGTGAGCACCAACTTTGTCAGAGCGGCATTGCGATCTGTAGTCATAAAACATTGACTTGCTTGCTAGTGCTTTTAGAGAGGCTGGTAGGAGAAAAAAAATGACTCATGTGGTTTGGAAGCCGCTCTCTCTCGCTTTCCCTCCCCCAGCCCCTCCATTCTTTCCACAGCCTCTTATTGGTTTAATGTTTATTGGCTTGTCTGACATGCAGGAATCATCCATCCTGGCATAAGTGCACGGCCATGCAAAAGTGTGTGGGTGGTAGCACTGTGGCAAATATTGCTTCCAAAATAGGGATGAGCTAATATATGCTATTGCTAATGATAATTTGGATACATTTTCTGTCACATATTCCATGAACGTGCGTGCATGTTATAACCACCAAACTGAAAGAAGTGAATGCATCGAGATAATAGGTGGGGAATAAAGTTAGCAGAAAATGTCATGTGCAGGAAATGAAACCATGGATATTGTCGATTAAAAGCTCATAACCGTCTCTTCGTTGGACCCCAGGTGGAACCGTTCTTCATCAGCCTCGCTCTCTTTGACGTGTCCAAGAGCTGTAAGATCTCGGCCGACTTCCACGTTGACCTCAACCCGCCCTGCGTCAGAGAGATGCTGACCGACGCCGCGGGCCAGCTCTCCCCTTCGTCTGACTCTGAGGGCGGAGTCGGGGAGGGGGGAGGCGGAGTCACGGTGAATGGAGACGCCGGTAAAGGGAATGGCCTGCCGGTTCTGCAGAGGGTGTCGGAGGCTCTGATGCGCTTCCCTACACAGGTAGAAACATGAGTTGTGTGATGGAGAGGATGACTCACCAATGGCAAGCGGAGAGGCAGAAAGGGGGAGGGATCAGATCATGGTGTGCAAACAATAAAAAATTGGCCTAATCTCCTTTTTATAATCATGATATTGAGTTGGATAGTTTATGAGTAATTTATATTAAGCAAAAGACTTTCAAATAATATTGTAGGTTCGTACAGTTGCAAACTTAAATCCAGTGTAAACAGATGACCTTTTCAGTACCTCTTTACAAACTGAATTATCACCAGTAGAACATTATCTATTCACTCAAAGTCAAGTTGTGTCTGAAGGTCGTGCTCAGCCTTACCTTCTACATGACCTCACACGGCTCACGGCTCGCGTCCTGACTCCGTGATGACGGAGCTCTTCATTGAAACACATGCAAAGTGATTTTCCTGTTGACTTCTATCTCTCTTTTGCTGTGCTTTCATTTTTCAGACTGTTGTAGTTTCTCCAGATGTTAAGTGTGTCTACCGATGGTGCTTCGTTTGTGTCCAGCATGTAAAAATGTAAAAGGATCCACAAGGGCCTCAGTTCAGCTCATTAAACGACAGAATCCTTCAGGCGGAGAGCTTATTTGGCAAATGATGATGGCCACTGCCCCCCCCACCACAGTGATGATCTTTGCTCAGGCAAAATATATTGGATTGATGTCAAGAATAAGCTAATATTAAAAGAGATAGACAAAGATTAAATACATTTATTCATAGTAGGTAAAAGAGAGGTTTAAAAGTTAACTGAGAACATGTCTTCCTTATCTTCCGCCTGAGTCGTCATATATTTCTAAACCGTTGCTGTGTTGTTAACAGAAAGTGCAGCAGCTGCCCAAAATAAAAGTCTTCATTCAGGACGTCATGTTGCATACCGCCATCTGTGAGAGTACCACACCAGCGCGCACACATATAAATGTGGAAGCCTCCACGTCTGTGATCAGTGTGCTGTTCGGCCGGCCACACTTTGGGTGTGGTCCAAGAAGGGAAATGCATTGGATGGCAGGCTTCATGAGTGTAAATGTTGGAGGGTTTTAAAAAACGTGCGGCAGCAAATGTGCACGATTTGGAACCAGAATCAGCTGCATGGTTGTATTAAAACAATGCAGATGGCCTATTTGAGGGTGGAAAGACATGAGTCAGAGTCATGGCAGAGTGGAACCAGGAAGTGTGTCTGTCTGATTCCGCCCCCTCCCGTCTACAACTATACCGATTTAGACCTGCATAACCCTTGAGACGTTGCAACCGCTCCCTCTAACGCTGAAACTTTTACGATTTCCAAAAAGACCTCCTGCTGCTTCAGTCTAGATTGTCATTCCTGTTAATGCGACCAGCGTGGCCGAGTTTACTTGTCACCTTAAGGTTGTTTGTGCTCAAAACGACCCCATCTCACCAAACCCAAAATAGATGTGAGGGCCTTGTGGTTTTCTTGTAGAACCAGCAGCCACTTCCCCTGCGCTTGCAGAGAAGCAGTGAATGGATTTGCATTTTAAGATTGAAATGCTGAGCATGAATGATGAGTGCTCTAATCCAGACACCCCCCCCCCCCCCCTTTTCTCCTTCAGAGAATCTTTTCAGTGACAACCCCTATGCGATATTCTCCTGGTGGCCCGGTGAGAAAAGGTGTTACAGAAAGGGCATCACGCACTGTGCCGAGCCGTAACATCAAGACTTCGGACATCAACAGAGTCCACGGGCCCCCCCACCCCCCAACCCCACACACACACACACACACACACACGATGAAGGCAGCTGAGCTTTCCAGGATGACCACACACTCTTTTTCTTTGCTGGTCTGTTTTGGTTCATTGCCCTCTGTCTGTCCCCTGCAGACGGCTCAGAAGGTGCTCAAAGCTGCCAAGCAGACATGCCAACGCTTGGGCCAGTACCGGATGCCGTTTGCCTGGGCTGCCAAGTAAGACCGGAATGACCCGAGAGCCTCATACCGTGAAATGTGTCATTATGATGAGATATTTCTTTGTGTTTTTAAACATTTGTTCCCAGGCAGGTGTTCAAAGACGCCCAGGGCAGCTTGGACATGGACGGGAAGTTTTCTCCTCTCTACCGCCAGGACAGCAGCAAAGTGTCCAATGACGACATCGTCAAGCTGCTGGCCGACATCAGGAAGTTAGTCATTAGCACGCTGCTGTAGCTCAGAACATTCATCCCGTTGCATATCTATGACTTTTAAGACATCTTTTCAAACTGCGTGGCTCTGTATTCTATAATAATATTTTCCCTGTAAATGGATAATGTACAAAGGTCCTTTATTCCTGCATCTGCTTGTTTTAAAAAAAAATCTTTTCTTCTTTTCCTTGTCAGACCAGAGAAGAGCAAGCTTCAAAGCATCCCAGGACAGCTGAATGTCACCATTGAGTGTGTCCCACCTGACTTCTCCAGTAGGTTGTCACTTCTAAAGGCTCCCCATCTCCTAACGTTTGTATAGCCGAGTGCCCTCCTTTAAAACAAACGCAACCCTACAATGGGTCTACAATGTACAGTAGACCCTTAAAGGCAATAAAATGTATGTCCCTTCTCTCGTTTATACTTTGGGGCAAATACTAATACTAACCCTAACACTATATATCTGCTTTTCAGAACCAAAATATCAAATTTGTCAAAATTAATTTAGTTTCCTTTTTAAAAAAAGTTTAAGGAAGGGGATTTTTTGTCTTGTTGGTAATCACAGACGTACCCCAGACTATATGAAAAAAAACAACTATTCAATTAATATATCAATAAACCAACTGGCATCTAAAGTTGAGAGTTGTGAAAATTAATAAATGTGTCTTTTTATGATCAGGACTGAAGTTGGTTAAAAGATAAAATAATGTTAATATATACAATTATTATTTTTCTCAAGACTTATTTTTTTTTTTAAATAGGCCACATGGTTTGATCTAGAATAACATGCAAAATAAAACTGTACATTTGATTGACAGGGTCTCATCTGTAATCCATATCCATACGTGTAGCGGTTTAGTATTTGTGGTGCACTAAGCTCACGAACATGGCGGTGGGTTTAGTGTCGGCTCGGAATCGGGAACACAGTGGCGGAGGAGTGGCCCCCTCACGCGTGCCTTCTCTCCCGCAGATACAGTGACTTCCTCTTACGTTCCCGTCAAGCCCTTCGAGGACGGCTGTGAGCGGGTGTCGGTGGAGGTCGAGGAGTTTCTGCCCGACGAGGCCAAGTACAACTACCCCTTCACCACCTACAAGAACCAGCTCTACATCCGCCCGCTGCAGCTCAAATACGACAACCAGAAGACCTTCACCAAGGTGTGTGACTCATAAAGGAAGCTGGCTGTAAAATGTCATTGTATTTTGTGCATTGCTGATTATTTGCTCTGCTGTGTCACGTTTTCTCCACAACAGGCGAGAAACATCGCCGTCTGCATCCAGTTCAGAGATTCAGATGAAGAAAGTGCACCTTCTTTAAAGGTGAGTTGTATGAACTGTATCTATAGGATACAATATGTGGTAATATCGTTTTTCCAAGAAAAACGCAGAATATTTTTTCCCGTAGATTCTTTTCACAGAATTCCCGAGATCATAATAATTATAATAAATTCAGAAAAAAGGGAATACATTACTCTTCCCCAGGGACCCGTAAACTGTCTTAACAAAGAAACTGAAGCAGAGAATGAAGCAGAGACTCACTTCAGTAAATCCACTGCATCACACAATGAATTATATCACAACATACATTCGACTATCGGAAAGAGGGAGGAGGTGTTTTATATAGGTATGTATTTCTGCTCAGGACGACATGGTAGACAGATAAATAAATAGATAGATATCCGAGGGGGGGTGGAGACAAGCACTGAGTCTGTTTTCAGCAGATTGGCAGGGGCCTAAAAGCAAAGGTCATGAAAACTCGCAGAATGTTCCTTCGTGAGATTTGATCGATTGCGGCGGTCTCAGACACAATTTGTTGTATTGCTTTTCACAAAGTGGAAGTCAGAGTGCAGCTGAGAGGCCAGAAAAAAGGGGAGAGGAACCGCTTACAGAAGCTGATCATTATAGTGCGCAGGAGAAGATAATGAATGGTCACTTTTTTTCCTTCCTTCCTTGCCCCACATGTTAAATATCTGTGGGTGGAAATGGCCATCAAAGCGGCATGGATTGATTCTCTCTCCAGAAAAAATATTTTTAAATGCTGCCGCCAAAACAATTGCACTTGATGCTGGCGAGTTATGTCAGACGGGAAGATCAGCACCCGGTCATGCGTGTCATACCGGTACCGCACAATGAGCTTCAGCCAGCAGCACGCTCCTCAGGAGATTTTAATCCAAAGCTTTAACATCTGACTTGTGAGGAAATTCTTTTGGAGCATTTGGGGAGCAGGAACGTGGATGCTCAACAAGATGTGTTTGCGAATTCATCAAACATCTGCCTGTTGACTAGCCACGATCTCAGGTTAGATTCTACCTGAAGCTCTGTTGGTGCAGGCGCTTAGAAAAATGCCTGATATGATAAACGTATGAACAGTACAGCCTCTGTGACGGATAAGATCTGAGGCATCTGCCCCAGCCCGGCCTGGACCCTCATCACCCTTTGAGTAATCAGGACTCCCATCAGCCCTGTGTGCTTGCTGCTGCCGTGGGGCCCCTGAAGGTTTTCCATCCACCGCACGGCGCTGGCAGCACTATCGGGATGAGAGGTTCAGCCGTGTCCTCAGAGCCTCTCCCTTCCTCTCTGCTCCAATCAGTCTCCATTTGAATCGGTTGGCTCCAGAACTCTGTCCTTGTTCTGGCGAGCACTGCTTGTTATTGTTCATTAGAGACGACTACAACTGTTAGCATCGTAATTATGGCATCACAACCAGCCAACAGAACAGGTCTGTTTTTTTTTCTGTCACCCATCATTAGAATTATTGTGACCCACTCAAGCGCGTGTTAATATTTCTCAGAACTTTGGCTGCTGTGATAGAAAGTAGAGCTCTGGTTGTGCGTTGTCCCTCCTGGAGTTAGAGGCTGCATTTATAAATCCCACATTTCCATCCCTTAATTGCTCCAGTTTCCATTTGGAAAGAAAAATGAATACTTACGTGATCACATGTGCAGTCGAAGCGCAGTAATTGCTGTGTCGGTGGGTTTCTGCAGACCTGCTCCAGCAGTAGAGGCAGTGCTGCTTCATTACAAGACGGTGAACAGTGCTTTGCAAGGCCTGACCGCGTGCATTGTTTCTTTTGTGTCTAGTCGGAGGCCATGCTTCTGATCATTTCAGGCTCGCCTCTCTGGTTTCTCAGCTCTTTGTTTAATCTGTTGCTGCTTCGTAGATCCATACAAATGAGGGAAATGCGCTCTCACCCTGTAGTCACAGATGACCGACCACCCGCTCACCGGTCACTGTGTGGCACCCGACATCAAAGCGCCACAATTTGATGACCGATGTTTGTTTCCTTGCCTTCAAGTGCATCTACGGCAAGCCGGGAGACTCACTCTTCACCAGCAGCGCCTACGCAGCCGTCCTGCACCACAACCAGAGCCCGGAGTTCTACGACGAGGTGAGAGGGTTTCCTCATCTTCAAATGCAATATTATGTTGGTTACATTGAGCATTCAACTTTTCACAGTAACCAAAGCTCTCATTCATGAGGTTATCAACACTGAATTAGACATAAAGAGGAAGACAGGAGTACAACAAGGAATCATTTAATTTTCAGTTCAGTGCTCAAATCAGGCAGCGCTAAAATAATCCAATAAATCAGTCTGTGTTATGTCGTTATGTCACTCTCATCTGGTCAAATAGTCACTGACTCCTCCGCACACACATGAAGCCACAGAGGTCAGGATGCTGTTAAGGAAGTGAATTAGAGAGAATCCATATGGTCCCGATATCAAACGGATCAGGATCTTCAGAGTCCTGCATTCCCACACGCAGGCACGCTCACCGGGATTTACCTCCAGTCACATCGCAGAGAATCTATTTTATCTTTATCTTCAGCTATGCTGACAAGCGCTCTTTAAGATGAGTTTTTTGTTATTTGTATAATTATAGACAGGAACAGATATCCTTAAAGGCTGTCACTATCTAAATGATTCATACTCTAGTCATAATAATCATTCAAGAGCTTCCTGACAGTTGGTTACTGGAGCCGTATTTGTGGGAAAAATGTGTGTAAATCAGCAGCAGCAGAACACTGGAATACAGAATACATTTCCTTGAAAGTGCTGCCCTCTGGTGAAGGAGTTCTTCACGAATACTGTGCCAGTGAGACGGTACAAATAAATAAGTAATGGAACCAGGCATATAGGATAATTTAAAAAACAAGATTAAAGTTGTAAATATATGAGAAAAACATAAAATATTCATTAAGATTTGACGAGAAAGAAACTCTTTTATTCTTCGAAGTAAGTCAAGTTCACAGCAGTCTTCAAAGTCCCGATGCTTCGATAGTTGGGTGAGCTCGAATCACAGAAGTGTTTCTTTATGACAAGGTATAGTTTGATAGTGAAGTGGTGGTCTGATGAGATCATGCAAATTCAAGAGATTAAATCCTTGACAGTGAAACACAGTTTACATGATTTGTTCTCACGCTTGAGACTTACATTTTGCGAATCCTACTTATTGGTATCATCCAACAACGCCCCTCATACACCATTGTGAATGCGTCCTCTGGGTGTAGGTTCACTGTAAAAAAACAAAATACGTGTATGAGTGTTCGTGGGGATAGTTTTCCACAGAACCAAGGGACTGTATATTATATAACACTTGTGACAATCATTTTTGTAGAAAATACCCTGAACCATGACTTTAAATCTATTGTTGGTATCAGTTTGTTCCAACTTTTAAAAAAGCAAACCGTTCCCCGGTGTCCAGGTGAAGATTGAGCTGCCGGTCCACGTCCACGAGAAGCACCACATCCTCTTCACCTTTTACCACATCAGCTGTGAGTCCAGCAGCAAGGCCAGCAGCAAGAGGCGCGAGGGAGTGGAGTCACTGGGTAAGTGTCTCTCTTACTTAGATCAGAATTTCCTGGGCCGTGTTATGTTATGTACCCTGATGAACGACATCAACACCGGCGCTCTCCTGTGTTCCAGTGGGTCACTCTTGGATGCCTCTGCTGAAAGATGGCAGGATGCAGTCAGCCGAGGTCCAGCTCCCTGTAGCTGCTGCCTTGCCTCCTGGATACCTGTGTCACGACACCCGGAAGGTACAGTCGCTTAAACCAAGTACTGCGACTCCACTATTCCTCCAAAATCAATCAATCAGCACATTTGTCTGTGCTTCAACAGTCGCAGCCAGATATCAAGTGGGTGGAAAACGCCAAAACGCTGTTCAAAGTGAGGAGCCACGTGGCATCAACAATATATGCTCAGGTACAACACTTTATCCTTCAACCCTTCTTTGATACCCACATATATGTACCCCCTGCAGTGCTGTAGTTCACAGTATCCATAGTCGTTTATTGGTAAAATGATTGTTCTCAGTAGTACATCACTTTGCTCCTCTGCTGCTCCTCCCGTCTGTTTCCTCCAAACTCAAACTACTGTATGCCGCACAGACTATGGTGTAAAGGCAGTGTGTGCGGATGATAGTAACATTGTGCTGTTTCACCCACAGGACCTGCATCTTCACAAATTCTTCCAGCACTGCCAGCTGATGAGGACGACCACGGAGGGAAGCCCAGCAGAACTTATCAAGTACCTGAAGGTGATTGAGCTCAGTCATGGAATTAACGAAAAAGAAGAATTTATAATGTAATTCTACTTTACACAAAGTTAAACAAGATATATAGATAGATAAAAGAAGATGATAAATATCTAATGTTTAGTTTTTATTCACCTGTTACTCCTACGTATCTGCCATCGTATTTGGGTAATTGTGTGAATATCTGTACTCAGTCACAGACTTTATTTCACAGTCTGGGTTGAATTACATTACATTACATTACATGTCATTTAGCGGTCGCTTTTATCCAAAGCGACGTACAATAAGTGCATTCAACCATAGGGCACAAACTCAGGAGAACAAGAAACAAGAAAGTGCAATTTCCTCAAATAAGCCAATTTACAATTTGCTATAGATGAGTGACGTTACAAGTACAATCTAAGTGCTACAATTTGTTAGTCGAGTCGAGGTAGAGTCTGAATAACTTAATAATATTTCCTCTAGGGCCTTGGATGCTGAACAGATGTCTAATATTGGGGAAATCTGAAAATGCCCCCCCAACTTTTGGGTGGTGGTCAGAATTCTTGAGAATTCGACGTTTGAATCATACAGTTTTTTTTCTCACATGAAAAGCTTTTACTATGTCTATTCTTTCTTGAGGTTTGCCTAAAAGTCAAGTCTGTTCTACAGCTTGAGGTGACCAGAGTTTTACCCTTTTTTAGGAAAACCTTCTTAAAGACCCAAACTCTCGTAATCCGTAGCCTCTGCAAGCCTTGTAAAATCGTTGCACATTAAAATCCAAGTTGAAGTTATTACTCCTGGATTTCTCTTTCTCCCTTCCCACAGTGCCTGCATGCCATGGAGACTCATGTAATCATCAACTTCCTTCCTACGGTGCTGATGCAGCTGTTTGGGGTGCTCACAGCAGCGACCAAAGAAACCCATGAGATTGCTGTCAACTCGCTGCGGTCAGTTTTACCACTTCGGTGAAACGTGAATGCAGTTTGTACCAACAGATGCTGAAGACAGACGCTCACTCTGTAACTGTGCCCTGCTTCTGTGCCTTCAGTGTGATCATACATATAGTCTCCAGATGTCACGAGGAGGGCCTGGAACACTACCTGCGCTCTTTTGTGAAGGTAACCCACCAACACAAACGCTGCCACAGGGGTAATATATCAATTCTGGAGGTTTCAGGTTTTTATTTATTATGTGTCGTTTGTTCCCCTCCTAGTATGTGTTTGTGACCAACAACCCTTCATCGGGAAGCTCTGCAACCACCCACGAGATGCTGGCCACCGCTGTAACAGCCACCCTCAAGCAAACGGCAGATTTCAACACAAGCAACAAGCTGCTGAAGGTGTGTGCGCTCTATACTTGCTGCGCGGGTCAGCTGTAGTACCGTTATTGAAAAGCAGGAGGCACAGCTTCACCGTGTCGCTCTAAACAGAAACTTCAGTCTTTGTGACCAGAGACGAAACCCAGAAGCATGTAGCTGCTTCTGTCTTGTTCCGTGATGGCATATATTTGGTATTTCTTTAGTCATATACCCCGGCTACACCATTGTGGAGCTTATCAGCATGTTTGGAAATACCCATACTACTATAACCCCATTCATTTTATCCCTTTCTGTAGTACTCCTGGTTCTTCTTTGAAACCATGGTCAAATCCATGGCCCAGTACCTGCAAGAAGGCAACCGCATCAAGGTTGGTAATGAGTGATTTCTTCTTCCTTCAGTCATTTAAGGTGAGCAGCATGAGACACTACCCCAAAGTGCAAATGTTCATGTTTAGCACAACCTCTAAAGCGAACACATATCAAGTTATGTTATGGATCATGTCAACACCGTTCAACAAGTGCGAGGCCTGAAGCGGTTAGAACAGGTAGAACTGGAAAGAAATGTGTTCCTCCTAATTATCCACGCCCTGCAAACCTGTGGGAGTGTGTGACGTCCCTGCCTGTTTGTCACGTTGACCTTTTGATTCCGTCAAAGCAAGCGTTCTGCCTTTACATGTTTTCCCCCGAATGTGTCATCAGATGCCCCGGGCCCAGCGCTTTCCCGACAGTTTCCACCAGGTGATCCAGTCGCTGGTGTTGTCCATCATGCCACACATCACCATCCGCCACATGGAAATCCTGGAGGAAGCTCGATGCATCAACCTGAGCCTGGCCAATTTCATCAAGGTCTGACCCAACCTGCTCTAACCCACTGAAGGCTGTTTGCTGGGAACAGTCATTCATGGCGTCTTGGCCTCCTTACATGACTGAGACTGACACTACTACAGTTTTTATTTCGAACTCTCCTCCAGAACAGAAATGTGTTTGTCGTGTCTGTTCCCTCAGCGGTAGATAATGCGCTAACCACGTTTTCTCTCCCTCAGAGGTGCCTGACCGTCATGAACCGGGGCTTTGCCTTCGGCCTGGTCAACCACTACATGTGTCACTTTGGTCTCAGAGATCCCAAGGTACATGCTCAGTGTACATGTACATCAGGGCATGCTGCAAGAACGGGCGCTGGTTTGCCTATTTCTAACCTGCATTTAGGAGACGTTCTGAGATGGTTTATTTGGGGTTTTAGAAGATAAATTATTATCAAGCACTTTTTGAATTTCTAATGGGATTTATTGTTATAAACTCTGAGCAAGTGAAAAAACAGAATTAAACTAAACTAAAGTATTTCTTATTTTGCTGATAAGATACTTATGCGTATCAGATTGCGTGCATATAACTGACTAACATGTGCCGTGTCTCATTTGACTAACAAATTCAACCAAAGTAGTTCCTAGCGGACTCTGTTTGAAAAGCGATATCTGCGGCGCCGAGTATTCTATTCGAACAATGAGGAGAATTATATTGCCGCTCTGGGGCAGTTAACATACATTTGCATTAACCGTGTGTGGGGTCACTCAAATATTTGTGTCTTCTTTTGGCACGCAGGTGCTGACTGAAATGAAGTTTGATTTCTTGATGGCCGTGTGTAACCACGAACACTTCATCCCTCTGAACCTGCCCATGGCTTTTGGGCGCACCAAGATGCAGCGCGTACAAGGTGAGAAAGTCCCGACGTCACGTCCTTCCCATCTGAACGCATTATGCTTCATATCACACGTGTAACCACTGACCGTCTCTCACATGAACCCCACAACCCGCCCAACAGCCTGCTTCTGACCCACATCCAACCACACGCGTCCCCTCTGTTAACCCGCCTGACTTATTGGTTCACGCATACACGTGTCTCTTATTGGTGGCACGTCCCACCGACTCGAATTGATACGAATACACAAGCAAAAGTGACACGCAAACAACTACGCTGTGGAAATGCTGTATGGAACGTTTACTGTTTCAGCTCCCGATTTATTTATTTTCAACAACCCCCCCCCCCCCCACCTCCCCCCTTCCTTTTTTTGTGTTTTGCTTTTGGTCAGATTTTATACCGTATGCGACGGAGCTTTTTGGCCCTGTAGGTAGGTGAAGCTCATCGCACCATCCTGCACATCATCGCCACAGAAGTTGGCCGCCGTATGCAAACGACTTGCACCTTCTTGCTCTGAACTGCACTAACATCGCCATCCTGCCAGCCTCACGCCCTTTTCTCCTCGTAGGGCTCCCAGCCAATCCCACTCAGCTCAAGGCTAGTGATTTGAATGCTAATGCCCTTCCATGACTCAGCCTGTGTGTTGCCATGGGGAACAACGCCGCTGTTGTGGAAAACCACTAGCTTTCTTTTTGTGTTGTGATTCCAAATATCTTCTCACAATACTGCAGTTCTCTCTCTCTCCCTCTGTTCTTTTCTGTTCCCTCTCTTTCTCCCTCTGCGAAGAGGAGGCAGAGAGAGAGAAAGCGCTCTCTCTCTGCCTCCCCTTCGCTCTCGGACTGTCTGTCGATCTCCGTCATTACAGAAGATAATTGCTGCAGATGGGCACTCAGTTTCCTGCCTGCTTTGATATTAACACAGCATTATTATGAAACCGTTGTTTGTGTGGGGAGACAGCCCACTTCTCTTTTTCAGTGGCACGAAAATATACAACTACCAAAGTTATGCATTGAGAAATAAATTATCTTAAAGGATAAGTTCATCCCAATATCAAAAGCACTGATGTGTCCTCCCATCATGTAAGAATCTGGAAAGTTTTAGTGTTTTGGAGTAATCCACAAAACGGATAGCTAAATGACACTCTGCAAACAATCTAGATAAATTGATAGCAGAAAATATATATTTTGGGATGAACTGTCTCTTTTATTTCTCCTCTTTCTGTGCTGTGTGTAAATGTTGACGTCTGAATGAATGAAGTTTTGGATATATTTTTTGTATACATTTTGTCGCAAATTGTTGTTTTACTTTTCCACAGTATTATTAATTCAGGACATTAGGACTTAACTGAACAATACTTATTATATTGCATGTACTGTATGTATTTTTATTCTATATCAAGGAGATGCAGTTGGGCAAATGACCAGTTACTGTGAAACCTCTACAAAAAATATATTTCACATGACTGGTTATATTTTAGTACAAGGAAATTGACCTCAACAGACCATGCCCCATTAAGCCATATTTTATCAGCATCAGCTCAGCCGCTACCTCTCTACCAACGCTTCCCCTCTGTCCCAACCACAGATCAGTGTCTGGAGTTTAGCCTGACGGAGGAGTACTGCCGTAACCACTTCCTAGTGGGTCTGCTGCTGAGGGAAGTGGCTGAGGCCTTGCAGCAAGGGCCCGAGGTCCGACAGCTGGCCGTCAGCGTTCTCAAGAACCTTCTTATCAAGCACGCCATGGATGACCGCTATACATCCTTCAAGGTGAGGGAGGTCAAGGCATTTCAAGATGTTACTTTCAGGAAGTAACCAGCGCCTTTTTATAAGCTGATGTACTGTACTAGTACAAAACATATATTCATAATTTCCTAAAAAACTATGTGGAAAACTGCAATGTATAAACCATAACAATGCAAAAATGCTTAATTAAAGAAGCAAATAGAATGCGTTTACCCCAAATCCGGCCACATGGGAGAGTTGGTGAAACTCCACATGTTAAACATGTAAACATCGACATGTTAAACATCCAGTCAATCCTTGTTTGGTGTTGAAAGAAAACCGCCTTTTCCATTTTCTTTAATGCATTCTGTCGGCTGAAGGCCTTGTGCAGCAGCACACTGTCTATAATCCTGCTGTCTTCTTCTTCTTCTTATTAATCGGATTATTCTCCTTCCAGCATGTATTAGAATATCACATAATGATCGGGAAAATTATGTTTGTCAAAAAATGAATTGTCCCACCAAAACAAATGGAGTTCCGTCTGTAGGAGAACAAAAAAAACTATAAGTAATAATAACAAAATGATTTGTCAGCATTTCCACAATTTGTCACCCTTCATCATTTTTGGATAAATAAATCTGACATTTTGGGCTGGCTGTAGACATGTGGGAAGTATTTCTCTAATATATCTTGTTTGGCAGAGTCTCGAGTCTCCCACGATATTCATACTTCTTTAAATTGGACCAGTTTCATGTCTAGGGCAATTGTTTGATCATTAAGGATCCAGGTTTCTTAATAAGCGTGCGAATGCGTTTAGAATGTCCCATTGTCCAATCGTTGAGTAGTTAAGGGTTAAGTCAGCATTAGATGCCCAGAATTAGCCCATAGGAATTACATTCAAAGAAACAAATGAAATCAGACGATATTCATTCATTTTTCTCATAAAATATCTAACATTTTGTCATTAAAGCAATTTTAACAAAAAACACTAAAACATTATTTAAAATGACCCCTCAAGCAAAGGGCCTGGAAGATGTCCAAATCAGAGAGTAAAAAGTAGGAAATACACACGTGGCCTCCTGCCAGAAGCACTCAGGAGAACCGATTCCTCAAGTGGTAGTTGTGGTTTATGGTAAAATTCTGCATTCACATATTGTCTCTTTTTTCTTTTCATTTTCTCCCAGCAATGAACTCAAGGTTTGAGTTGTCATGCAGAGTTTACAATTAATATGCTGTTATTCAAATTAGGTTTTTTCTTTCTTATATTGATGGAATGAGTGGGAGAAAATCCTGCATAATGTAACTGTATTCTAAGTCGGGGCTAAATGACCTCCTAAGGATGCCTTCCAGATGGATGCTTCTTCACATGCAGGTTTATCCAATCAGGTCCAGGGTAACTTTCCCTGTTACAATGCCTGACCCTTATAATCAGTTATTTTATGAGAGAGACGTTAGTGTTAGGGTCACGCTCTGTACATATTATAGACTGCAGTTTAACTGTGTGCTCATGTCTTGAACAAGATATCAATGTCTGTTATGCAAACAAGGCAGTGTTAAGAGTTCAGCGACTACTAGGAGCAGTCGGCTATTGAGTAGTTTGTTAAGCGACTGTGTTTGAGCCTATAGTCCTTTTCATCACAGTCCACCTCTGCAACTTCACTCATGAGTATCACTACACATATCTGACAGTTTCATCGCTGCATTTTTTAATCAAAATAAATGTATCTAGTCCCATTTAATGTTCTCAGAATCAACAGGCCAGAATCTGTTTGCTCTACCTGCCACTCCTTGAGCTGCTCTACCAGAACTTGAAGCCGCTGTCTGCCCAGCCACACACCTCCAGCCACGGGCTCGGCCTCAATGTGAGTCACCTTTGACCCTGGATTTCCTACAGGAAGGTTGCAGAGTGCTTTTTTTACTGCTTTCTAATGCAAACCTTGAATGGTCACATCCGTCTCAAGTCTTATGGAGACCTGGGAAGACGACTGTTACAGTAGCCAAGTTTCTTAAAGATAAATGCCCGGACAAGTTTTTACAAGTCCTGTTTAGACACATTCTTAATGTTCTTGACGTGGTTGTAATCTGGGTTGGAAAATTGTGTTAATGTCACTTCTTCACTGACTTGGGGATAAACACCTTATCCAATTCTTATTTTGAAAAAAGTCAGAACGATCTCTTTAACAATGGACCATAATTGACTTGTTCCAACTTGTGGATATCCAGGGCTCCAGAGATGACCTGATATCATCGGGGTCCACGGATAGCAGGAGAACCAGCGCTGCGATTGACAGAGACTACGGTGAGTTCATGCGGCACCGTTCACTAGTGACCTGAGACAATGTCAAGAAAATAATGAGACCGTTCAGTGTCAAAGATTTAGAAGAATTTCTTAGTTTTACATTTTACAGGATGTCCCAAGAGAGACAGATTGAGTATGGAGAAGATACCTTTTCCTTTAGTTTGTCATATGAGTCTTTCACACACTAGAGTATTTCCCCTGGTGACAGAACCAGGGTTTGTTCTGGGCCTCTGGATAGATGGTTTATCAAGATGCCTCAATCTTCCAGATATGTTAAAACAAGACCCAGTATGCAGTCACCAAATTCCTTACTGAGCTTGAGAGAGTCTAATGTCACTGACATGCCGCTCGTTAGAATAGAGTCAGTGTGTTTTTGTTAATGTGCTGCTTTCGTTTGGCTCCAGGCGTGCCGGCACAGAACGGCCACGTTGTGAGGAGAGAGGACTCCCGCTGCTCTCTCTTCGTGGACATGGGAACGTCGGACAGCACCGAGGTGAGAACCTTTCAACCCAGCAGAACCGCAGCTGAACACGACGCCACGCATTTTTCTCTTTGCCGAGTATATATCTGTTTATTTTCATCTAGAGACATTAGATGTGTTCTCTGGATTCCTTTTTTATATTTTTATTTGTGAGATTCTTTTATTAAAACATTAGCTACGGCTCACGCCCACCTACCCAGTGTGCATCAACCCAGATGTTGAAGGGTAGACAGAGTTGGAAAGCTTATTCATCAACTGTGTAAACACACTCTTTTCAGCATGCTTACTTACTTTGTGACACTTCTTGGCCCCAACTTCCTTCCCTAAACCTTCTAAACCTTACCCATCATGTAACCTCATCTATAAGAATATTAACATGGACTTTTTCCTGTCGCTGGAATGTTTTGTCCTACTGTCAGCCAATCCTCTGTGCAGACACATCTCAAAAGAAAAGGTAGAAAAGGTTACCAGATACAAGACTTACTTTGCTTGACCGAGTCAGCAATGTTGTTTTCCACCACATGGATCTGAATACCTCGTCATCAAGTGTGTTTGTGTTGGTCCAGCTGAACAGACGTGGCTCCACCATGAGCAGCAGCCCCATGCCTCCCATCGGCAGACTGGGGGAGTACGAGATCAAGGGGCTCCTGCTGTCCTTCCTGCACATCGTCAAGACCTTGTCAGAAGGTGAGTGATGATTTTTAACTACGTGCCCGGTCACTCACCACGACACAACGTTCGGCTTCTGCGGACCCAGAAGCTCGGCTCGGCTGTCACACAAACAAGGAGGTTGTGGACTGACTAATATTCAGCCAGGCATCTCACATCAAGGATGTGTATTTTGGCTGTACCGGTCTGTCTAAAATCCACATGAACCATTTATTCAAGTCTGATTGCATATTGATTAATGTTGTCTTAAAAAGAAAAAACATGCATTAAGTTTGACTTTGTTTTTGACTGCAGACACCCTCATGGCCTACTGGAACAAAGTCGGCCCTCAAGACATCATGAACTTCCTTAGTTTGCTAGAGTGAGTAATGGTGAAAGGGAAATAATTATTCTAACATAATGGTCTGTTTGCAGTGAAAACCTGTTTTCTCATGACTTCTGTTGTTTAAACAGCCTTTTGATACTGTTGTCGGTGACCAACAGGAGCGACCCATCTGGAGCCGAGTCATTTAGGAATGATGTCAGAGCTAGCCATTTATCTGTCTTCTCTTAAAAAACATTAGTGCAGAAATGTATCCTTCACTCTATTTTCTTAGGCGCAGAAACCACCATTGTCCATGTGTGTTTACAGATAATCAGATATATGCTGTAGTGCTACCTTATGTTAAGGACAGAAAATGAAAAGTAAAGTGAGCAAAACGTTCCATATCTCTTGCTGATGCCTTGTATTACTTTCGCTTTCTCTGCAGGACCTGTTTGGTTCAGCTCCGCTACATTGGAAAAAGAAACATTGGGCGGTAAGGCTTGAAAAAATATATAAATATATATTGTATGAATGTGAAACCTAGCTACAGCAGTATGATTCAGTATGATCAGTTATTTCTTTTCTTTTTTTCTTTTTCAACTAAATGTCTCTTGCATTTTATTTAAACAGGAGCCAGGAGATGTGTGTGTCGAAGCTGTTCTCCTCAGACCGAAAGTCTCAGACGATGCCGGTGATGCGCTGCAACCGAGCCAGCCTGATGCAGACAAAATTACACCAGTTCGGCACCATGGAAGCCTCCCTCACGCTCAATATAGGTAACCTCACAGAGATTCGTGCAAAGCTTTAGGCTACACTTCTTCTTACTCTTCTCAATAATTAGCATATCAGAAGGATATGTCTTGTTCTGTTATTGTATTGTTCTAGAAAGACAAGCAAAGATACAATTTAGGACAATAAATAGGATGACGTGTCTGGAGAAGCACTAAAGGAATGTTTTGAAGTGGGGTTGTATGAGGTGCTTATCCACAGTTGATGGGAGTTTAGTGAAACAGAACAAGTACGTTCAGAGGAGCAAAGTAAGGTTCTGCCGTGGACCCAGTCAGCAGCAAGTTATACGTCTTCTACAATATCATCAGCAGACCAGCAACCCCGGTGTTGTGAGTAAAGATGACAATGGTCTTGCACCTTAGTGGTGGTTGCTTGTGGGAAAATGTTCTTTGTCTGCAAGGTAAAGATTCTATTCTGAATATAGGGAACATGCAAACTGACATATTGTTTCTAGGTTTTACTGCTGCGCCCACAGCAGTAGAGCGCATAACATTACTCAAGAGTTAGTACGCTAGTGTGTTTCTCCAAACTTCGTGTAGGTAAAACACTGACTATGAATAAGTACCTCATAGAAGCCCACCCAAAAAATACCTGAACCATCTCATAAATATCTACAATGGAACTTTGTTCTGGACATCAACACATTTGCACAACCATGTAACTGCTATATAACATCCTGGTTCTAGTATCTCTTTGATTCTTTCATTGCACAGTTCTTGCCATGCAATGTTATCAGAAAGTATTGTAAAAACCCAAATCACTAAAACAAGAACTAACAAGATGTTACGTTTTGAATCAACCTTATCTGTACCTCCTTGTAGTGTTACAGTCCAGACACGGCCAGCTTAACGAATCAAGAATAATAGTGTAGGCCGGAGCCCAAATCCTGTCTTGAAACCTGCAGCCTTGTTTAGACTTGAAACAAAGTTTGCACCTGTCATTCGGATCAGGAGAGCCTTCGTGACGAGACTGCCAAAACAAGTTTATCTCTCAGCCAGACTTGTGCTCAGCTGAGTTCTCGTGAAAATCAAGCACCAATGTTGTAAGAGACGCACAGTGAGCAGTTGTTATACCCTGAACTAACAACCTTACACCAAGGTACAATACCGTGTCCGTACCTGAATGGGCAATCTCTGACCAGTTATTTTCAATTCATCCTGAGCCTATTAAATATCACCCACCACATTGTGTCAAGCTTAATGGCCTCTGCGAGCTAAATATAGTGGATTAATGCAACAGTGCGTAAAATCCGAACTGAAACTTGATGGGAGATTTGTGGTCTATTGCAGAGGTGAAATTCCATGCTGACCAATTCTGATACCAAACCACACATGTCTCAATTAGATGTCAGTATTACGTTGCGTTGTTTTTTCACCTTGTTGGACTGACAAACCGTTTATGACCCTGACAAGCTGCATGCTAATATTGGCAGAAATATGCAAGATGTGTTCATTTGTGTAAATGTTTGTCAACTTTAGGAGCATATTAAAACACTTGTACTATTATCTGTGTTATCAAACATATTCATATCAGCAAATTAAAGACAACGCTGCTAACTAAAGACAAGCGGTAATCTGCTGCTTGTGTGTGCAAGTGAGCCCTTTCCGTAAACTGTCTTATTGTAATAGTGTGTGTGTGTGTGTGTGTGTGTGTGTGTGTGTGTGTGTGTGTGTGTGTGTGTGTGTGTGTGTGTGTGTGTGTGTGTGTGTGTGTGTGTGTGTGTGTGTGTGTGTGTGTGTGTGTGTGTGTTCTTTGGTCGGGGGCTTTAGAAGCAGAGATCCCCCAATTAGGCTCTGCTTGAGGGAACATCTCCCCGGAGGTCTCTCTGAGCGTCCGGAAGGCCTCTCTCTTTTCATCTTCTTTTTCAAGGGCTGTGGGCGCGCATACACCTTTATAAGGATCAAGCATAATTACTGATATTCTCCTGCACCATACGGCGCACCGAATATAAGCGCGCACCTTCAATGAATCACTATTTTAGAACATCTTTCACATTAGGCGCGCCGGATTAAACGGGACCAAGAACTTGCGTCAAACCCTTTACGGCTGGCCGTGAAATGGGGGGGGTGTGGGGAGTGAGACGGTGCTTTCAGGGTCCGATCGATGCTGCGAGGTGCGTCCGCTCCCGCCGCCCCCCTCGCCATCCACGCCTTAAATCTTCGGCTGCTCTCCAGCCACGTCGCCTGCTAAGAGCCCCTTTTAGAATAACTTATTTTCATTACCCGTTAAGATGCTTCAGCCACTGTAAAGAAAAGAGCGCCCGTCTCTCGCTCTTTAATCTCATTAAGTGCTCGGCAAGAACGACAGCTTTATTTCTCCGACGCGCCCTGAAACAAGCTCCAAATCTCATGCGCTTGAGCGCCGCTCAGTATCTCGCCGTCGTAGACCGAGCTTTGGCATGTTTAGCAGAGCGCCGTGTGCAACCAGTATGGATCAACCAATTAGCCAATTAGGCGCTCCGGATTATAAGGCGCACTGTCGTTTTTTGAGAAAAAACTAAAGGCTTTTAAGTGCGCCTTGGAGTGCGGAAAATGGGGTATTGAAAAAGAAAAAGTGAGCATAACCCCTACGTCACTTAACTTCACGCTTAGCAGCTGACCTAAAAATCAACTTTTTGTTATCATTTGCTCGCTAGGGCGTTCCCAACGAACGCGTCTTGAGTCTCCAAACATGTAGCACAAACCTGCTACAGTGCACTAGTGCACATCTCCACACTTGTTTGACGATGTAGTCTAATTTCAGCTTTTTATACATCAGTCTCCTTTGTGTGTGTGTGTGTGTGTGTGTGGATACTTTTACACACAGATATAAGGGACACAGAACTTTATTTAGTTAAGGTTGACGTTTGGCATGTGGTTTCTCGAGAAAATAATGTAATTCAATGATGTGTGTGTGTGTGTGTCAGACCCAGTTGCTGGACTGCGATGGTCACAACCCCCTAATGAAGAAGGTGTTTGACGTTTACCTGACCTTCCTTAAAGTGGGCCAATCAGAAGCTGCCCTCAGACACGTCTTTGCTGCTCTCCGGGCTTTCATCAACAAGGTAGGTGGGCACGCGGCGATACTAAAACCAGAGTGACTGAGACGGGCTCTGCTTAAGAAAATATGCTTTTTGTCCATAAGAAAGAACAGTTTCTGCCACCAGTGAGCAATCAGAGGTGATAAATGCCGCCATTGGTCTCTGCCAGTACTGTCACTGCGGCAGTGTTTTTCTCTCATTGCACTATTAATAACATCAAAACATAAACTGTACTGCCGTTGACTAAGTGAGCGGATGCATGTAATAATCTTCAGTTTCCTGTGTTTATCGTTGTTGCTGCTGTCGTCTTCCAACGCTCACGTAATGTTTGATAACTCTCAAGCAATGTATTTTTAGAATTGCTTTTATACGTAACTCATTCAGATTCTGTGTAACAGGATCTCTTGAGTCCTGAGGGAACACGTCCTGTGGCTCCCAAGGGAAGCGAGCACCCACTTTCCCACTGGTGTCTGAAAGCAGTATCACTGTTCTGTGAATGCATGACGAGCTGCAGAAGTTGCTATGTTCTGACATGTTTTGATATTGTTTATAGTAAGATATGGAGATGAGATGGCGACGTTGCAATATGCATATTTAGTAAGACATAATAATTTGTTCACTAAAGGACTGATTCAAACAACAATTAATTGATCCTACAAGTAGAGTGTGTTTAGTAAAGGGCCAACTGTCTTTCACCTTTTGGCCGAAGAGCTAGAAGGTTTAATTTGAATGAATCCACACTGAAAATAGTTGCTGCCCTCCTTTCATACTAACAGTAATCTTCCTATCCCATCTCTGCCCTTTAACACACTAACTCGTTGTCCCGTCAGTTCCCGTCGGTGCTGTTTAAGGGCCGCGTGACGCTGTGCGAGGCCCTGTGCTGCGAGGTGCTCAAGTGCTGCGTCTCCAAGCTGGGATCTCTGAGGGCCGAGGTGTCGGCCCTGCTCTACCTTCTGATGAGAAACAACTACGAGTACACCAAGAGGAAGACCTTCCTACGCACGCACCTGCAGGTAGAGGAAGACCACACGTGTCGTCCTCCAAACTGGACGGATCAGCTTCTGGTGCATGCAGGTTTACTTCTCGGGGAACAATATCCATATCGGCAGCAGTCAACACTGTTGGTGGTCTGTAGTTCAGATGCTTTCCAAAGAGCGGTGGAGAATGTCAGGAGTGTAAACAGACTGCGTGCTTATTTTCTGGCTCCACTGCTAACATTAGCAGAAGGCCATCCAGCGTTCCATTCGCTCTCACTCTTCCCTGCTAATACATATACCAAGTTGATCTGTGTTTACCCTCTTTTCATTTCCCCCCCCGTCTGTAACTATCTCCCCACTCTTTTTTTTCATCTAGATCATCATTGCTGTGAGCCAGCTGATCTCTGACGTGGCGCTGACCGGCAGCTCTCGCTTCCAGGAGTCTCTCTCCATCATCAACAACTTTGCAAATAGTGACAAGGCCATGAAGGTACAGAAAAAAGGGAACGATTTTATAGTTTTGAAAAATCTTTAAAATTGAATCAAGAAAATGGTGGCTGAAATATTACTATCAAGTCAAGAGAGAATTCGTCCTAAAACCTGCAGCAGGCCCATCTGCAATCCAACTCTCTTTGTGTTTGTTTATTCTATATTTAGAGCAGCCACTCCGGTCCCATCTGCTCCTAATGTGAGATAGATTTTGCAGCTCTAAATACAAATGAAGTTTCTTTCAAAAAGAGGTTAAGTGTTCTAGCTGTGTCAAGGTTTTGGCTTATGTGGTATTTTGGCATAATGTATCAAATGTGTGCAAACAATGGGAACCTCAAGGTTCGCAAGATAAAGCGACACTCCTAACGGTGCCTATTATGAGACTCCATGTGAGTTTGTTGCCCCTGTGCATGCTGAGAACCCTCCCCAGAGATTGATGTTTTTTTTCCTTTCCTTCAAAACGAGTGTATGTGGTGATTGATGAAAACCCCGACAGTGCGTGCAGGTTATGCTGTTTACATGCACGACCATATCCTGTCTAACGGTGATGGGGCTTCGGTGTGTTTTAACTCTATTATATGCCATCAGTGTGCTTTGTGCTTGTAAGGTTCAGTAATAGACAGCTGACATTTGTACATTGGAGTGAAATAAGCGGAAGTTAAACGAGATGACGTTCGGTTTAGGTTGTTCAAGCTCTCAGTACGATGTCATATATTATATAGGATCACAAAAAAACCACCAAAAACACGAACATATCAGACATATACACATTATAGTGTGACAAAGGTTTATTATCCCATACGACCAGTTGTGAAGCAGAGATTGTGATCTGTCAAGTTCTTAAAAGTAAAGACAGTTGAGTAGAAGTTGTGATACCAGTTTGACTTTATCAAACCCCATCACTGTTGGACATGCAATGATCGTGCATGTAAACAGCATAACCTGCACGTACTGTCGGGGTTATGCGTCTGCACACGCTCCGCTAAAGCCGCTGGGCAGCCCCCCCCCCCCCCCTCACTACGCTGCAGCGGCTCCTACGTGCTCTACAAGCGCGTTCCTGGTTTCAAAACTCCGCCAATCACTCCTAATAGCTGGTCGAAGCATCCCAGCATCAGCTGTCTATTACTGAATCATACAGAAACAAACCACACTGATGGCATGAAGTTAAAGTTAAAACACTCGATGAAGCCCCATTATTAATGGACATGGCTGGGTTGAATTATTTGCAGTTGAATTTTTTGCAGTTGAATGTTTTAACGTTGAAAAACATTCAGATACATGATTTCAATGCATAAATATTCAGTGCTAGAAATTCAATCACCTTTTTCTTTCAAAATCCGATGACACAGATTTACTTCCATACATTCGGCTATTATCCAAATAGATTGAATCTATCCTCCCATTGCGTGATGCAGTCCACAGCCTTCCCCACTGAGGTAAAGGGGCTGACCAAGCGGATCCGCACGGTGCTGATGGCCACGGCCCAGATGAGGGAGCACGAGAGAGACCCGGAGATGCTGCTGGACCTCCAGTACAGCCTAGCCCGGTCCTACGCCAGCACCCCCGAACTGAGGCGGACCTGGCTGGACAGCATGGCCCGAGCGCACCTCAAGAACGGAGATCTCTCTGAGGTATCAGCAGGGCAACTTTGGATGTTTGTGTCGTGTCATATGACACTTTTCAAGCTTTATAATTCTATAGTTCACGCTTTGTCAAATGAAAGAATAGACCTAATCTTCCACTCTATTGCTACTTTACTTAAATTACGTTGTAATAACAATATGATGTTTAACTGCAGTGAACATTTAGATGGGTTCATGGTTGACACCAAGGTAAACCTGGGTCCAGTGGATTTACTGTTAACCTCAGTTGAGGTGTATTTATTTTACTGGTTTTATTACCCACAAGACTAAGAGGAGAGAACCAGAATCTATCATAAAACATTCCATTTGTTTGTTTTGTCCAGTTTTATTGTCTTCGTTTTTTTTAATCTTTTGCATGATATATTTTAGTTTTTCTATGGTTTTATTTCATATTTTGTTTTTAATTGTCATTCTTAATTTCTTTTAAAATGTCATACTCTTTTTTTTTTTTTTTTTTTTTGTCTCTTTTGAATTTAGAAAAACACTTTCACATTCAACATTTTCACTATCTAGCTGAATTCAAAATATAACAATGACTTTACAAATAAGAAGTAATTAACTTTCTACCTGGCAGCTGCCAGTTTGTACATACCGTTGTCACTGGTGATAAGCTCCCAGAATGAATACAAGGCGTGGCCGGTGAGATAGGAGTCACGAGTGAACACAATAGACCAGTCGCCATACTGATAAGTAATGCCATGCCTGAGTTGGTGACAGTCTCACATCGGTGTCTCTGACTCCCTTTTCAGTTTCATATCCACTCTTGATCTTCTTTGGGAATCTGCTCTAAATCTGCTGCTTTTTGTTGTTGTCTCCACAGGCGGCCATGTGCTACGTCCATGTGGCTGCACTGGTTGCAGAGTACCTGTACAGGAAAAGTAAGGACCTCCGCCCATCCATTGTGTGCACACACACACACACACACAGACACATACAGAGGCACAAACAATACTTTCAACTTCATTTGGGGGGTTAAACCATCAAGCAGAAAAATAGTTATCCGAAGAAGCATGTCCAGGAGCCACCTCAGTGGAATAACTGGGTTAAACAGCCAGTTCGCCCCCACGATTAATTGATTTTTGATTTTGGTGTGAACTGTCCCTTTAACCGATACCAGGACAGATGACTAACAAGAGTGCACATTCCTAACCTTCACCAGGAAGCGCTCTTTCCTTAAAGCGCTTTGCGGTTTTCCATGAAGATCATCACAATGACACATGTTAGTTTGTAGACTCGCTATTCAGCATGCAAACTGTCAACAGACTAATAGCATCATTATTCTATTCTAGTATCTAGTAAAAACCAAACCATTGCTTTCAATTCTTTAGGAATGTCAACAGGCAAAAACCTTTTATTGGGTGTGCGGCAGCTTGGCAGTCTCTCTAAAAAAGTATGTTTGACATCTGGCCCAGAGGCATTGTGTTACCAGTGTCTCTGCTTTTATCATGTGATTCAATAGGAGGTTGTCACAAACCACCAAGTTACATTATATATTCTATGAGTGGTGTCTCTTCAAACCAAAAATGGGTTACGGTCGCTGTTTGTTTTGTCGTGGATCACATTCGGATTTTCCACCAGTTTATCAAACTTGTCTTTTCTGTTCATCAGAGTTGTTTCCCAGTGGCCTTGCAGCTTTTAAGAAGATTACCTTGAATATTGAGGAGGAAGCTGCTATGCGAGAAGACACTGGAATGCAAGACGTCTATTACACTGAGGTGCGGCTGTCGTCACATGAGTTGTTCTTTTGTGTATTACGTTGTGAAGGCACTGGAGCAATTATCAGCTAGTCAATCCAGATACCCTGTCATTAACTGACCGACAACACATTTTTTTGTTGATCATCATGGATTCCTACATTTTCATACCAACTCTGGCTGGTATCTAAACTCCACACTTGAATGTAGTAGTGATTAAAAAAAATTGTGCCATGTTGAAAAATCTGGTCAAATGTATAATTGTGAGATCCTTTAATTGCTCAAAAAAAAGTCATCATGTATTGATATTTTATTAGTTTGATGTGATAAGAAGAGATTCCTTTCCGAACTCTTTTTAGGAAGTTCTGGTCGAACACCTGGAGGTCTGCGTGGAGGCCCTGTGGAAAGCCGAGCGCTATGAGCTTATCACGCACGTTGCCAAACTCATCATCCCCGTCTACGAGAAGCGGCACGAGTACGAGGTATCGGATATCGCGATGAAAATAAACAAACTGCCACTGTTTCTAACCTGTCCTGGCAAAGTAATCCATCCGTGCCTTCCACGAGCGTTTGACAAACAACACGTTTGTACATCTATGTAAGGACTTGTCTTCATATAAATACACGTGTGTAACGTTTACCTCATTCATTCTTCACTCATGAGTAAGCTCCCGGGCTGCCTTCACTTGTTGTCTTGCGCGCACAGGATTGTTAATGTTCTTTAACGTGGCTAAAATGGCCGAATGACGACATGAAACCAGTTTGAGCATTTTAACTCCATTGAATTAGACTCTCACTACTTGATAAGGCAAGTCTGTTTTTCACATGAGCTTTGAAAAGCTCTTCCTTGCTGCATCCTGTTGGGGGAAGCTTAAGGTCAAACAAGGTCGCCAAATTGGAGGTGGGCTCATAGACTAATCTAATGTGAACATGGAAAATTACTTTAATTATTGTTTCTGTTTGTTGAGATGTAACATATACAGCAACTATAAAGCATGTTTGTTTAAAGAAAACCAAATAAACAATTCGAAAATCCCAACTGTGACATTTGTCTCGCCGTTTTTACACAGAAACTGAGTCGACTGTACGACACTCTGCACAGAGCTTACAACAAGATAATGGAGGTCATACACTCGGGACGCAGGATGCTGGGGACCTACTTCAGAGTGGCTCTGTACGGACAGGTGAGCACCGCCATTTATTGCTCTATATCAGGGGTCTCAAACTCGCGGGCCAATTGCGGCCCTCGGGACGATATTTTGTGGCCCCATCCTTAATATGAAAGTGTAATGTTAGTGCGGCCCACAAGTTTTATACTGTAACCCCACTGTCAGCTGCTGTGTGGGACATGTTATGATGTTCTGGTTTCCTACTGTGTGCTTGTCCAGTGAACGTGGCATGCATGTGACTGACATGGGGGGCGGGTCGTGTGTGTCGGCCGAGGTGCAGAGAGCTGGAGGGTGAAATTCAGTTTCCTGCCCTCTTTCGCGCAGATGATCATGTGACTAACCGTTAGCATCGCTCGTTTAATAAATTTTCCTTTACGACTCACACTAACAACACATGAAGCATCTGACGTCACCGACGAGCGTCTCCGTCCATTACTACGCAGCTTCGATTCACGTAACTTCACGTTTGGCTATAAAGGAATTCCACGGTCACATGACCTTAGGTCTCCCCCGCTGAGTTAAAGGAGGACTAGTGTTGTAGTCTCATTCGGACCGATCCCCCAGGGTGGAGTTCAATGACTGCTTTTGAAAGTGAGTGTTAAGTTGTGTTATTGTCGACCATGCCGTTCGGACGCTAGTCTGGCCCGCGTTCGGTTAAAGTGGGCTGCATCTGGCCCGCAGCTGATTTGAGTTTGAGACCCCTGCTCTATATGGATGCGTTTTGGTGGAGGCAGGCGAGAAACTCCAGTTGTGCTGCTAAGCCTATGGAAATACAAATTCACATGTTCAGTATGATTGGTACCTTTTTTTGTTGTGGTTAACATATATATTTGTATATAGTTTGTTTAGAAAAACGTTGAAAGCACATCAACTGACAGACAGGTTCATGGCTGTGGAAGTAATGAAGTTGGGTAGCAAATAGCTGCAGTAACATTAAAAATAAGCAGAGGCTTTTGGGAAATGTGGCATTCTACAAGTTAAGCAAAATGTGGCGAATGCGTTGTTTCTTACTCGTGCAGAAGGCAAAAGCAAATGACTCAGAATAAATTGTAATACCCTTTTTCATTTGATACTTGAAAACACGGATAGCTGAACACACTTACTACTCAAAAAAATGTTGTTTTGCCTCAGGCAGACTGTTATATTTATTGAGCGAGCATATGTTTTTTGTGGAGGGCTTCTTCGAGGAGGAGGACGGGAAGGAGTACGTCTACAAGGAGCCAAAACTCACGGGCCTGTCTGAGATCTCTCAGCGGCTGCAGACACTCTATGGTGAAAAGTTTGGTCCGGAAAACGTCAAGATCATTCAGGACTCCAACAAGGTGCATTAGACGAATGAAGGAGGGAAGCGTTTAGAGTAAAGAGCCTGGATGAGAATGCAAATGAGATGTAGACCGCTGACAATAAGTCATTTAGCATCAAAGCCATTTAAAAAGTGCCAGTTTTATCTCTGACTGCTGTGTTGTGATAGTCGTTGATAGTCTCGATTGTACCTGTGTTTTGAAGAAGTGCGGTGTTTTGTCACCATGGGATAATAAAGCAGTAATTATTACTTAGCACTTCACTTACGACAAGAGCCCAAATGATTTCATCCGGCTCTGAAATGCAGTGATGTGTAGTGCCACTTTGCTCAAGGTGACTGCCGTCCCACAGGTAAATCCCAAAGACCTGGACGTCAAGTTCGCCTACATACAGGTGACGTTCGTAAAGCCCTTCTTTGAGGAGAAGGAGGCTCCGGAGAAGAAGACCGACTTTGAGAAGTGCCACAACATCAACCGCTTTGTGTTCGAGACGCCGTACACGCTGTCGGGCAAAAAGCACGGCGGGGTGGAGGAGCAGTGCAAGAGGAGGAGTGTGCTCACAAGTGCGCAACTTTCTTCTTAAAAATGCATTAACACGCTTGTTTTATAGCGGCGCGCCGCTATTCGTGGAATTGGCACGCGAGGTGCCAACCAGTTTTGCCCGTCCTCTTTGCCCCCAGCTGCCAACACATTCCCGTATGTGAAGAAGCGCGTGGAGGTGGTGGGGGAGAAGCAGGTGGAGCTCAAGCCGGTGGACGTGGCCATAGATGAGATGAAGGCGCGAACGGCGGAGCTGACCAAACTCTGCTCCAGCCAGGAGGTGGACATGATCCAGCTGCAGCTCAAACTGCAGGGCTGCGTCTCCGTGCAGGTGAAGGTCCCCGCCGCTTATTTACTAGTAAACACGGGAGAGAAAAAAAAGGTTGCCTGCGGATCAACGGCCTTTTTCTCTCACTTGCCTTTCATTGTCTTCCCAACATTTATGACAGTCTATATTTTATTACTACTCAATCCTGACCAGACAATCTGAAAAAAACAAGAAACATAAACCACAGTTGTTGCGTAAATCTGTGCTGGGAACAGTATTTGAGAGTCATGCGAACAACAAATGCTACGTGCCAACTGTTATCTGAGCACAGATCGGAGGACAGGAATGCTCAACACCCTCAGGCATGTTTTGCTACAGGTGAACGCCGGTCCCATGGCCTACGCCAGAGCATTCCTGGATGACAGCAAAATCAACCAGTCGGGCCTCAAGAAAATAAAAGAACTTAAGGACATATTCAGGTACCGTTTCAGCCCGTTGATTGTCATTTGAATCTGATCTTTGTATTTCCCGTGTTGTTCCTTCCTCCTCGTTCCTGGTCAACAATTCTTTGTTCTTTGATTTGATAAATAGTCATTTTAAGTTTGTTACTAAGTTGTTCCATTTCCTTTTTGACGATGGCAGGCGTTTCGTCCAGGCTTGCAGTATCGCTCTGGACATAAATGAGCGTATTATCAAAGAGGACCAGTTTGAGTACCATGAGGGCCTGAAGGGCAATTTCAAAGACTTGGTAAAGGAGCTATCTGACATCATCCACGAGCAGGTACTATCAACTATTCTGGTGGATTTCTGTGTACCGTTACTCCCCTGTTACACACACCTTTGCAGTTGGGAAATGAAACACACCCCTCTATTGTCTAAAGCAGAAGGCTGAGCAGAAACAACACCACACAAAGTCCAATGAAATTAAGACAATGCAACAAGACATCATTTGTCCCTTAGTGGTATCTGGCCCCGCAGAGGGTTTTGACCCATGTAAAGTAGAACTAGAATGTTGTTTCTGGTGCCACCTGGGTTACATTTAGAAAAATCCAACGGCAGTAATCTTCAGACACACCTATAAAAGTTATTATTGGATATATATGTAAACAAAACCCAGTGAAAAAAGTGATTACAACTCACACAGAGGGAGGGTGGCCTCCTTCCCTCTTTGTAGACCTCACTCCGTTCATTACACCTGACACTATCATGACAACCTACACCCAGAGTACGCAACTTTCACTACACGGAAGGTAATTTGTTGCTCTGTTTACTTTATGTCTTTCATTGTAAACATAGCAACCTTCTTTGCTCTGACCTTTATTTGAACAAATAGGTAACAGAGCAACAAGCCATTAAACCTTTACATCATCACTGGCACAGAGAAAGCCATTACCACCGCATCCAGCCTGCTGATGACGCTTCCTAAAAGTAGCCGGAGGTTGTTTCTAGAACCTTTCAGCGACGTTAATGTGTTTGTGGCTGTAAAAAATAGAACAGCTCTCTGAAACTTTTTGACGATGAGTCATAATGAGTTGTGGGAGCTGGATCCTGGAATAAAACACTTTCCCACCATGGACTTATCTGCTCCCAAAGTCCTTGTTAATAGATTTGAGCTTATTCTCCTGAGCGGCACCATGTCTGTAATATCATGTTGCAATAATTTGAAAGAGAGGAAGTGCTAGCTGTTGTACATGATAATGTGTACTCTCTTCTCTTCCCATCAGTAGAAAATGTAATGGCTGTGTTGCAGCAATGTTGTTGCAATACAGCCTGCTGACATTTGATATTCCCTTTAGCTGTTGAAATAACTGGTATACCCTTTTCTCTCCATTGTGCTGTCATTTAGCTTTAAGGAAAAACAGGTAATGTGATCACCGCGTGTGTTGAAGCTCATTTTTGTCCTTTTTGAAACCCATAAATGATTATTTTCCACCTTTGTTAAGTTAATATATTCCAGACATTTTATGTTTGAATGAAAATATTAATCTAAACATATACGGTCATCCACGTATAAAAAATAACGCCGCAATCCAAATAGTAAATATGCAGAAACAGGCGATTTATTAATTATAGAGTGAGAAAAAAAGAGGATGAACGGGACAAATTCAGCAATTCATGATACATTTAAAAAGAACAAGGCACAAACCCAAACACATGATTGTGGCCAACGCTGGCACCACATGTGTTATTGAAAACAATGCAAATGACCCATGCCACTAATCAAATGATGTTTACACGCACAATGGTGTCTGGAAAGTTTGCATGGCCTCACATGTCAAAAGTACATCCTAGTGATAGATCTACTGTTACCTCAGTGACGCCAAAACAAACTAGGGTGGCTGCCTTGTGTCAAGCCATGAAGCATAGAAGAATTGTGTGTTCTCAAACAGAAGAGGTAAACGTTCTGTGTAGATGGCAGCTAGAATGTGATGTTCCGTGTGAATCGGCAGCAGATTGATGGCAGCTTTACAAGTCGGCCGTAGACTGAAGTGGGCTTCTCGACTGCTGATACAGAAAACGAGGCTGTTGAACTAGCAGATGTGACTAAAATGACATTAAATGGTTGATTCATATATTTGGTGACTACCCGAGATCAAACCAGATGTATACAGTGAGGAGTCCAATAACATAAGTGAACTTGAGTGATTTTGCGGCGGTTCACTTTGAGGGCATGGTGGGGTTAGATGAGACATGGAGCAGACTCAACCCTCCTTTGGTTAAGCTCAGACAGGCTAAGGATGACGGCCTGTTGGCAACAAGCACTGTGGTCTGCAGGCTCTTGCAAATTGCTGTATTTAATAAATACGTCTACTTTAAAGGTTGGTAATCTTCAAAAAGATTTGATATTTACGTTCAAATTCCCATTTCATCCACGACCATACATTTATCAAACGCTCGGAAGAAAAAAAGATCTGGCATACCGTTCTGGTCACTACTCATGACTCATCGCCGGAGCCCTGCACAGGCTGACTGCAGCGATGTTGTTTTTCTACTCCAGCCGTGACTATTTTGGAGGGAGGCCTGTACGGACATGACATTTCTCATACGGTTTATCAACTTTACAAGCTGCTGCTGCTACCTACTTGCATTAGGAAGGAGATGGCAGCACTGGACTGGGTTCATAACTCTTTAAATGTACCATCATCTTGCTAGTTTCTGAAAATTACCTAATCCGCCTCTATTGCATAAGAGTCATGTTCATCTTCATCACCAGTAACCTGCTGAGATTCCAGGCATAACTGCACTTCCAATTGAGGCACATGGAGAAAGGGGTCAAGGATGTCAGCTGCAACCCAAGCAACACTTAGTGGTACAAAGAGCTACTCTACGCTAAACGCTGGTTTCTGAAGGCCGATCTTCAAGCTTATAACTCGTTTCCATTTTGTGCATTTTAAAATGTTGCCTTTGATTGGAGATGAAAACTGCCTTTGGCGTGTTTAGATGAGCCTGATTAAATAGTTCTGTGCAGGCAGTGTGATTGTAACCTGCAGAGTTTCAATAGCTGTCCTTACGGACCTGCCCAGTGAGTGCTGACCTTTCAGAAGAAGTATGACAAACATAAATGGAACAAAACAATACACACAGATGAGATTGATTGTGTGGACCTTTTCCTTTAGTGCAACAGTGTGTGGAAATACAAGCACACCAGTGGAAGCCTGGTGCCCGTCAATGGCAATAACGATCAAAAGAGTACCAGTAAACCATCATAGAAATACTTTTGAGTAAAAAAGAAAATAAGGTGTGGTACGAGGGCAACGGGTAGAGTACTGTGTAGACTCCATTTTAAACACATTGCGTATTCTTTCTTTTTTGCATGTCATTTGACACCTCACTCATCGTACATTTAGCTGCTCTCTCATGTCAATCCACATTCTCCCCGTGGGAGGGGTTGTGTGTGTGTGTGTGTGTGTGTGTGTGTATTGTGCATTAATGCGTGGACTGCGTTTTGCTCTTACTCCAGATCTACCAGGAGGATATGATGCGCTCGCTATTACAAAACTCCCTCCATGTGTTTCGTGCCATCAGCGGGACGACCACCAACCTGGGCTGACCTCTGCCCCAGCCACACGCCCCCCATAAAGACCTGAACCGGATGAGGAGGGAACAGCCCCCAGGAGATGGATCGTACCCAAACCACAGCAGCAGTATCCCAGAATGTAACACCTACTAAATGTCAGCATGTCGGCTTTAGGCTTTGTGCGGTGCTTTGTGCGGATCAACTGTTGATTTTCACAGGGAGACACTGTGCTGAAGCAGGTTTTTTTCCTTCTTCGGTGCTCTCTCTGCAACGTCTTCCCTCATCTCACATCTATGCAGTACATCAGGCTCCCCCCATTAGCCCTTTTTACCACTTGAGTCAATTTGTAGGCGGGTTTAGGTAGTTTCGTAGGCAGGCAGAGCATTCCAGTCGGGCTGTAATAAACAGACAAGTGACGGTGTAAAGAGCAGCATCTTTAAGCCAAAGGGAGCGCCCTGTTTATTGCCGTGACTAATTCCTTCTTGGCGGGATCCCGAGTTAAAGAAAGGAAGGAGGTCTAGTCGAGATAAAGCTGCTCTTAAGAAGGGTTTTGCTTGGTTTCATAAGTAGCTCAGTTACATTGTGAATATTTGGGTGATAACAATGTCATATCAGAGGTCATTAATGATACCTGAGAAGAAAAAATATGGAAAGTAAATTATTTCCGAGCTTTTGGTACAATGAGAGAAACAAAATTGTGTAGGTGGGCCGCTGCACGCAGAGCGCAGCTGTGTGATGATGCTCATCATGTGGGTTATCATCCAGTGCCTTTGTGCTTTGCCTTGTCAAGATACTTCCCCGTCAAGATACTCAGTAATAAGATCGTCATCACTCGCTGGTTATTTACAGTATTTCACAAGTGCTACACTGTAATTAACAGATGAATAATATTTAAGCAAAATGTACATAATTTGTTGCCAGGCTGTAAAGTGAATTCTGCATCCTTGTATGTTTGTACGTACTGTATCTATATTTGGAACAGTTTGAAATATTCAGTCCAAACTGTCCAAGCAGAGAGATTTTTCTTTTTTTAATGATGTGCAGCTGCTTGTCAAAATGACTTTGTAAAGACATTTTCCAATAAAACCTGGAGAAAAACCATGCAGACTGATCAGTTGTTGGAGAAGGTGGACAAACCAGTCCGACCAGGTACATTTTAATCCATTGTTCTCGACCTCTCACTGAATCGCCCTTTGCGGATGTTCACATTGAGTAATCCTACCTTTTGGAGTCAACAACAGATCCTCAACACGCACTCTTCTGGAGTTTAGGTGTAACAAAACGTTGTGTTGCAATACAGGATCCATCCTGTTCGGAGCTCGTCTCGTACTAAGGGGCTAAACTTTGGACCTTCGCCTCTGCAGCGTTGATTTGAACCTTTTTCTCGAATACTTTAACATGTTTAGCCATTTAGAACCAACCCAAACGCTGCCTCGAACCATCTTTTCATAGGCGTTTAAAAAAGGATTTCATTCATCCACCCAGCACGCTCGCCGTCCGTTTTTAAGTGTAGCAGAAAAACGATACACAAGTTCGCTCGGACTTCCTGTCATCGGCTCGGACGCGCGGTGCCTGAAGCCATTAGCGCAGGAGCTAATCAACTTATCGATCATCTGACTCATTAGGAGCCCGGCGACTTCCCGGAGACGCGGATGGACACTTGTTCCCCCCACTAACATTACACTCGGGAGCGCGCCACGCCGCCGTCCGTGCCGCCCGGCACGCACACGCGCACACGCGGGCGGTGCGGGACACCGGGAGTTGACCGCCGTGGGTCTTTTCGGCGAAGAGGCATCGCGTTCCCACTCGGTTACCGGCCGCCCTCCCACCTTCACAGAAACTCCGCCCCGCTGCTCCCAGTAGACACCGCGGAGCCGCTCGCGGAGACGGGCGAGGTGCGCTCGTCGCTGGCTTTTTTTTTTCTCGCGGGGACTTTCTGGAGGACTCCGTACCGTCCGCCACGCGCCCGCGTGCTGGCATTAAGCGTCGCGGGGGGGGGGCGCGTGTACTCTGCTGCCGGAGGACCGAGGCGCGTGTGTCCTTCCAGTCCCGGGGAGACAACATGAGACCTGCCGTGGAGTTTGTTACCGTCCTGATACTCACCGCCGGCTTGTCGGCGTGCCGCGGTGACGCAGGTAAGGACCCCATCGCCGAGCGTGCCGGTCGCAATGAAGCCCTAATTGAGCTTGGTCGTTAAGGGCTTCAGTGGCGGACTAATCTGAAACCGCAAGTTAATAATAAGCAGATTTTAAATGGCGCACCTTTTCACCTGCGTTGACGTGGACTGTCTTCTTCTAAAAAGACATCGACCCTGTGATTTCTCATCAAATGATGAAATCACAGGGTCGTTCGTTTTTTTTTCGTTAGGTATTATCTTTAGGGCCAACTAATGTGGCCCACGTAGACCGCTGGGTGTAGACCGCTGGGTGTAGAGCTACGTAATTACCTTATGGACACTTGAAGATTGAAGATAAGGCCTATTGACTGTTGAATGACGACGTTGTTCTTAAAAGTCGTACCTTCGTGATTGGAGACTATTTTAAACCCCATTTTCTGTCGCGTTTAAATTCTGAGGATGAATTGTTATCGGCGAGATAATCCGCGTTGTTTTGCGTCGAGCGCTTTTAGTTAAATTAGCGTGAGATGGGATTTATTTGTTCATAACTGGGAGTGCGAACCAAAATGATCTGCGGTGATATTACACGAACCAAAGCTGAAGCTTTTAACATTTTCTGGAATATGTGGACTATCCAACTTCGGCGCCACAAACATTCGTGGATCTTTTTCGAAGGCACAATTCCCGACGGCGGAGGAACCAGTTTACCCGGATATACCTACTTAACGCAATATACATGAAGAAAATGTTTTGACCTTCCGTCATGTTAAGGATTTTAATGCATTTCCATTCTGTCTTCTCAAAAATGAAAGCGTTTTTTACTCTACATACAGCCAAGTTCATTAATTCTATTAAGAAATCCGTTTCTATTTAGCCATCAGGTGATTTCATCTGGTTTTTCACTACCCTGCGATCGTATTCTTAATAAGACCATTACTATCTATGGTAATGGTATGGTAAATATATAGATTCCTATATGAACCTATGGTCATTTCACTAAAACCGACAAGCCAGAGCGCTCAAGCTCTTCAAGTACACGGTCTTTAAAGACGCGCCACAGCAATACAAAGTGCGTCAGCTGCGCCCGCGACCAAAGTTCATCTGTTATCATATTTTCTGAACTGTAATTAAATCTATCTTCATAAGACACTGATTCTCAGTTTTTGTCTCGCTGGCAGAAGGTGTCCCCCCTCCCACGGATGTGTCCTATGATTGGCTTGACCCGATCACGGTGCGCGTGTCCTGGCAGAAGCCCATCGGGAACTTCAACTACAAATACAAACTGATAGGCGGAGGAACAGATGAACGATGGGTCTGTTGGTTTCTGTTCACATTGTGTGATTTATGCATCTGACTATTTAATCATTGACCCTTCTGCATTACTCCAGTCATTCCTCTATTGGTTCTTTCACCAAGACGAAAATAATGATGAGAGTTTTTTCCTCAAATCTACACAAAATACCCCATAATGACAAAGTGTAAAGTTTGTTTGTTTGTTTTTGTTGTTATTTTGGCAGGTTAACTAGAAATAAAGAACAAAGTATTAAGTACTCACTTACTACCATTAACTACACTACTTCATCAATCCTCTGTAGTAAAAAACAAAACAAACACTGAGAGCTGAGAGCCTCTGCATAAGGCTGTAAGATTATTCCATCTAATATCTCTAACACCTCTCAAACTCATCAAGTAGCTGTGCAGATAAATACAAGTAAGCGTTTTGGGATAAGACTCATTGCTCTTTCACAACACGCACTGTTTAAATGCAACAAAAAAAAAATGCAATCACACATAACGGACCACCCCTGAGTTACTGTGGAGTCACAGTTGTGTGTTAAGCTATGAGGGGAACAAATAATGGGAAATGGATAAGCAACCCGACGATCAGCGATGTAATTGCAAACAGTCCTCCATCCCGAGGCAGAGTGTTTCAATAAGGTGTTAACCTAACCTGTTTTGTTTTTGTCCTCCTGTTTAAGACGGATCAGACTTCATTGAGAAATTTCACAGCGGAACTTCTCACAGAAAATATGACCACTGGCAATTGGAAGTACCTCATTCGCACGGTTAAAACGTGTGATAAGGGTACTTATGAAAGCCCTGAGGTGTCCATAATAATTGAATTCCCTGTGCCAAGAGGTAAGAATCATAAAGCTGTCCGGTGAGACCATGACGATGACCTAAAGTCCTAACTGATTGCCGCTACTTATTTGACTTCTTTGTTCTTGCACTCCACAGCTGAAGTGCACGACATCAAATGTCTCATCACCAGGAAAATCGGAAGAAACTGCTCGTGGATCCCAGGGAATCAGCCTCTCGAGTTCTTCTATAGGTGAGAATACAGCAGATATGAGACCGTGTATGTCTCCAGGGATGTGCAGTAGCGATGTAATGGTGGCTGCTCTGAGGGGCTAATTGTTGAAACCTGCCTGGTAAAGGCTTGTTCACACAAGGACATTAGTGCAATCAGGGAAGCCCTCAGCCTGGACAGATGTTTATGGTCAGGAGGTAATCTGTTAGCTTTATGAACATCTGACTGAAGGAGTTACAGAAGCCAATGTTCCAGCAGTCAGTCTTCCCTTCCCTTACTCACCAATTCTCTGATCACCTTCCCATCTTCTCATTGCAGGACCTCAGGAATTTCCAACGTTAATCACTTCAGAGCATGCAAACTGCTCCACAGCGGTCCGACCAGGAATGGCTGCTATCTGGAGGATGTTGGAGTCGCAGATGACATCTGCCTGCTTTTCAAAACTCAGACTGGAAACAGCACCAGCACCTTTAATATAAAACCAAGTAAGTTATACCTTAAAGTTTATTATTTATATCATTATACATTGAGCGAATAAACAGAACACAATTGCTGTTCAACTACTTTTACTGCCAAGTGCAAGTGAAAAGACTTATACAGTACAATACTTTTTTTTTTTTTCTTCCACAGTGATCGATCCGCCGGAGTTGAGCGTCAGAGAAGGGGGAGATGAACTGGAACTGAGCTGGACACCCCTAGAAGATTTTAAAACTTGTATCTGGGAATACAATGTCTGCTACAATAAATGCAATCACCTCGTAGTAAGTAGTGGAATTGAACTGGTTCGCTGAGAAGACATAAAGTGTCTCCACACCTGACGAGTGCACCTCTGTTTTTTGTGGTCCTACTGTTTTAGAAGTGTCTGCACTTCACTTCGAAAGAAATGCCTATGCCTGTGGCCTACGATAACCGCTGCCGTTACGACTTCTGGTACAGTGTCAAGACAACCATATATTACACACCAGTTTTCAGCGACCGCAGCAAAGTTGTGTCCTATGGCAAGTGTCCAACCAATTATATTCACACTGGTTTCTCCGTTTATTCTGTGCCCAACAACAAGATTACAAATCCAAGTGGATTTTTCTTTGCGAGGTGCATTTGTCGTCGATCCCCCGGGATTGGCGCACTTCACATTATGTTCTTCACCGGGTAATTCTCACGTTATTAAATACTCAGGATTTGATTTTTCTTTGCCCATTTGTCAGAAAATTTGACAAAATTGATCCTGATTCAAAACCGATGTGTCAAAATTACTTTGTCCCAAAGGAGGAACAACTAGAAAGGGAGGAAGTGCGAGTATCAGTTGCCATCAGTTGTTTAGCATCATCTCACGCAGCACTTCAGTATCGTCTTTTTTTCCTATTCTAAAGAACGAGTGCGACTGTGAAAATACTATTAAATACCAATATTATATAGAATAGAATAGAAGTACTTTATTGATCCCCTAGGGGAAATTCAAGATCCAGGTAGCTCCTGACAATATACAAACATAATATACACATACAGTTAAACTATTAAAAAGGATTATCAAAGAAAAATTAAAGTTAAAACACACATTAAGAGTTCAGGCTGGGGGTGGAGAGAGGGAGGGGTGGGGGTTTGTGCAAAAGGAGGGGGTGGTTGGCTAACATAGCCAGTGAACAGAATTTTTCTAGTGAGGTACCTTTGGTTATGGTATATGTGCTGCATTGAAATCTGACTTAAATAAAAGTATGTATCTGCAAAATACACTTAAAGTATTGAAAAGTGTACCACGTTTGGTAAATTATTTCCTCTGTGTTTTACGGTTATATGTGATAGTGTTGGATTAATATTACTGCTGCATTCAAACTTAGACCTTTTTTTTTTAATTAATTCGTCCAATGATATTCTAAAGCAAAATCCAGACATCAGGAGAGCCGTGCTTTTCATTTGACTGAAAGGAGTTGAAAAATTGACAAATCTACTAATGTAGTTGAGTGAACATTTAGACTAAAGGTGTGAAGTTACATAAAATGGTCACAATCAACTCAAATAAAAGTACATTTTAAATGGTATTCAAGTAAAAATTGTATTTAGTTAAATTCCAACACTACTGCTTACTTTGATGGCAACTAATTAGGGCTTCGTAATTCTTACTTTTATGCTACAACTCTCTTTATCTCATTTGAATCCCCGCAGGTACGAATGAGCCGGCTGACGAGACGCTGACTGTGGTTGCCATCGTCCTGCCCATCATCCTCTCCGTCTGCATCTTTCTGTCCTGCTACTGCTTCAGGAGGTACGTTTTGCACGCAGTACAACAGGAGAAACTACATTTCTGGGGGCCCAGATTTCTTTAAATCAACATTGCGCATTCTATTTTTAGTCAGTGCACCTTCTACGCCACGCCATTTGAGATGTGCAACAACGAGCACAGGCCCCATAGATCATTGAAACACTGTTTATCTCGTACTTTTAACTGCCCGGCCTTCCTCGGCGCACTGGAGTCATTTAGGGCTCAATAAGTGTGAGTGCGTTGCCAACAAACCGGCCTCACCCTCAGTCACATGCAAGTGTTGTAAGGTTGGGCTGCAATAATGTGCCAAGTGTCATGAAACAATGTCTACGGTGCTTTAAAGTTATTTTTAAATATCCTATGCAAACATTTTTTCAAGAGCCGTGCTCTGCTTTCATTTGAAATATGCATCATAAAACACGGGCCTGTCGCTATATTCTAGACATGTCGGAAGCATTGTATGTTGGTGGTGCTGATCTCTGGCACGACGTCTGTTTGCAGGTACAGCTTCGTAATTTGTCCCGTTATACCAGATCCATCCGCGATATTCAAGGAAATGATGATGAGCGGAAACAAAGAACTTAAGGTGTGTTTTAGGAACAGAAAAAAACCCATTCCAAACGACATCTATGCTCTGCCCACAAATACCCATGATCCTTTCTGTTTTTGCAGACAACAGGGACTCTGTACGCGCCGGTTCCAGAGGCCATTGAATCCTGCAGAGTCGACCCTGTCCCCAAATACATGCTGAAATCCTCACCTGCACATGCGCGCAGCGAAGCCTTCCGCCCAGCTGGACTCGCACTCTCGGCGGAGTCGTGAAGGACTGTTTTTTTTTTTTTACAAAGTGTGCTGCACTTCTCAATTGTGTTGAGACAGAGTGAGCTCTGCTGACATGACTCGGTGTCACTGCAGCCAGGGGACAACTTAGGCCACTGGAGGTCAGCAAATAACAAGATATTCAGCAGCTTTTCTGCCAGCTCCACACCACAAGGCTGCTGTTTGGATTTGTACTGGTCCGGCCTGGATAATGAAATGCATTGATCCTTCGGGGAGGCCCTCAAAAACTGCACACAACAAGGGCCACCAGGCTGTGTACCCGGAAATAATGACAAGGAAAGAAGGTTTCCACGCCTGCACTGTACTGATATTGTCCTGTTGATCCTTGGGGAGGGGGAGTGGGGGGGTGTACAGCAAGCGAGGGAGCAGAGGCTGTATTTCAGTGTCCTGAGAGCAGCTGACCGTGTCCCTGGATGGCTGCTGTACAAAGGTAACAAGAGAATAAGAAGCGGCTCATGTCTTGACACGCCAAAGGTCTCTGTTGCGGGAATGAAAGAAGCTGCTGGTACGACCGCCGTCATGGCAACTAGACAAGGGGCAGGGTGCAATAAGTGGGAAGCACATAGTTCTGTAATGTAGTGATCCCCAAATGGTTAATACTATATCTATCAGTCAATCTGTATTTGGAAAATGTTTCCTGTGGTGTTAAAGCTTTAACCTTTTGTACTCAACTCATTGTGGAAAGACAACATTAACTTAGCTTGGCTTTCGATTTTGTGTAATCTGCTTGTTCACGGAAGCACCCAGAAACACAATGCTGTATCACCGTTAGTCACACGCGCTCCTTCCTTCCTTAAACCGAAGGGAGTCGTCCTTTGTTGCCTTCTCACATTGCCCAACACTTTCTTGTTGGTAGATTGTGAATGATTCCTACTTCAAATTTTAATTCAAATAAAGAGAAAGTGAGATATGTTTTTGCTGCTTGGTTGTGATTGCCTGACACTGCCACCGCCTTCATTAGTGTATATTCAGTCCACAAAAGGAACCGTTAATTCACATCCAAAATGAACAAAAAGAAAACTTATATATTGTTGATGGGTTTTAATGTCAGTTGGCAGGTCATGGATGTGTTATTTTTAATGATTACCGTACTAAAGTAACTCCAGAGATATAAGATATCCACACAAGCACTCAAAATATCTGAGTCTCAATGTCTTTATTAAAACATACTAATACTTTAAAGATATCTTGTACTAACACTAAATATTGAACAATCCAGTTCAGTAGCATTGATTAACATTTGTAATGGAGATGACTCTTTTAATTGAAGAAAGAAGAAAGAATCAGATCTGCTCAACAAAATGGTAAAGAGATATGTACTGAAATAATGAACATTTTAAACAAACTTAAAGAAACGTCTTTAAAGAGTTCACCACACATTTGAAGTTGTATTTGTTATGTATATAAATCGAGTTTCATATATATCCTTTAAAACCAGATAGTGAAATGGGTGGTAGTTTGTTCTGTGACGTTACATTTACCACATTTAATAAATATCATTACAATGAATGTTCACGTGTGGGATTAAAAAAGATATACTGTACATATTAGGATATATTATACTGTATACAAAATAACCTTTGACAAACAATTGTGAAATGAGTGTTGTAGATTCTGGTGCTTCATTACAGAGATTACATCTGTATCAATATTTTAAGAAATATGAATTGAGTGGAGAACAAGTATTTGATACACTGCCAATTTTGCAGGTTCTCCCACTTACAACGCATGTGTCAAATTTTTATCACAGGTACCCTTCAACTGTGAGTGACGAAATCTAAAACAAATCCAGAAAAATCACATTGTATAATTAAAAAAAAAATGTTTTGCAGTTTATTGCATGACATAAGTATTTGATGCATCAGAAAAGCCGAATGTGATATTTGGCATTTATACCAAAAAGCTCTATTTTCGTCTCACCAGATCACCTGACCTTCTCCCATACCTTCTCTGGATCATCTAGATGGTAATTGGCAAACTTCAAACGGGCCTGGACATGTGCTGGCTGCAGCAGGGGGACCTTGCATGCGCTGCAGGATGTTAATCCATGACGGCGTAGCGCGTTTTCTTTGAGGCTGTGGGCCCAGCTCAGGTTATTGCAGGTCCTGCCGTGTAGTTCTGGGCTGATCCCTCACCTTCCTCAAATACTTGTTCTCCCCACTGTACATCCAGCCAATTCACATATCTTCAGATTCCTAAGATATTGATACAGATGTCATCTCTGTAATGAAGCACCAGAGTCTATAACGCATTAATTTTACAATTGTTTACATTTTGTTTTCTTTTGGGACTCGGGTGAAAGGTTATTTGTTGTGTATATAATATATCTTTTTTGTTAAATCCCACACGTGAACATTCATTTTAATGTTATTCATAAAATATGGTAAATTTAACGTCACAGAACAAGAACTACCTTCCATTTCACAATCTGGTTTTAAAGAATATATATGAAACTCGATTTATAAACATAACTAAAATACAATCAACTTCAAATGGATGGTGCACTCGCCACTGTATATTGTGGAAATGTTGGCTTTATTCGAATATACATTTCCGTCTCCGATTTCCCGTATGCTGTTCTAGTGTGGATGCAACATCATTTCCAAGGCAACTGGCCCGTGTTTAAGTAGAAAGTAGCGCTCGCGCTTGGTGTGGGCGGGAGCTTGCGGCCCAAATAAGGAATCCCCCCGCCCCGTTCCGGCCTCTTGACCGCTCGCGACACCTCCCCGCCTGCGTCTGGCGATCCGCAGCGATACACGGACATTTACCTTCATCCGTCCCTCACAACCGGGACCGTTGAAGGGCGACGCCAAGTCGTCGGACACACACTCCAGGAATAAGACCCCTAAACCCCCCCCAGACGCGAAAGATGGCCGGGCCGCGTCTCAGTTTGGACCTGTTTGTTTCGTGCTGTTTCTTTCTAACAGTTGGATCCCATCAAGGTTAGATAATATCCACAACTTTGTGTCTCTGCGTTACATTTTGTATTTACAAAGTCCACCTTGACAGAACAAATCCAAAGGGATCCGAAGACTACGTCACGCTGCTTCCCGGGTACTGACTAACGTCACGCCCCGTGTTGAGAAAATCAACGCGTGAAACGTGTAAACTTTTAGCTCAACGAACTAGATGGACGTTGAGTAGCAGTGCGCGTAATGAGTAGCATAAAGTAAAGAGTAACTGTCCTTTTGTGCGCATCGTTACTTTAAGTTCCTGACTTCTTCAACTCGTTCGTTGAAGTTCGGGACCATTCTGACCACATTATGACTCACAAATCAAGCAGTTTTACTGCAATCAATTTCGTGAATTGTGTTCGGCGTTTTATCACACGGGGTTTGCGGATCAAGGAGTGAAGTCAATGCACATTGATGTAGATTGTACAAACCAGATGTAGATTCGTGTCTTTTCTCTCTGCACACATAAGAATCCGTCTCACCACCACGCAATGTTTCCCTGGTTTGGAAGCACGAGTTCTGGACACAACTGTCCTGGGCCCCACCACAGCATTCAATGGACAACTGTAGTTATAAAGTGACGATGAATGGCGGCAAATTTAGTGTGAGTATGCCTATATTTCTCTATTTAGAAAAATGCAATTATTTTTAATGGCTATGCTTATTATTATTATTAGTATTAATAGTATTAATAACAAAACAACTTGCCCAGTTCCTCTAGCCTAGAGAAAAAGTATTAAAAGTTTCAACACCTCACAATTCTACCAGATTTTTGTAAAAATATACTTTACCACATTCCACCGGCGTTCTCATCCTGCATATGTACAGATATTTGTCATGAAAACGTGCCAGAGTTCACTGTATTTGAGGCAATTTCAGTCTTCTGTGCTCTCAGCTCCCACAAAATAAAAGAACCTGGCACCCGGTTGACAGCGCGTGTGCTGCCAGTGTTACCAGCGATGGATACCTTGTTCACGCACCTTTTTCTTTCTCTCTCTTCTCGGTAGGAGAGAAATATCAAAAATCAATTCTACGTAACACAATATGTCATGGAGGGAGGCTTTCTGCAAATGGGTGTTGAAACCACCTGCGGCGACATCCACAGTGAACCAGTTGTATTAAACATCACTTACCCAGGTGGGTCATTTAGCCGCCCGCTGACTTGTATTACTTGCACTCAAATTTTGGATGCTTTTGACCAGACAAAGACATTCGCTTTTTAAACCAATCATGGACTGCATTTTCATCGGTGTAACTGTGAGTTTATTAAGAAATGTCTCATTTCCTCTCAGAGCTGGTGAGGAATGTGAACTGTTACATCACCGCCGCCACAAAAAGTCACTGCTTCTGGTCCCCGGCCAGCCAAGCTACAGATCTCCGGTTCTTCTGGTATCTTTGTTTAAGTTCCACACTTTTTATATTTACACAATCTCTGTACATCAAACACTCACACTTTACGTGAAGAATCAGGTTTTTGTTTTTATCTGGGACCATGTAAGAGTAATAAGCTGGGCTTCAGCTCAGGTTCAACTCTCCAGGGCTCAGCTTAGGAATTGTTTGTTGACTTTTCGGAACCCACGCCATATTTGGTAACACATCGGTATTTTAACAGGCTGGCTAAGCGTAAACATTCCTTAGCAAAAACATTTCTATGGCTATCTTGTTTGCAATAATATCATCCGTAGCGTTCAATAAGTTTATTATTATTGATAAATTCACCAGATAAATGAATGCATCCTCTCTGAGAAACTTTATGAATAAGCTCCTTGGAAGAAGCCAAAACCAATAATGAATGAATCCTACAAACAAGCAGTGTGTGTGTGTGTGTGTGTGTGTGTCCAAAGCTGAAACACTGACTCTCAAAGGTGATTCTGAGGAACGCAGCATAACAGAGCCATGAAGTCATTGAGATGCGTCCTTGTGCTCTTTTAACAGCAATACTGGACAACACCCCAGTAATGTAAGGGAATGTGCACCACCATGAAGGGGAACCCGGGCCCCAGGTGGCTCGTCTAGGCACATGTGATCCTTTCACTTCCATCAGCACTGGTTTATATCTGTGTTTGGAGTAGTATGCAGCATGAGAGTAAATTGCCTTCTGCTCTCTCCCCAATCCTTCCCAGGTCAGTTGATTCCGGTAGTGGCATACCTCCGTCCGGCATACAGGAGTGCCCATCGTACAATTACACTGACCCCGTCAGGCCTGGTTGTGACCTGGAGGCGGACATTGACCAAACCATCTACATCTTTTTTAATGCAACGCTGATGAACACCGTGGCCAGGAACACATTCTCAAGAAAAACTTTTGATGATGGTATGCAGCCAGTGGAATGCCAACGAATTAGTACCATGGATCCTACCATGGAAACGTTCTGGTGAAATACGTCGCACTTCCCCATTTGCTTCAAAGAGAAGTTGCTTTCTTGAGAATGGTTTTGCAATTAGTGTGCGTGTGTGTGAGTGTGTATTTTTTATGTTAACTTGTTAGTGAGTGTGTGTGTGCGTGTTTTAATTCACTAACTTTGTACAATATCCAGCTATTTTAAGGAAGAGGTGCTTTTCAAATGGCCTCAGATGCTTTGCAGTATTCAATGACGTGTACGACTGGATTGTAGTTATTATATCTCTGTCGTGTCTGTCTCCGTGCAGTGCGACCTCCTTCCATTAAGTGGAGCGTCAATAAAACTGGGGATAAGTTTTCTATTGCTTGGATCAAACCTGACATTCCACTTGGTTGGAATTTTGTTGTGATGTACACCGAGTGTAGTGAAACGAAGGTAAGAGACGCATCATCAAAATCTCTGTTACTAATATCACAACACAGGATGAATCCTACTAACGTTTGTGTTTTGAGGGAAATGCCTGGCAAACCGTTGAAAGGATTGTAACGCAATTTAGTAGACTTTCATATTTCCACTCAGGATGAATTGGAAATGTTTGCTGACTTTTCAAATGTCCATCAGCATCCGTTCCAGTTTGCTATCCTCATTTCTTACCTAAAATAATGACTGCAAACTGAAGTGGTTCAATGATCAAACATTCAAAGATCCTCATGGCAGAATTCCTGGATGTTGGTATCAGTTTTGTGTTGACTAGCTGAGTAGTTGCTGTCACAGTTTTGTCTTCATTGTCTTACAGTACAAAACGTTTGGGGAAGTAAATTCAGGCGAGCTGGACCTGGTCCCTCACTGTCCCTACTGTCTGGCCATTAAAGCACACATCCCGAATAGAGTGACACCATGGACCAAGGAGGAGTGTTTCGGTGCGGCCATCGCCTCCCTCTCTATTTCCTTATGTTGTTGAAGAGCTGCATTGAACCCTGGTCAAGATGTTCTCCCCTTTCGGCTGTCCAGTGTTTGTTTTTGAAGATGGCACCAGTGGCAGATGTATTCTAGACCCTTTAGATTGTTTTTACCCAGTGGTGCGATGTACGTTTACTCAAGTAGCATGCAGAAATATTTCATGTTTAACTGGATTTAATATGTAATTTTATAATGCACCGCAGCCGTATAAGTTATGCTTAGGCGATCGCAATGTTGCTGTCGCGTTGGTGTGCAGATGCAGACACAGATCCTAAAGCATGGAAGTGGGCTGCCATTATCATCCCACTGATCCTCGTGGGCCTGATGGCCCTGATGTTTGGGTGTTACAGGAAGTATGTCTTCATCTTTTTGGCTTTCACTCCTATCAATTGTAGGTGGTTTGCCTCTGATATCTAACTTGTTTTGTTCAGGAATAAGGAATATATTTTGCCCAGAGTACCACAACCCCGGGACCTCCTCAGCGGTATTTCTGACAACAACAACAAGGTGAGTCTTGTGTAATAGGGTGAATCTGTTAGGGGGGGGGGGGGGGGGGGGAGGAGAATTTGGTGGGCCCAAAGTCACACGCACGGCAGTCTTTGATCTTCAGGCGAAGTAGTTTTATGACTTCACACAGAACAAGCACGGGGAATATGGATATCAGATAGCGCTCCTCTGACTCAACTGGAGTCGGGAGGGAAACTCCACCGACGTCTGGCTGTCTGGGGTGGCTCAAGCAGGGTCTGGTGTGGAAACCCGAGGCCCGACACCACACTCACAGTGAGTGACAGCGAGATCCTCCTTGTGGCAGTGGCAAGTGGGTGGCAACTTTGTGACAGGCAGCGGCAATCGCCAGTAAATCAGTCGGCGTCACGACGGTACGCTGGGTGGGAGGAGCCAATTTTTCCCAGAAACAACTGTTATTTGTACGACAGGTCAGCTGCTGTCAATATTTAATTTTATTTAATTTTATTTAATTTTATTTGAGACACGTGAGCCCCCGTCTTCTTATTACAGAGGCTAATTTTAGGTTTGGACCGGCGGGTTCCGTGTAGGGGGTGGGGCTCTCAAGTTTGATGCCACCCACTTGCCACTGCCACAAGGAGGATCTCGGCCTTACTGCTCACAGTCCAACTTAAAGGCAGGTTACGTGCACTCCGTGGTACTCCGTGGGTAGTCCAACTTAAAGGCAGGTTACGTGCACTCCGTGGTACTCCGTGGGTCTGACACCAAAACAAACAAAAACATGAAATAAACTGGTCTAACTGCTGTATCTCAGTATCAACGGCACCTGAGACCAGCCTGGGTACTGGGACGGACTGACGACGACGACGAGCCTCTGAAAGCAGGGGCCTTTATGCTCGTCACCAGTGATCCCCGGAATGAGCCACAGCTGGGCACGTGGGAGAGGGGTGGGGCCGGAGGCGGAACACACAGGTGGAAACTATAGGTGGAAGAAACAAAACAAGCAAAAACAAAAGCACAGACTGGGGGGAAAAACTGTTAATAAAACCGGGTCCCTAACAGAAACGGGTAAACAACTAATAGATATTACAATGAAACTCCCCCAGTTGATTACTTACATGAAGGGTTAACCGGCGGCATCTTATCAAATACCTGCTAATTTGGGTCCATTTCCAGAACAAAAAACATTATTGTTTTATTTTGTGTTTGAAAATCTGCTTTAGTGTCACAGCCCGGCTCTCAGACAGCGACAAAACAGCCAGCTGCTAACAGGAAACAATTTATTGTTAGAAAAAAAAGTGTAATGTGGAGGTATCAGTAGTGCAGTGTGTGTGTAAGTGTGTATGTATGTATGTATGTATGTACGTACGTATGTATGTATATGTGTGTGTGTGTGTGTGTGTGTGGCAGTGAGCACAAAACAACAGAACGCAAACACTGCACCGGTGTCATGCCAGACGCAAGGCTCTTCTTCCCGAGCCCCCCTGGTTCTCTTCCTCCCCCCCGGTGCCAAATAGAGAAAGTGTTGGGTCCCCTCGGCTCAGGTGTGGCTCATCCAGCAGACGACACTCCAATCAGCACCTGGAACACACAACCAAAACCACATATGGGAGGAGGAGCGTCGTCACACTATAATGAAATATTGTATGATGTTTAAACGAACCCCTCAGTAAAAACATATACAAAAAATATAGATAGTAAATAAATTAAAGTTTAATTAAATTAAATTAAAGTTTGGTTGGATGTAAGTACTACTGAAGCGGATGAATCCTGGTCAGAGTCTTGTGAAAATCATTTTAAGAAAACAGACAAAAATGTGTTTCTAAAAATGACATACGTTGTCTTTCTCTGTTTTGTCTTCTGCTTGTCAGAGCACTGTTCCCAACCTGTACGTCCCGACAGAGGAAGACGAAGAGAACTGCAACATCAGCCTGGTGGCAGATCCCCTCATCAACACACCGGACTTCTGACTCGGGAACCACTGGAATCCACAAAATGTCCCATAATCCCGCTTCTCCAATACCCAATTCTCAAGAACAAATGTGGAGACTGGACTGTTCAACTGATGAAGCCGCGAGACTGAAGGGTTGTAGGCTCGACCTACACGTCCTCAGAACAACCGCCCTGATTTGTTGCTGAAATCTGCCGGGACAAACGGCGGTGAGAACACATGGCCCTCTTTTAACGGAGGCCTTGGTTTGAACTGGACACGGAGCCGCCTTTTAGGAACTCCCCAATAGAGTTTACTGTGCCGGGTATAGACACTTTTTTAAAAAGTGTATAAGAGTAGAGGCATTCTTTAGCTTTTAGTTCTCGTTTCTTAACGCTTTTTTTTTTTTGCGCCTATTACCAAAGGACAGTATTTGCTTGATTCAGCCTGCTATTTAAAGGCCTAGCTGGATGTGAAGCTGTAGCTCTTCCAATGGTTGTATTGAGCTCAGAGACTGTTGCCATGTAAATAACGGTCGCAAAAAATGATAGAAAAAAGGTTCACTATATTTTGCTGATGTGCTCCGCTTGGCTCGCTGGGTGCTACTTATGATGACATGAGAAATGATCTCATCTTTACGTTTTAGGCCAGCTGTAATAAAAAAAAAAAAACATCAGGTGTTGCTCATTTGAAAAAGCATTTTGACGATTTAAGAAAAATGCTCATTCTTGCCCACAACTCGCTTCAATCTGTCCCATGATAAACACCAACTTTAAAGCTCAAACTTCTGAAACTTCATAATACACCAGTTTCAGCTCATTTGTATACTCTGTTAAATTATATTATTGTTTGTAATACTTTCTGTCATATGTGTTCCATTTTCACATTTCTAAATGCCTCAGTTATCTAATCAAGAAATAATGATGAGAGTGGAATAAAAGATTACAAGCAACATTATCGGTGCTTACTGTCTGATTAATATAATCTCCAAATATGGACCCCAATTTTGTCAAAAAGGCTGTTGAGCAAGTGTCACCTTAAAAACCATTTGGGCAAATAGACCTGGACATCCTCATCTATTCAAACCTACAGAATCAATATAAGGACAACCAAGTCCTTTTAGATTTGTGTCAAACGGAAATTTCTTCAGTAACTCTTTACCAAGAGGTGGATGTGTCGAAATGTGGTATGAAATTACTTAATGTTGCAGGACTCGGGACTTTTTTTTATTTTTTTTAATAATCGGATTTGTGTCAATGCCCGCGGTGCCACGAAAGCGCTCGTGTCAGAGGATTAACAGGACGATCGCACCGACACACTGTCATCAAAAGTCTCCACAAACCCTGCTGCACGGGACCAAACCTCGCTCCACGGTCCACCTTGGGTGCCCTTGACATGAAATGTGCGCAAAGACAGCGAAGATGACGAAAACATGAACAAAAAACAAGCACCGTGTCACGCGTCACGGGGGGCATGATTAGTTGTCTGATGCAATCGTGGTGTAACGCTGCTAGTGTAATTCTGCAGAACAATCCACCCCCACCTCCCCTGGGCGGACCGACATGTGAAAGTGAATTAGAAATCCAAGACCGTACATTTCCCCTCCATAATATCCATTAATACATCTTTTTTCCACGGAGCAATTTCGGGATCTTATTGCAACGATAATTAGAAACACGTTCCTTTTCTCGGTGAATTGTTTCAAATTGTCTTTCACGTTTCGCCTTTCTTTCTAAATCTGTCAAATTAACGATCAGGGAACCTATATTGTATTTTAATGTGAAACGGGTGACACAAAGCTCAAATTTCTAGCGACGAGCTATATGACGTTACAATATCCCCGGTAGCACCGTTTCAGAATTAAAGCCGGCCAACCTTGATAATTTGTTTTTTTTAAAAGAATTTTGCAGTGTCACACCAGGTTCCCATGTATGTATATGCATGTACATACTGAATGTAAGCGCATGTTTCCCATGCCAATGAATCCCCTCTAAATTAAATTCAATTGAGCTGATAAGGCGTCACGGATGAGGTGTTTTTTATTTTTTCACACGCGTGCTCTAAACTTCCTGTTGCACGCTGGGTAACCTGACAGATCCCAGAGGGACCCCTCGTCCTGCTGAGCAACAGCGCCTTCCAGTGGTTGGTACCCGGTAGCGCAAACATGTCTGCCCAGACTGGTCCTGATGCTGCGAGGATGCAGAGAGCAGAACTGAGGGGATGTGTATATATAAAGCGTGCCATCGTGCTGTATTCCGGCGCAGTCTCTGTGGCGCAATGGAATAGCGCGCTGGACTTCTAATCCAGAGGCTCCGGGTTCGAGTCCCGGCAGAGATGAGCTACTCTGAGTGGGCTACATTGCAGACCTGCGGACACTTTTTTTCTAGAAAGGATGATGATATTTTGGTTGCACATTGTTAGACTGTAATAATCGTTCCTCACTTACGCAGCGATGATGAAATCGGCAGTGAATGGACAGCACAACGCTCCGTCCTCCTCCTAGGCATTATAGTTATTATTATAGTAGCAATTTAGTTATTTTGTAAATTGTTTGTTCTCTTCTGGTAAATTCACACTAGCTGTGAAAAAATATCCAGTCTAATAAATTTGAGCCATAAAACCCGAGCCAGCTGCTCTTTACTGATATAATTTCCTTCTTGTATACATATATATTTTTAATTTATTTGTAAAGTGGGTTGTATTGTATTTCACCTGGCTTTAATATTGAAAAATAATGGGCTTATCTGTAAAGGATCTGTGAAAATTCTCACTTGACACTGCTGTAAAATCCTCAAAACAGGATATTTTGTGTTTGCAAACAGGCTGAGTTTACACACACACACGAGTCATGCAACAAGGCTACCTAAAGTAGTACCTAAAGTGCTGGTATATAAAGTCGACCTCGGATGAAGACAATCATCTTTGATACCACAACAGTGACGCACCAACATCTTGATTTTTAGATGACCCAGAACACAATGCACCTCTGTCCAAAAGACTTTCTGTCGTTTAAGTATTATGGACTAAGGTGGAACATTATTGCAGTTTTTTCAATATTATCATAATTCTACTTTTTGAGCTCGACATCTGCCAAAAATAGAGCTGTTACATCTTAAACGGAGTGAACCAACGCGTTCACTTATGAATAATTCTTTTTAGTCGTCTTCGGTATTTACAGTCCTTCTAGCAGGCTTTTATGAAGCGGAAGAGGTGGACATAAACCCAAATATTCGTATATCAAAAAGGAAAAAAGGCTCTGTTGTGTGCGCGTTCGCAGATGTTTTTGGCACATTATTCCAGTTGTCCTCGAGGTACGCGCACGGGTTGTATTGGTCTATGACGCAAGGGGGCGCTCCAGTACCAGCGTGAGTCCATTTGCCGGATCACTGCGCAGACCTGCGACGACGTCAGTCTCATGGAGAACCATCACCAAAATCTGTAGCCTACATTACATGACGGGAATGAGGACATGGCCTTTTTTATTCATCATGTATTTGGGAATCTGCTTTACAGTGACATCACCGCCTTTCCCCTCTAAAGAGTCACTGTTCCCGGAAGGTATGGTGTCAAATTACTTCGCCCTCCTGCCACTGCGTCCAAAAGAAAGTCTACTTTTAATATTAATTTGACCTCAGAGCTCAGTGTGACATTACGACATATTATGTTAATATGCTCAGTTATGTTCAGTAATAACTGACCTCTGATTCATGATATCTCTATGAAGATTTTAAATGTGACCTCTGCATCATTCTTAAAAGAATTTTTTTTTAAGGATTTGGTGGTTCAGATGTGGAGGTTACGATGTCTCCAATGACTTCATCGCCTGATGAAACACGATGAGCAACAGAAATCATGCAAACCCGACCACAGCAAATGTGTCAAAATGATTACGCCCTTCTAAGTGGGTTTATTTGTCATTTTTTCATAATGTATTTTTTGCCGGAGTTGGTCTGTGAAAGATCCAGGGGGGAGAGGAAAAACGGGGCAATGCTGCTGACGTGCGAGAGCGAGAGAGAGAGAGAGAGAGAGAGAGAGAGAGAGAGAGAGAGAGAGAGAGAGAGAGAGAGAGAGAGAGAGGAATGCCTGTTAATGAAATATGACGTCAAATCAAACAGATTACAGCGAGGACAATACCGGAAGTAAAGCCTTGCTGCATTGAGTGAATTTCTATTATATTGTGTTTTTTCAGGTAATGTAAAAAATCTTATTGTGTAAAAGAAGACATCTGTACTGTTTCGTTTGTCAGTGGGCAATAGTTTGCCCACCCAATCCTTACATGTATAGGTTGTAAATTAAAGCATTATGATTGGGGGATATATATTTTCCCAGGATAGTCATTCATTTATCAACATTGTTTAGCAATGTTTCCCACCATGCTTTTAAAATCAAATCAGTGACCAGATAGTAATCCATTAATGTGTCCTGGAGGGTTTTGGGGTTGCAGAAGGCCTCGTCCATACCTACACTCATCATTATACTTTGGAAGAAAACATTGTATTTGAAAGTGGCAAATGTTTCGTTGAGGGTTGTACAGGATTATGCATGTATCACGGTTTAATTGTGATTAGCAATTGTACTAATAGTTATATACATGTATATATTTACCTTTTCTTTAAATTCTCTTGCATACTGTACATCTTGCAAGGTGAACTTTATTTTGAAAAAGCAACCAACGGTTTCCGGTGTCTCGCGCTAGCTTTCCGCCTCAGCACAGAGCGGAACACTGACGGACGCTGAAGAGCGAAGAAGAGAGAGAGGCGGACAAAAAAAAGGCAGAGAAATGCTGTAAAAGCGGAGCGCGTCCAAGTCGAGCCCGAGGACCGAGGCGCGAGGACGACGCGGGGGGACGGTTCTTTCAGAGCATAGTTGTTATCAAAGTCAGCAAACTCCCGCTTTTTGATGCTGTGCTCACGGAGGTCTGAGCCAATAACGGACTTATCGGTCGGCTGAACCATGCAGAGGCTGCTGCTCCTGAGTTTGCTGTTGAGTTTTCAAACTGGTAAGGCTGCATTTCTCCCTTTTTTCTTAGCGCATAACTCACGGAATAATGTCTGAATGAAATGTGTGAAACCACAGAGGGCTTTAACTCAGAGAGAGCCCTGCGCCCCTTTTCTGCCGGGGCGACGCGAAGAGAGGAGCGTGTAACGTGATTTCACAGCGTTCCCATATGAGCCGCAGCAATGGATCACCTCGGGCCTGCGTGCGTGTGTGCGCGCGTGCCGCTTCGCGCGAGCGCGCCCGCGCGTGCGATAGCGTGTCCCTACCGCAGCAATGGATCGCCACACTTACACAAAATATTATATTATTATCAATATAATATATATCTATATAGGTATAGATATATATGACCTTTTGCGTATGACAGACCCCCCCCCCCCCCTCACGCGACACAGGACGTGACGGGAATGACAGTGATGGAGCAGCGCTGCTCTACATGCCAGCAGCACCTCCACCCTGCTAACGGGGCTCAGTGGCTTGTCTGGCATTGAGACCACTTCCTCAAGCCCCTGGACTGAAAGACAGCTTGTATGGTTGCCCCCCCCCCCCCCCCCGCCCCTAAGACAAAAACACCACCCACTTGTGTCCTACCTGCTTGACACAAAGCCGATCTGGGCACAATGAACAGCGGCACCCATGCACCCCCCCCCACCCCTTCCATACCTGCAGGGTGCCAGGAAGGCTTGGTGTATCATGAGCTGAGTTGCTGGGAGACGGGAGGCTGTGGGGGGGGGTGATGGCTGTCATTTCTAAAAGCTACCTGTTTGAATGGAGGCCTATCTGTCCATCTTCTTGGACACGCCTCCACAGACCCCCCCCCCCGTTGTCTACCTTGGCTGACCGTGAGCGAGCACGCGTCCAGTCCACCACTCCATCATAGGTGGTGGGTGGGGGGGGGAGGCATGTTCGGGAGAGGGAAGGTATGGAAGGGGATGATGTCACCGTGTCTGCCAGGCTTT